CGGGCTCCCGTTACCGTAGAGACCATTCGCCCCGCCCCGCCCCGCGCGGGGGCAGCTGGGGCTAAGGCGTCGGGGCTGTTGCCGGGCGACAGGGCGCTCGCTGGGACAGGAGCCGCGAGCCTGGGGAGAGAGTGAGTGAAATGCCGTCTCCCGGCGCGAGCTGCTGGGACCCCCCCCCCCCGCATCCTCCCCCTTGCATTCCCCCGCCCGGGACCCCCCCTGCATCCCCTGCCCGCCCCGAGACCCCCCCCCCCGCCCCCGCCCGGGCCCCCCCCTGCATCCTCCGCCCACCCCGGACACCCCCCCGCCTGCATCGCCCCGGCTGGGATCCTCCTGCATCTCCCGGTCCTGGACTCCCCTCTACATCCCCCCTCCCGGGAATCCCCTGCATCCCTCTGCCCCCTGCTAGAGACCCTCCCTGCATCCCCCCGGACTCCTTGAGACTCCCCCTGCATTCCTCGGACGGGCCTCCCCCCTGCATTCCCCATCCAGCCGGAATCCCCCCTACATCCCCCGACCGGGACTGACCGGGACACCCCCTGAATCATCTGGCCGGGACCCCCAGCTGGGACCCCACCTGCATCCCCTCAGCTGGGACCCCCCTACATCCTCCCAGCCGGGACCCCCCCACCCGCATCCCCCCACCCGAGACCCTTCTGCATCTCCCTGCTCAGGACCCCCTCCCCGCATCCCCCCATTCCCCAACCGGGAGCCCCCAGGGCACCCCCTGCATCCCCCCCACCCGGGATCCCCCTGCAGCCTCTGGGCCCAAGTAGCTAAACAATATTTGGGGTCTTGCTGGGTTGTTTCTGAGAGGAGGAGAAATTGATTATATGAAGCAGGTATTGCTTTGGTGCAAACCTGTGTATTTATAAAGAATGTACATAAAGTCCAATTTTTCTGACCACAGTAGGAACAAACAATAGCAGGGAGTTTCCTTGCTCACAGTTTCCAAGCCTGCCTCTCTAGCAAGTCCTGTGCCCCCAGGAGCTCTGTCCCTCTGCTTCCTCTGAGGGTTTCTGTCACAGCTGCTTCTCTCATTGTCTGCTGGCTTTCTGCCTCTCTCAGGCACACAGCTTGTCAAGTGCCTCTGTGGATTCACCAGTCCCAGGGAAACCCCTCAGACCATGCAGCTTAGCCTTACTCAGCTTCTCCAAGCAGCTCCTTGGGCAGTAGTTCCTATTGACTCCAGCTATTTTACATTAAAAATGGGCTTAACTGCTCCTCCCATTTAGCATGAAGGAAGGGGGGTTAGTACACCCATCAATTTTAACCAGGTCTATGATTCATGGAAGCCATTAATACCTTCTTCCAGCATAGCATCATTATTATTACTGGTATAATCAGGGGCGGCTCTAGCTTTTTTGCCGCCCCAAGCACGGCAGGCAGGCTGCCTTTGGCGGCATGCCTGTGGGAGGTCCGCCGGTCCCAAGGCTTTGGTGTACCCGCCGCCGAATTGCCGCCGAATCCGTGGGACCGGCGGACCTCCCGCAGGCAAGCCGCCAAAGGCTGCCTGACTGCCGCCCTCACAGGGACCGGCAGTGCGCCCCCCATGGCTTGCCGCCCCAGGCACGCGCTTGGAGCGCTGGTGCCTGGAGCCGCCGCTGGGTATAATGCTACAGGTGTGCATAGTGCTTCATTTGTGTAATCCCCATACCAGGTTGGTGGTAAATCCTGCGTTTCAAGAGGATCATACCTTCCCTCTTCCTCCTCTGCTCTATTTGAACAAAGGAGAGAAGTTTCCAGTACTTGCAGAAGAGAAAGTTAAGGTGGAATTCCTGGCTTCCTCTACCCTGATATAACGCTGTCCTCGGGAGCAAAAAAAATCTTACCGCGTTATAGGTGAAACTACGTTATATCAAACTTGCTTTGATCTGCCGGAGTGTTCAGCCCCCCCCGGAGCATTGCTTTACCGCGTTATATCCGAATTCGTGTTATATCAGGTCGCGTTATATCGGGGTAGTGGTGTATTCCCAGGAGGAAATGAACACCTGCCAATGTTAATACAGTTTTCTTTAATGAAAGCTAATGTATTGGGGGTGGAGGGAGTGGTAAAGAAAACTTTCCCACCACTACTAGAGGTGAAGAATTTGAATTTTTTCCAAGATAGGACATCTCTTGTTATAGTGAAACTGATTTATAAATTGCTATGTATTTCTCCTGAAGGGTAATAGTGCAGAATTGAAATCCGACTCTTCTTCTCCCTTAGTTTTAACTTTTAAAATAAATTTGTAGGGTTGCCAGTTCTTGTGCTGTCTCCACTCTGGTAAAATCCATGGAAAACAGAACAATTTGAATTTGCGTAGGACTGGGGTTCTTAACTGTGTTATATTTGCAGTACCAAAACTATAGACACTTTTCTCTTTCCACCTCATTTCTTTTGTGTCCATATTTCAGATGTCTTGAAGCTGGCTAGGTGGAGTGCTGGAAGTGGGACAAAGGCTGTGGTCTGAGGGAGTGAAAAGAATGCTGTTTGCTTTATGCGGTCCTCCTCACACCTCCACAGATCTGATGGGTGGGGAGGAGGTTACACCAAAAAACATAGTGCCCCTGAATGCATAGAGCCCTGCAAATCTGCGGATATCCGCTTTATATCTGTGGACCATGTTTGTGGATCGCAGATCAGATGCGGATACAAATTTTGTATCTGCACAGGGCTCTATGAATGCATTCCAGCTCTATTCAGTTCCCTCTGGGCTCTTGGCAGCCACAGCTCCTGCTGCAAGGGAGTTTGAGTGAGTTAATATCAATTACCTACCGGTGATGACTCATTAATTTATTTATGTAATCCCTGCTGAGGTTTGGGTAGGAGAGAAATATCATGTTGCCATGGCCTCAGTCTTGTTCCTCCTCTTGTCCAACACCTCCCCACCATCACATCCTAATATCTGTGGACCTGCCAAGGGTGGTCTTCTGGTGGACCAGGAGATAAATAATGTAGGAGTGGCGGTCTGCCCCTCAACCCCCCTGCCCTTGATCTTCTTGAGGAGGAAAGGGGAGGCTCTTAATAGTTACATAATTTAATTAGAAAATTCCAAGAGTCCTATACAAATGTATCTGACTGATAAAGAAGAGGAAAGATTTGGAGAGGAAGAAAATTGTAAAATTAGAGGTACACGTAGCCCCTCCACTTTCTAACAACTCTCCCTTTTCCTCCTGAAACTATTGGATATGTCTTTCAGCTAAACACATTCTCAAAATGCTTTGACGCTCACTCACCGCTGTTGTATGTAATGTAACAACCAGGTTAGTATCTGCCCTATTATTTTAATATAGTTTGTTACAAACATTTTTCTTTTTTTTTTTTTAGATAGTTGGTTAATATCTGGGCATTTTAAATTCTACAAGAAAATGGATGTAGATTTGTAATACCTTCCTTTGTTTTACTTTAAAAATTATGTATGTTTCATTTTTAGGTAACTATGTCTAAGAAGCTGTCGTTGCCTTCTTTAACTACATCATCATCCACTGTAAATGGCAGAAACAATGAATGTACAAGTGCAGAACTTCCTGCTTCGATCACTAATACTAGTAAGCTGAGGGAAAGACTAGTTTGTATGGCTCCAAAACAGATAGCAGGAAATCCTCAAGGTCTTAAATTCATACATAGCACAAAATCGCAAGAAAGAACAAGAAAGAGACAGCAAGCCATAAAACTGGAACCTTTGGTATGTTTAAGAGAAATATGATTTTTAAACTGATCTGTAAATGGGAGCTATTATATTTACAGTATAATAAAATTTTGTCCCATAGTCATTAACTGTAGTAAGATGTATATGCCAATTCTTCTAAAAAACTAGAAATGCAGGGCCAGATCCTCAGCTGATGCAAACTTGTAGCTTAACTGAAGTCACTGGCACTATAGTGATTTACACCAGCTGAGGATCTGGCCTGCAGTTTTTCATATATGTAATATTAAGTAATAAATGAAGCACAACAGCTTTCTTTAGTTTTTTAAAGAACATCTTCAACTAATTAAAATGCTGATTAGCAAAGGTATTTTCAGTCCAAGTTTATATGCTGAGAGGAAGAACCAGAACATCAGAAAAACCTGATTTCCACACAGTCCCCATTTAGTGTTGCAGGCAGAGGAACATTGTGACATCATAGGTAACTCTGCCAGTCATCACTCACTCACTCCAGTTCAATTGCATACTTTAACCCCATTGTTTGAGTCAGCAAATGAAACTGCAGGTCGGGACTGAGGTGCTTTGACTGAGTTGGTGGGCACAGGGGGCTCAGGATTGTAATAGCAGGTCTGCTTCCGGTCAGGAGTTCTATAAGTTGAATAGGCATGAGGCTGCAGATTTGTTTCATGGCTCCCTCCACACTATACCTGGCTCAGGCAAGATCATTGACGTTTGCCCAGTCATCAGTTCTAGTTCATCTAAACGGTGCCCATTTGGGGCTGCAGTGAAACTCTTTTCCCTACAGCAGGAAACAGGCAGTCAAGGGGAGAGATGACCAAGACAGGCAGCAGTTTTAGGGTTAGCGTTTAAAGGTACGGTTAGGGATACTGGAGAATATGAATGCTGACTGGCTAAGTTACTTCTCATGTCACAGTGGTACTACTCAGGCTCCTCTGCCTGCAGCACCAAATTGATACTGTCAAGGGGAAGTTGTTATTGATATGAAATTGATAAAACATTGAAGAGGAGGAGTGGTTTAGGCGAATTAACAATACATTTTAGCTTTAGTGTCAGTATCCTGTAACATTGCACATTCAGGGATAGAAACTACGTTCCTGCCATTCCTACCACCTGCCAGCTCAGCAGCGAAGCATGCAACTGTCTGATATAAGACTATGCAATTTTACTTTTGTATTCCTTTCCTTCAAATTAATCATTAACTTCCTCTATTTTTTGTATTGTTTTTCCTCCTCCAAGCCTGTGCTAAAGGTATATCAGCATCATAAACAGCCTGAATACATATATCAAAAGAACAGAGAGCATTTATTAGCTTGTGGATTACTACAGCCTTCTCCCTCAGCAGATAAAAGAAAATGGTCTGCTTCCATGGAACCGATGGCATCCTATGCTCCTTTAGCTGAGCTTCCAGAGCATGTAAGAGAAAAGCAGATCTTGAATAGTGACCCTAATCATTAACTGTTATGGACCCCCACTCCTGTACTTCTCATTCTGTTGAAATCAGTGGAGTTTCTGTGTAAGGAAGGAGTGCAGCCTTTTAACATGAGATAATTACATTGGCCCAGGTTGATCCTTTCAGAGAAATCTGTGGGAGATAGCCTCAGGGAGAGTGAGACAAGTTTTCCTTTGAAGGGACTGAGACCCTATGGAGTTTGAAAAGGTGAAGGCTCCCAACCCCACAGGTCTCCAGGGACGACACCTCTGCTCTTCCCTCCCCCATCCCCTTCCAGAACCTACAAAGATAGGAGCTGCCTGCCTTTAGCCGTGGAAATCTGTCTGACCCACAAGGAGCAGTGTCATGGAGCTTGGCCAGTCCCATGTTATGACTCCACAGCCCTTCATTGTACTTTTGAGATTACTTGAAAACTCAAGAAAGGGTGATCATTTTTGGCCAGTCTTCATCAGGATGAAAAGAACCGGTATATAGAACAGTGCTAGTAAGGTAGAGGCAGCAAACTCTGACGCAGGCTTTAAGAATGAGAAAAAATACTTGTATTTCTTCTGTTCATGGCTTTGCCCTTACAAGCATCTTTATTGAGAGCTATATCCGACAATAGCCTGGATATTCCTTTTCTTAATGGATTGCTTCCTTCTTTTCTTTCCCCTCAAATTCATTTCCCTGGGCTCTGATTTTATATTTAAATATTAATTTTGCAATTGCTAATATCCTTGAATTAAGAAAGTTATAAAAGGGCATTGTCATGACATAAGGATATTTTGCCATGTCTGATGTATTTTTTCTGTAAACTGATATCTAATTTTGCTTTTATTTTAAGGTACAGCAGCAAAGCCCCAGTAAGGTACTAACTCCTACTCCTCCCAAACAGCTCCGTACTGCTCTAAAGCCAAGTGCCTGTAAACCTTCCACCTCTCCACCTTCTTATGTTTTTAATGAAACAGAAGATGTAATTAAAGCTAACATTACAGATCCTCTGAAAATCATTAAAATAATATGTGAAAACAAAAATCTTGGATTCCTGTACATGACTCCAGCAGTTCCTAAGTCATCCATTAAATACGATACTTTTAATTTGAAGTGAGTTATTTTTTTCAAGCTGTTTATTCAGATTATGCATCAAAACTTATTGTTAAAGTTTATAACGAGCAGTGTTGATGTATTATACATCTACTTTTTAATGCTGGATAATTGTCTTGTGTTTAATTTTCCCCTTTATATTTTACCATTTAATTATTTAAAAATAGTTGATATTGGAACTTACTTTTTAAGAAAATTGCTTAATATTTTTAATATAACTATAATTGGATATAAAAAGAAAGTAGGACTATATTCTTTAGAGGTTATCAATATAGCATGAAGTGTGCTAGATAAAGAGATGAGCACCTGTTTCAGGAGTTTTGTCAAGCACAAGGCCAAGAAGTGCATATCTTAATGACAATCTGGCTGCAGAGTATGAGTGATGTATTGGTCCAGATCCTCAGCTGGGGTAAATTGGTATATACCTGCTGAGGATCGAGTCCTTTATCTGGTACCAGTAATATGGTAGATACAAGGAAACCATTAAGGACGAGAACAGCCATCTTGCCACAAATAGTATCTCCTGTTAATCACAGAGAGGGTACTTCCTCCAGTAAAGCTAATAAAGACACCATGAGTTGGAAGAAATTTCAAGAGGTGCCAGATCATCTGACTAAAGGCAGAAAGATTGAAACAAACAAGCAAAAACAGAGTCAGAAGGAGATAGATAAAACAATAGAGGAGAAAGTTGGGTCAAACCACTGTGCTAATGGTAATATTTTAATTTCTGGATTCTTTGGCTCCTTGTGCTAACGTTACTATGGAGTAGGGTGACCAGCTGTCCCGATTTTATAGGGACAGTCCCGATGTTTGAGGCTTTTTCTTATATAGAAGCCTATTACCCCCGTCCCGATTTTCCACACTTGCTGTCTGGTCACCCTACTATGGAGGCAGGCCACTGTACCTCAGGTGTGATGAGAGAGCTTTATATTACTCTGCAGAAATCCTTTTGGCTGATTTTAAAGAATGCTATTGAAAAACTTGGAAAAGGAGTCATGTGCAGTTCTTCTCAGTAGGATGGTGGCTGTGATGCTGAATCTGAACTGAAACATTGATGGATTGCCCTTTAATACTCTGGTCTGAAACTAAATGATGCTGCAACATCCCTAACCTCTCACCAGAAGTTGGGAATTAAAAAAAACAAAGAACTCACTAACCTGTGTGCTGCCTAGAGAATTGATGCTAAATTAAGCAAACGTTCTAATTCCAGTTTCAGATCACTGAATCCACAGAATTCTGAGCATGTAAGAATGTACTGAACACAATGTCCATGTGACAAAATCATCTTGGGGCCATATCAAAACATGTCCAGACCAATTGGCAACATTTGTGTAACTCTTTAGATGCCATACTCACTGCTGACCTAGGTCTTGGACCATCCATCCCATAAATAAATGCATCGTGAGTGTGCGTTGAAAATGTGATGTTACTGTGGCATTCACAATGTTGTTGTGGCCTTTCTGTGAGGAAATGAACGTCTCTTGAGTAATGAGTGAATGATGTTGCACTGTTAGTGGCTAAGTGATCATTGGGCTTGGGAAAAGACTAGAGTTAAAGCCAGAGACTACAGAGCTTGCTATCCAGCCAAACCTCTAGGGCATAATTCATCTCCCACTACAGAAGTGGGATTGTGGAGGATGAAATCGACCTCCCTTGTCAGTCTGAAGGCAGGGTACAAGACTGAAGACTAGACGATCTATGGCTACTTTTCCAGGACTCGGTCCTGCAAGGTGTTGAGCATGCTTTTCCAATCCAGAAAAGCACTTTCGTATGTACTTATTTTAAGCATGTGCATAGCCCCATTAAAGTAAAAGGGACTATTCAGTTGATCAAAGTTAAGCTCCCATGCTGATTAGTGATGTCATAAGTGCTGCAGCCTTAGCTGCTGCTCTCTCTTTGCCTCTTGGAGAGTTACTCCAGTTTTAAAGTGATGTTACAGTGGAGAATCAGGCCCTAAAAGTGGGAGCTGAAAAGACAACTGAGAACAGATTTTTGGCTCCTGCTGCAGCTTGTGGCACAACGCAGTCACAAAGCTATCTTAATGGGCCTACCTCCTTAGGTTTTTTTATAGATTTTACTGGAGATCAGTGAATTCATTTGTATCCTATTAAAATCAACTTTGCATTTATTTTTAGAATTGTAAACTATGACTGCATCAACAAAAATGACTACTACACCATTAGCCAGAAAGCAGTTATCCACACATGTGATGGAGAAGTTGAATTCATGCAGCTAGATCGCTGGGAGCAGGAATATCTGTATCACAAAACATTTACTAAGATTCCCATATTTGCTATCTTTTGCAAACTGAAGTCATTTACAGAGTGGAGGAAAAATGTCCGTGCCAAGAAAATCAGTGCGTGCCGTAAAGCTTTGCAGGAGAACTTGTTCATCGTTAATGCTGTACGTATTTGCTAATGATGATATTTCTGAAGGAAGCAGAAAGCTAACGTCATTGCTAAAATAGGGATGCGTCCTCTCAAATGGAGTTCTGGCCTAACGTATTTTCAGCTAGTAGGAATCCCGTACTGTGTTACCAAACATAAAATCAGATTCTAATGTGATTTCCAAAAAGTAGTAAATCTAAGCCTTTGTTTGGATTTTAATTTGTAAATATCTCTTGATAAACTATTCTTATTATTTGGCAGTCCTTGCGGCCTGCAGTGCTTAATGTTCAAGAAATGTGTTACCGAATCAGTGACATGGGGCTTTGTCGTATTGAGAAAGGTTACACGTACACCCTGGAGGAATTTAGAAGCACTCAGTTCAAACAACTGGATGAGGTGAGCTGTTTTCATTGGTTCCAAGTTCCTGACATGTTCTTTTAGAGATTAGGTTTACATGGTTCTTTATGCGTACTATCATTTTCAGGTGGCAAGCCGTCTAGCAGAGTTCAGGGAGCTAGCGAAAGAAGTTGTTAGAAGTGCTTGTCGAACTGCCCTGCTTGAATCTGGATTCACTCCTGATGATTATTTTTATGGATCAGGCAGTGCAGGTATGAAAAGAAACTAAACATTTAGGAAATGACTGCAGGACATGTGGATCTTTACTGTGCATTTTGTCCTATATGCCAGGCCACTGAACTGTTTCTTGAATTAGTCTAGTATTTTCCCCTTAATCTGGTAGGCATGGTGTTACAATTTTGAATATGTATTCTATTGTGGAAAAGGTGCATCTTTTAGGATTCTCTTCTTCCATGTCTATTTATAGTCCATTTGATAATAAATAATGTCTAACAATTCCCATAAGAGGCCATCTCAAAAACTATAATGTTAGCATCCAGCTTTGACTGTTTGCGTTAGGCCTCCATAAACAATTGATTCATAGATTCTTATGATTCATAGATTCTAGGACTGGAAGGGACCTCGAGAGGTCATCGAGTCCAGTCCACTGCCCTCATGGCAGGACCAAATACTGTCTAGACCATTCCTGATAGACATTTATCTAACCTACTCTTAAATATCTCCAGAGATGGAGATTCCACAACCTCCCTAGGCAATTTATTCCAGTGTTTAACCACCCTGACAGTTAGGAACTTTTTCCTAATGTCCAACCTAAACCTCCCTTGCTGCAGTTTAAGCCCATTGCTTCTTGTTCTATCCTTAGAGGCTAAGGTGAACAAGTTTTCTCCCTCCTCCTTATGACACCCTTTTAGATACCTGAAAACTGCTATCATGTCCCCTCTCAGTCTTCTCTTTTCCAGAACTTGCGTTCTGCTCAAAATGAGGAGGAACACGGGCTCATTCTGATCTCCAGTGGCAGGAAGTTCTATAGCTGAACCTTAACCCGTGAGCCTGAGTCGGCTGACTTTGGCCAGCCACGGCCATGCCACGGGTCTTTTGTTCCAGTGTAAATATACCCTGAGTGCGCTGTACCACTAAAATATGTGCTTAATTGTAGCATATGAGTAGTCCCATTGAAGTCAATAGGGCTACGGACATGCTTAAATACTTTACTGGATTGGGGCCTAAATCAAGAAGAGAACTGTAGCAATCAGTCATATACATATTTTCCAATTTGACCTCCATTAGATCCCAGTATGTAAACTGATAAAGGTGCACTCAGGATTTTATTAATAGGCTAATAAGTTTTAAACCCAAATGTGTGAGTAATTTTTTAAAAAGCAAAAACTATTTTAAAAGGACTACTTGTTTAAATGCTATGCATATTGCCAAAACCTCAGCTGATGCAAATCAGTGTAGCTCCATTGGCTTCCACAGCATTATACTGGTTTACACCAGTTAAGGATCTTGCCCATACTGTAAAATATTTTTTGTAAAAAAATTTTGTTTACTTGTCTATAATGTATATGTTTTAAATTATTTAATTAGAAAAGAATAAGAAGTCTGAAGTATTTGTTGAAGTGCTCTCCATTTGCTGCTGCTGACATTGCTACTTCAGGATTTTTAAGGGATGTTCTTTGGCTTGTTACTGTAAGATTTTAAATTTAGTGGTGGGGTATGGCAGTTGATTGGATCTACTTGCTATCTTCTGCTCCTCATTACTTCTGGAGCTGCTTGGGCCCAGTTGTCATAGAGCTACCCAGAAATCTGCAGTGTACATTTAAATATTTATGTTCGCTATACCTTGTTTGTGTTACCTAAACTGACGGAACTGGGGGAGAAATACAGGTTTCCAGAAGCCAGTGTAGATGTCTTTGGCCTCTAAAGAGTCATTTGAGATCCATGTGGATATTTGAGGATCTACAGCAGGGGTTCTCAACCTTTTTCTTTCTGAGTCTCCCCCCTCTCTCCCCCCTCACATGCTATAAAAACTCCACAGCCCACCTGTGGCACAACAACTGGTTTTCTGCATATAAAAGCCAGGGCCCTTGTTAAGGGGTAGCAAGCAGGGCAATTGTCCGGGGCCCCACACCACAGGGGGGCACCACAAAGCTAAATTGCTCAGGCTTCTGCTTCAGTCCGAGGTTGAAGGGCTCAGGAATCTGGGCTTCAACTTCGTGTGGTGTGGCTTCAGCTATCTGTCCTGGGCCCCAGCGAGTCTAACGCTGGTCCTGCTTGGCAGCCCCCCTGAAACCTGCTTGCAGTCCCCCAGAGGGCCCCGGACCCATGGTTGAGAACCACTGATCTACAGGGTTTGGGAATTGAGCTCTCTGCTTTCTCTGCAGGGGTTGGGATGAAGGGGGGATTTCCTATGAACCCTTCCATCAGAGAATTTCTGCGCAGTTTCCCTGGTGGAGTTTCTTGGGTACTGTGCTGTATTTTTCCTCCCCCCGCCCCCCAAAATGCCCTTTGCTTTTGACTCAACTCAGACTGAATTGTTTTAGTGATAGTTTTATGTAACTGTAGAATTTTCAGTTACACATGTCGTTGTACTTGCAATATTTCCATTAACTTGTTTGCATATCTTCCATACAGAACAGGTAACTATGGTAACTGGATTAGCTGCTTCAAGTCTCCTTGTTATTCCTCATTATGAAAGAGAACTTTATGGAGAAACAGCTGAGAAAATGACCTACACAGAACAGGCCAACAAAAGGTCTCATTGTAGAAGGTTAACATGGTTAGTGTCTGGTGTTTGTAGCAAAAGCTGTTCTTATGCTTTCTTCTCACATAATCTCATAATAGTTAAAATTATACAATGCAGTGTTCCTTACAAACAATGCATTAGTATATGTTGGACTGATCATAAGCAAATAATAACTGCATACCAGATCAAGTCCATCAGTTCTTCTAATATATGGAAGGACCAAGTATCAAATGCTTCAGTGCATGTTGTTGGTGCTTAATAAATAACATCTCAAATAATATAATCATAAGAGCCAGATTTAAAAAAAAAGGCAAAAAACCTCACAAGGCACCCAGCCAGTATTGCAGTGCTGTAAATAGGATGGGGAGTGGAAATCTGTCCTGATTCCTACAGGCAATCATCTTAGGTTTTACTTTTACAATCAAATTCTAGAGTTGCCTGACAAAACTATCGGTTTTTGTAAATGCCACTTTTAGCATTTATGTCAGTGCTGTTCGGTGACTCAGCTAATAAGGGCTGATCCTTGAGAAAAAGTTAAGATGTCTTAAGAAGTTAATAAAAAGCCCAGTTATACTGCCTGACTTTGAGAGATTCCTATTTTTTGTTATGGCAGAACATCCCTGCAGTTGAGGCTCTGTTGCTGAATTCACATAATAAAATTTGTTTCTTGAAGTAACATTCCATTTTTCTAGATGAAACCAAGTTCTCACTTATGTAAATACTGCTGGACCAGGTTTGCCAGTACATTCCATCAGCTTTCCGCTAGTGTGGCGATACAAAACCTAAACCCAGAGCAGCACAAAGCAGCTCCAATGCACTGGTGAATCTGGCTCACTCATCTTTGTCATAAGCTGTTTCGAGTTTGATATGAAATGTGAAGTAATTCAGAGTTTGGTCTATTATTTGTTCTGAAAGTCTATCACAAAACCATCTCTCAAAGTTCTTTTCTTCTGTATATTTATGCATGCTGTGCATATTAGAGTAAAGATATTTTTCTGCTTTCTGTTGGAGAATTGTTGGCCCAAATCCTGAAATCCTTACTCATTTTTTACTCTGTCTTTACACAGGCAAAAAAGTTCCAGTAAGGTTAATAGGAATTTTGCCTGAGTAAGGAATGAGTGAGGACTTTAGGAATCAGCTCTTTGAAAGTATAATATACGGTACACTTTTCCATAAAAATCAAACGCTCTTATCACAGAGACTTGTATTCACAGAAAGTGACAAAGTATTGCGCTTCCTTCTTCTGTCCCTCAAGCTTTATCCGTCTTGCTGACTACCTAATAGTGAACACTATGCATGTCCTGGCAGTAAAATCAGTCACTACTCTTTTGAACTACCTTTCTGATAAGTTGAAAAGGACACCTGCTGCAGATGTCATACAGAAGTGGAATACAGAGGAAAAAATTGAAGTCTCTGAAAAAAAGGTAATTGTGTTTCAATGAAAACTGAGGCCAAGTTTTTTAAAAATGAGTGCATAAAATCCCTTTCGTCCATAATGAGGCATATAAATAAATGGCGTGATTTCAAAAGTGCTGAGTACTCAGCAAGACCAATGACTGCAATCTTAGCCTACATGTAGCATAGTTTTCTGTTTATAGGTTGGTTTAAAAATGAAGCTTAGAGGAAATTTTTGTTAGGAAAGTTTAAATTCTTGCATTATTCTCATTAATAGGTGAATCTATGCTGATTATCATTTTCTTAGAAAGAGCTTCAACTTCCATTGTCCTGCAAAAGTTACTGTTAGTAAAGTAGTGCACTGTTACGTGTAATCTATGGCTGCTATAGTATTTACAGTGCAGTAAAGAAACAAAAATTACACGTTTGTAATCCTACTTTCCCTCCCCATCCCATTTGCAAGCAATATGTGCCAAATTGGCCTTTGCAAAGAAACTTATATTTAAATTCCTAGAACTGGAAAAATTCCTGTATATCTGAATTGAGATCTCAGACTTTAAATGGGATTTCTCTTCTTCCAGACTTTTTCTTTAGTGCCCCGTTTACCCTTTAATATATTCACAAATTCTCGGCCTTTGATATGGTACCAAGGAGCAAAAGCATGCACTTACATGTATATATGGAGGCAAATTTCTGATCTGTAGCAAGGGGTGCAAAAATTGCTGCTATCTGACAAGGGCTTGATTCTGATCTTGCTTACTACAATTTTACACTGATGTAATTCTATTGACTTTGACAGAGTTAATCTTTATTTATACCCAATTTAATTGAGATCAGAAGAATCTGTCTTTGCAAGTTTGTTCACAAAGAGTTTAAGGCCTGGTTTGGCTCCCGTTGAAGTAATGGAAATTTTGCCTTTGATTTCAGTGAATCCAGGATTGGCCCCTGACATTTATTTGTTGTATCAGACTTTTTCATTCTTCTTTTGTCTACTTAAAAGAAATGTGCAGGGTCATAGAGAAAAAGTGATGTTTATTTTTCAACCAAGATTTTTAAAAATTTCCTGATCTTTTGACATTTGTATTGTTTTGGTTTCATTGTTTCAGGCTGTGTCAGGGACTGCAGGGCAGGATGAAGAAGAATCATTTCTGCCCATGTTTCTTACAGAGTTAATTTTGGAGATCCATGCATTGTTGTTTGCACCATCTTTGGATGACTTCCAGGTCTGTTGTAAGAAAGTATCAATTTATCTTTTCCTTGCATGTTTTAATCAGTTTCACTGAACAGAAATGTCAGGATTGTGGGCCAGATTCACTGGTATGCCCTGCTTGTTTTTATGGAGTCCAGAGACACAAAGCAGCTGCAAATCTTGTTTTGCTGCCTGGTCACTAGAGTGGTGCAAAATAGCTATAGCATCCTAGTGAATCCATCCCTGTATGTTTGGGATCCACAGCTCTCTCGCTATGAAAATGAAACTGATTATGTGCTTTGGATCTCAAAGATACCTGTATGCATTAGGGATTCATCCCACACTCACAGGTGACATCTCACATTTGTACATACTCTCTACCTGATTGTCTCCCCCTGCTGCCCTTTGGAATACAGACCGCTGCCTAATACAGTAGCCACTCAGGGTATGTCTACACTGCAGCTGGGAGTGAGCCTCCCAGCCCAGGTAGACAAACGTGGGCTTGTGGAGCTCACAATAGTGCACTAAAAAAGAGCTGTGTGAACACTGCAGCACTGGCAGAGGCTTGGATCCCGTGGGTAGGATGGGCTTGAACTTGGGTGGCTAGCCCAGGTCTCTGCAAGTGCCTCAACCTGCACATAGCTATTTTTAATGCAGTAGCACAAGCCGGCTACTGCATTAAACTGTCTACCTGGGCTAACTGAGTCCGCATAGCTTTCGTCAGCTCTTCCTCCACATCCAATGGTGCAACAGTGATATTCTGCATCAGCTGTCGGTGGGAACAAGCTCTTCTCTACAAGCAGAGTGTCTTCTGGCTCCTACTGTATCTTTTGTAGTGGGGAATGATGGTTTCCTCTGGGTTCTCCCTGTTTGCTCTTCCTATGAGGCTCCATCTAGTATCTTATCTGGCAAGAGCAGTATTTAGCAGGTTGCCTCTCCACTACTCCCCATTCCTGCTGGTCTGGAAGTGAGACATATTGATAGTCTGCCGTAGACCTTTGCATACATATGAATGCACTATATTTTGGAAATGTTTCACACCTAATTTGTTTCACAATTCAGAAGGATTCAAAGGGTGTTAATGATGTTTTCTGTTGTCTAACAGGAAGGTATTGCAGATATTATTAATCAGTTTCAGGCAACTGTGTTGTCTGTTGCTAATCTTGTACCTGATCAATACTTTGATGCCTTTACTCGTCCTATTATTAATAACAAAACTGAAGAAAAGACTTGTGGTGAAGGACCAAGTTTATCAACCATGTTTAAAGATGATAAGCATTTGCAAGCTATCATCCAGCAAATAAAGGTATCAAACAGTTTCAATTTCAGATTTGATTTTTTTTGTTAAACATTAATTAATCAATACCACTGTGTGCCAAGTCTCTTCTGAAGGTACTGCCCCTAGGGATGGCTAAGGCTGATACAACAGGACCGTTTGCATGCCTATCCAATCTTTGCTGAAACTGGGCTAATAGACACCAGTTATGTTCATGGGCACCTGTCCACAAGGAAAATGGACTGACTCTACCAAATATTTTCAACCAGGTCACCAAACTGACCTTAGATGGCAATGAATTTGATTCACCATTGATCTGAGTTAGATGCAGACTGGCGACCTAGAGATAAAAGACCACTATTCCATTACCAATCCACTGAACCTTCCAGTTCCTCCAGAAATTTTCTTTTAAAGTACCAAAAAAGAAGAGTCAATGTATCATGTAGAATTGTTTTCATTTCTTCTATTAGTTTGCTCCAAGCAAATTCTTATGTACAATGACTTTTTTGTGTAACATTTAGGAAACTGTGTATTCAGCATTTGAAGCAGCCAACTTATATGCAGACACTTTTGAACAGTTTCGGTTATTTTTCAAAGAAAATGAAGGTCTTGATTTGGAAGCTCTGAAGCAGCAGGAACATGGTGAGTTGTCTTTTTCTCTAATTTTTAACTAAGATTCTTGCAGATAGTAATATTTCATTGTTTGTTTTCTGTGTTATTGCAGCAAATATCTGTGGTATTTACTCTTGATTTGGTTATAAATGTTCTCTAAACCAATTTCCAGCGGAGTAGTGCATTAGTCATGGGTTCAAATATTTATTTACTCTCACACAAAATAATCTGTGACTATGTGTGCACACAAGATAACAATGGAATGAACTCCATTTGTATCTGCAACAGTGGAAAAAGCTGTACTTAAGCCCCGATCCTGCAACTGGATCTGCACAGGTGGCCTCTGTGGAATCCTTTTTAAGTCAGTGCTGTTCCATGCAGGGGTCTGTGTGCATCTGATTGTGGGATCTGAGCCTAGTTTGCACCTTTTGACTTCTTATCTGTTCTGCCAGGACTACTCTGAATATTGATAGGCACAAAGCTGTTTTTACTCCGCTCCCATTTTCTTCTCTGCTCTTCTGTGCCAGCAGTGAAAGGGGTTGTCAGGGATAGGCACATATGAGCCCCTCTGAATTTTGAATTCTTTCTCAAGTGATTGTCTACATGCATTCCACTGATAGTGAGCATGTACCCCATGCATGTGAGATCAGCTTCTTTTGGCCAACAGTGGGTCCCTTCCCATCTTTGTGCCTCCTGTAGTAGGGTCCTTGGTGGGCTGGGTGGCCTAGGGTTAGTGTCCACTCAGTCATGGGATAGTGGTAGGCGAGCGTGGGCCCATCCACACCACCTGACTCTGACCCAGGACCCTAGGAGTGTCAGCAGCATTGATCCCTGGAGCGGGGAGTGGAGCTTCTGAGTTACCCTCCCTGGGTCACTTCCTACCACTGCTCCTTCTGGTCCCAAATAAAGAAAAATCAAAAGGAAACCAAACCATCAGCCCCAACTGGGCTCAGCATACAGTCCTGGTGCTTCAGGGAGGCATCTCTAGCCCCTTTTGGCAGGAAGCTGCAGGGTAGGTCTGTACTCCTCCCCAACCTCCCACCTTGTGAGACAGTTACTCCCTTTTCAATCCTGCCTCCAGTTGGAGCATGTGCTGCAGGATTGGAGGGGCAGGGCTAGATGAGCCCAGTACTGTCCTTTAACGTCTCCCATCCCAGTGTGTTGTGTGTATACCCCATCACGCACAACAAGGCATAAAGTGCTAAGTGGGCCAAACCATCCTTCAGTTCCTTGTTACCACCTTTGGCAGTCAGATGAACACCTGCAGTGTGTCCTCCTGCTTCTCTGCTCCTCACTAGCATTTGTTAGGCTAGGTCTACACTACGGGGCGGGGGGTCGACCTAAGATATGCAACTATTCGCGTAGCGGAAGTTGCGTATTTTAGGTCGACTTACCTGGCTGTGAGGATGGCGGCGAGTCGACCGCTGCCGCTCCCCCGTCGACTCCGGTCCGCCTCTCGCTGCGGTGGAGTTCCGGAGTCGATGGCAGAGCGATCAGGGATCGATTTTATCGCGTCTACACTAGACGCGATAAATCGATCTCAGATAGATCGATCACTACCCGCCGATCCGGCAGGTAGTGAAGACGTGCCCTTAGTAGGTAATCTTATTCCTTAGTTAGTTGTTACTCCATACAGTTAGTTCTTTGCCTGTTAGCTATAAAACTTTGTATATAGAAAAAATAAATATGTCTTAGTTAGTTTAAAGGGCAGGTCTACATGGGGGGCAGGGGGGAAACCAGCAGTAGCTCATGCACACTGGCTACTTGCACCAGCTGCCTGCATGGACGCTCGTACTGCACATGAAAAGTGTCTTTGTGCACAGTAGCTTGATGCACTTTGGGCGTGTGTTAAACTAAACTGCCCAAGAGCACTCTTAATGCACAGTAGGAATGTTTGTATGGGGTGTTAGTGCAGAGTAGCTAGTGTGCTTTTAATTGGTACCCTAGCTTACAGCACACTAATTTCCCCATGTAGACAAGCCCTTAGTCTTTAAACTAGACAACCCCCAGCCCTGTTCAGGGACTCTAGCAAAATGGCAGAAGTGAAATCTATGGGTTCAAAACCTTCCCCTTGTGCAGAGCTTCAGTGCCACTTAAAGATGGGAACACTTGGTGCCTATTTTGCCTACAGGAAGACATTCCACATTTCACTCCTCCAAGTATACTCAGAAAACTTGTTTCTCTCCCAGTGCCCAAGGCAAGCCTCCTTGGACACTGAGAACAAGGATGTAGCTAGACCACAGTCCTCTGGTTAGCTCCTCGGACCCTCTCTGGGAGTAACTGTTGAGCTGAAATTCCACCCTGAGTTCTTGGCCTACATCAACTAAGGAGACCCCAGTCACCTGCCTCCATTCTGGTGCTGACATCCTCTGACAAACGCAGAAAGGAGCACTGTTCCAAAGACAGGCCAGGGTACAGGGCCCCTTCTCGGGTGCACCAGACTTCTGACTCATCTCAGGCTCAACCATTCAAAGGCAACCATTCAAGGGGGAGGGAGAGCTCAGTGGTTTGAGCATTGGCCTGCTAAACCCAGGGTTGTGAGTTCAATCCTTGAGGGGGGCCACTTAGGGATCTGGGGCAAAATCAGTACTTGGTCCTGCTAGTGAAAGCAGGGGGCTGGACTCAATGACCTTCAAGGTCCCTTCCAGTTCTAGGAGATAGGATATCTCCATTAAAAAATTTTTTTTTTTAAACTTGAAAAGGGCCCCTCTGGCACTAAGTACTGGATACTAAGAGAGTTAAAGCAGTATACACTAAGCCTGCAGATCGCGTTTCTCTCAGTACCTGTTCTTCAGCCCCAACCTCAATACCCCGCATCTTGGTACCGAGAGCACTTCCATACTGGTCGCCTTGGAACCATGTTCCATATTACCCAGTGCATCAGTACCTGCTGTCTTGGTTCCCAGAGCTTATACAGTAATGAGAGATTTAACTGTGAGCCTTGTACCAGAGGTTGAGGGTGATGATATCTAAGCAACCATCTTCTGAGCTGTTGGTAGAGCCAGTAAAGGAAGTATCTCCAGTACCAATTTCATCCCTTCAGGGGGTAATCATGATTGTACAGCCCTCCTCCTCATCCCTGTCTGGACATAATAGAGAGTCAATTCCTATTCACCCTTCTGCTACAAAGCGGGGTAAGAATTGAGGTCAGGAGGGGACTCTAGGGAGGGTTCTATAAGGGACAATAGGAATTGACCTGGACTCACAGTGCACATCCCTCCTTGTACCCTCCTATACGTTCCCTATTCCAGTACTCGTATCCCAATCCTAGCCCTACTGCATGCCCTGTAGTGTGCAGTGTGTTCACACAAGTGTGCATCATCTGCCCCTTCCACAGTTCCTCTCCCCAAAGAAGCAATATAGACTATCCCAGGTAGGTCAACTAGTGCAATCTCAGATCCTGGAAAGGCAGGAGGAGGAAAGCAAAGAAGAATATTGAATGCAAGGGGAAGCACAACTGCTCCCCATGGCAATCTGCTCATTCTTCACTGATGAGACAGTAAATTCATCTGCGCTTGCCATAGTGGATAATTTTAAGGTGTCTCAGGACCTCATCAAATGCATTACAGAGACACTGGATATACCACTAAAAGTGGTGCAGGAGAAATCTCACAAGCTCCTGGAAATCTTGCAGCCTTCCATGCCCAACAGGCTCTGCATGCCAATAAACGAAGGACTGTTAAAGCCTGCAAAGGACCTATATCATACACCAGCATCAATACTGACCACATCCAAGTGAGAAGACAGAAGGTACCAAGTCTCTTCCATAGGATTTTTAAATACCTTTATTTCCAGCTGCACTGGGATCAGTTGTAGTAGTTGCACTACAGAAAATGTCAAAAAACCAGGGACCTCCCAAATTCACACCTAGAAAGAAGGGCCGGAAGAAACTCAGCCTCTTCAATTGCAAATTCGTCTGTCATCCTCCCTGGCTTATTACCAAGTATTACCTCATTTCCGAGTATGATTACATGAACTGGGGATAAGCTGTCTCAGTTCGTGGACAAACTACCATAGGACTACTGAGGAGAACAAAACCCATCACGATTGAGGGACAGCTGATGGCTCACACTTTCCTGCAAGCTGCAGTGGATGTATCTGATGCTGCAACATGTATTATGGTCACATAAGTAGCAATAAGAAGGTCTTCCTAGCTCCTGTCCCTGTCCAGGAATGTCAAAACTATAATCAAAGCCCTTCTTTTTGAGTGTAATGAACTTTTTAATTCTAAAATGGACAAAGTCCTCCATTCATAAAAGGAGCCAGGGTGACTCTGTATGGTTGGATCTGTGTGTTCCTGTCCCAAGAGAGGAAGCAAAAAGACAACAAACTTATTTCAGGCAGCATCCCTCTGCCCAGTATCATTACCAAGCCCAGAAGCCCTCAGAGCCACTGAGAAAGAAGAAGAGGTTCCAGTGATGACAGCCCTGAGCCATCCGCTGCTGCACAGTCTGGACACACACTAGACAGAGGCTGGAGAGAGAATCTGCTGGACACTTGCCCACCCAACAACTGTGAGAGTGCCTTGCTGCCTTCTGCTGGATTTAAAAAAATCTTCACTGTTCAACAGCGATGTCACGAGAGGGGAAAGTATGAGAAAACTACCGTGTCTTTAAAAATTACTTTAGCCTTCTCTGGGACCACAAGCACTAATAGCCATACAATTAGGATTAAGCCTATTATTACATGGTGTCACTACAGCCAAGAGTTAAGGTTGTGTCCTTAGGTTAAAGGTGCCTGAACTGTGCCTTTCCATTCCTCAGTGTGCCAATTTCTTTGACGTTTAACCTTAACTCCGAATTTCCTAGTTTTTGTAATGTTTGGGTTTTTTTGTGATAATTATAACATCCCTATAATGTGTGTTACCCTAAATTACTTCTATGTGATCTCAACTTTAACTCCAAGTTAGTGTGGTTCTTTGTCTGAGAATAATAATAAATAATAAGACAGTTAAGGCAAAGAAAGAAATGGAAGTTTCACATCTACCCTTGAGAGACACTCAGTGGTCTAATGCAGTGGCTCTCACCCAGGGATACATGTACCCTTGGGGGTACTCAGAGATCTTCCAGGGGGGATATCAACCCATCTAGAGATTTGCCTAGTTTTACAACAGGCTACATAAAAAGAACTAACGAAGTCCGTACAAACTAAAATTTCATACAGACAATGACTTGTTTATACTGCTTATATACTATACACTGAAATGTAAGTACAATATTTATATTCCAATTGATTTATTTTATAACTATATAGTAAAAATGAGAAAGTCAGCCACTTGTCAGTAACAGTGTTCTGTGACACTTCTGTATTTTTACATCTGATTTTATTAGCAAGTAGTTTTTAAGTGAGGTAAAACTTGGGGGTATGCAAAACAAATCAGACTCCTGAAAGGGGTACAGTAGTCTGGAAAGGTTGAGAGCCACTGATCTAATGCCTTAAAATCCTTATAGATTCATAGATTCATAGATTCATAGATTCTAGGACTGGAAGGGACCTCGAGAGGTCATCGAGTCCAGTCCCCTGCCCGCATGGCAGGACCAAATACTGTCTAGACCATCCCTGATAGACATTTATCTAAAGGACCAACATCCAGACCTCAAAAGGATCCATCTACCCAGGTTGCATGCTCTTCTGATGTTTCAAGCTGACATTTGTGGTTTCAGAAGTGTTGATGCCAAAAGGAGCTCTGATACAGTACTGTCTCATAGAGCGGTGGCCCTGGTGTACAGTCAGATAGTGCTTTGGCATTTTGAGTATTTCAGTATTTCTCCGGTGTGCTAGGCAGGTACTGATGTTTACCTGCACCATGCAAGGGCCACTGCCTCCAGCAACAGCGCATCTTTGTCCCTCCAGTAGATGGTTTCTTCCCTCGGCCCTGGCACAGCCTCTCCCTACCCACTGCCCTTTCATAAACCAGAGTAGGTCCCCATTCCCTTTATGTTTATTTACTCAGTGAGGACAAGTGTCATGCCTTTAAAAAGAAAAAGTTAATCAAACTTTATAGAAGTTAAATTTCAAAAGGCTTGGTTTTCGCTTTGGGCGAAGGTTGTTTTATCCAAATTGAATGGTCTGTGTCTATCTCTTAAAACTGAACCTTAGAGTTGAAACACTGACACATAGCTCTGTCTGTAGTTTCAGTACATTGTTCTATTGAATAGCAGATGTTTGCATTGGTTTCTGTTTAGATGATCAGAGTTCTAGATATGTTTCGTTCTGTTTACAACTCTGTAATACAATTGTGCATACACTTTTGATAAAGCATTTTTCAGACAAAGTGTCAGTTATTATTTTTAGTTTGACACTGTCATAATACACAGGTGTCGATTTCTTTGCGGAACAACTGGAGAAATATCACAGAGAACACAAAGATGCTTTGGCTATAAAGCAGAAAAGAAATTTAGGCTTGTTGCTTATAGATGCTAGAAAACTGAAAGAAAAATTAATACCATCACCAAAGCGCTGCTTGGAGGTAAGTCTACAGGCAAGATAGCAAGAATTTATTCCATTTCAGTTTTGCTAAGGTCAGTGACTGCCCAGTGATGCAACTGGACAAGCTGGCCAGTTCCTTTTGTTTAAAGTTCTACTGTTATTTATATTCTAGTATAAAAAATATTATGACATCTCCAGCAATATCCTGGGTTCATCCTGTTTTTAAACTCAGTTCATACACTAATTTCACAGGTACATTGCAACATCCTTTAAGATGTACAGCGAAATATTACAATGTGGTATCTTGGTTGTAAAGTGGAGTATCTTGCCATGAGCACACAGTGCCAGTGCTTTGGGATCTGTACTGGCTGCCTGTTTGTTATAGGATCAAGTTTAAAATGAGCTGCTCTGAAAAAGGCCTAATTGGCCTGGCACCTCCCTAACTGAGAGAGTTCACCTCTCCCTATGACCTACTGCCACAGTTGAGATCAGTGGAGGCTCTCGAGCTGGAGCTCCGTTGGTTAAAAAGAAAGGAGCATTCTCCATGAGGGCTCTTCATCTTTAGAACTCACTGCCATCCAGGCCAAATTAGCATGAATTTATTGACCTTTCACCTCTAGCTTTAAGAATATTTTACACAATCTAGTATTTCCCTTTGCTTTCTAGGTCATTAATGATATGCTTCCAGTTATTGGGAAGAAAAAAGTGACTGACATTATAGCTGAGGCACAAGATGCCAAATTTAAACTTGAGTTTCTCCCATCCACAACTACAGAATACGTGAATAGCCTGATATTCCTTGATGAAATTCAGGAACGAGTAAGTACATTCTGTCTTTCAGGAGATGGGGGGGAGGGGCCACTGCCTTAGGAATCTGAGAGTATATTTTATATATGTAGTTTATTGAAAAAGGTGGGTAAGGAAGACCATGTGTTCACATGCTGCAGACCCCCACAAAAGTAAAAAATAAAGTTTGTACACTATCATTTCTCAATGGAGCATCACTAGAAATTATAAGACTGGATCAGAGGTAATATCAAACTCGTGTTATATTTTTTTGCTTATACGCAGTCAGTTCATTAGTCAGGAATGGACTACTGAGCTGACCACTCCCATCACAGAGATGTCTCATATCACATCACAGAGACAGCACAGTGGTGAGGAGTTTGGGTGCCACATTTCCCTCTTTATAAAATTGGGAACTGTGTCTCAAGCCCAGTGTTATGATAGAAGCAGCTCAAGAAGAGAAGAGCTCTCTCTCTGCTCAGTTTGCTGTTGAATGGCTTTGGTCACTGGCTATGTCTGGAGTTCTTTTCCCTCCTCCTCACTCCTCTCCTGGCAGGCTCATGATGCACAGAGCTTAGTGGAGGATGTGACTAGAGAAAACAAGCATAGCAGGGCCACTATGAGTATCCTTCTCCTTTAGCAATGGGGTACTATCTGGCAGCCCCTCCAGCTTCTGAGACTGATGATTTTCTGTGCTGACACTGCATAGTGGTAACTCTTACATGTAGAGCCTTTTCAGATGCTCCTCTTGTCAATGGCCAAGGTCCTTGGACAACTAGTTCACCTTCCCAGGTTCAGTCCCTTAGCCTTTAAAAAGGTGGTGCAAGATCAGAAATCTGACACAGGAAAGGTCTCTAACAGAGGTCCTAGTTATCAGGATCAAGTTGATATGCCTCCCTCTTAGGCTTGGGTGCACAAATAGAATTTCACTTGTGCCATGGGAAGTATTCGTACACAGTACAGGAAGAGGAACCTAATGATATCAGCTGCTTCTGTGCAGGGTATGATCAACGGCCAGGCCAATTGGCTTAGTCATCAGACACTCTCCCCTAGACAGTGAGGGTGTTGAACAGCAAATGCTTCAGTTGGTCTTCCTGGAGTGGGGGAATCCACAGATTGACACAAATGACAACAAAAGTGGTATCTCTTCTGCTCCAGGGAATGGGAAAGCAAGGCATGGAAGATAGATGCCTTCTCCTTTAGTCTGTCCTTGTTAGTGTTTATGGTCATCAAAGACCTCCTGGTGCCAGGAACACATGTGCTGCCATGACCAAGGCATAGTTTAATTGACAGCCTAAAACTTGGAAGAATGAATTGTGAATTTGGTCATCCCAACAAGCTGGAGAATGTTCTCCTTCAGACTATGGGAGACTCTACATCCAAGATTTGTTACCATATCTTCAGAACCTGATGTATTGTATGCAACATGGCTGAAACTGATTTAGCACTGAGGCCAAGACCTATATTTGGTTTTTGTTCAATCAATACATTAAGAATCCAAGTGGCTGTATTAGGAGCTCTCATGATTCCTTCAGAAGAGAGACGCTAATTTCTCATCCTCCTGTGCTCAGATTTACGTATGCTGTGACAAAAATCTGTCCTTCTATCCAAACACCCATTGCCAGTCAGAAGTTGTTCTTGGATTAGCTGATGCAACAGTCATTTGAACTGTGGAATACAACCTCAGTGTTTTTTTCCTCTTCATTTAAAGTAGCTTTTCTTATACCAGTCACCTCTGTGAGAAGGAACAGTATTTTAATATCTGATTAGTCATGGCAACGTGGTCCTACAGACAATCTTGGAATTCCTTTCTAAAGTTGTCCCTTATCAACTGCACCAAGAGATTTCTTTTTCATCCTTTTTGTACAAATCTTTCTTACCTCACTGAGATAAGATGGCAGCTTCTGGACATGTTGTTAGTTGTTTCAGGGTCAGAAGCATTGGAAGTTGTCTGCTGGGCTTGTGATGCAGTTTACCAAGCATATGTAGGGGGAAGCTGTGATATTAGAAATCCTTGGCAGTGAGCTGCCACTGCATGCTCATGGGTGGTGTGGCCAAACCAATAGTCCATTCCAGACTAGAGGATTTCCTTTTATGAGGAGACAACTTCACAGGTAAGGACAAAGCTGCCTGTTTTCATTTTAAAAATGTTTCTAATTACCTCCAGCTGAAAAATGTGTACTTTATTGCATTCACAGGTGGTGACTGCTGTATAAAAGATTGAACTACATTTTCAATTTTTAATCTCCCTTTCTCAGCTGCTAATAACTTTCTCAAATTCCTTTTAGACTGAAATTTCACACTTTTAGTAGCAGCAAAATCCATCTTCTCCAGAACATCCAGAAATAGACGGACATGCAACCAGCAAAATAAAGCAAACTGAGAGAGTAACTATATGTGCCACTGCCTAATATTTTGGTATCAAAACTCTCTATAATGGAATAAAATGGTAACATAACATACTGTATGCTAAGGGAGGGTACATTGAAGAAGATGCCACAAGTCCAACCAAACATTTCTGTCTTCTCCAGCAGCCTGGACATACTCTATTTTCAAACAGTAGTGATATAAGAAACGAAAAAATTCAGGGACATGATTAACCTATTATCTTTTTATGTGATTAAAATTAACCTTTGGCTAGGATTTGTTTTCTTCCCCTTATTAAAATTATTTTACTGTAATAACCATATTTTGATACTGTCAGCAATGTAACTAAGATTAAATAATGGTAAGGATTACTTACGAAAACATGGTTGATTCACAATAGTTGAAGTATGACTATTTTTTCAGATTGAAAGCCTTGAAGAAGAAGGAAATGTGGTAACTCAGATGTATCAGCTTATTGAACAGTACCAAGTACCGACACCTCCTGAAGATTTTGCTCTTTTTGCAACTCTGAAACCATCCATTGTTGCGGTTCGCAATGCAATTGACAAATCAGTGGGTGAAAGAGATTCCAGCATTACCAAATTTTGTCAACATTTAGACCAAGATGTTGTAGAGCTAAATGAGGAAGTGAAAGAAGTGAAACAGCAAGCCCAGGTTTGCAAAGAGCAGTTTATATTATTTTTATACTGTATATAATTTCTGCAATTGTGTTTTATTAAAACAAGACAACCGAGCAGTAGTAAGGACTATAAAGTTATCAACAGTCTATTCAACAATGTGAAGTAAGGTGTGATCTGTAATCCGATGCCAATGTTCACATTTTAAATTGTGCTGTATGAGTTGAAGGGTTGCACAGTATTTCTGAGGGCAGGATTTGGCCTTATGGATCTAAACATATAGGACCAAATTGTATCTTCTGCACCCAAACAGAGCAGATCTTATCACAGTGGGTCTCTCAGGGACTGGAGGGATGAAATCCTTCTCTCCAACCTGTCTCAGAGCTTCAGCAATGTCCCCCATACGTACTGCCTCTACATGTGATGGGGTTCATCAGCTTGGCACTTGCTTCTTCACCTTTTTGCCCTCGGACCCCACTTGGAGTCCCAAAATCCTCATCTTCCTACCACTGGCAAGGGAACCACACCAGTTCCATTGTAACCAGGGTGCTGTGGATAGAGGGGCAGGATTTGATCTGTAATGCTTAGACATATTTTGAAATGTACATGTTTTTAAAAGCGAGAAGTAATTCTTTTGCTCTACTCTGCGCTAACTAGGCCTCAACTGGAGTATTGTGTCCAGTTCTGGGTGCCACATTTCAGGAAAGATGTGGACAAATTGGAGAAAGTCCAGAGAAGAGCAACAAAAATGAAAACATGATCTATCAGAGAAGATTGAAAAAATTGGGTTTGTTTAGTCTGGAGAAGAGAAGACTGAGAGGGGACATGATAAGTTTTCAAATACATAAAAGGTTGTTACAAGGAGGAGGGAGAAAAATTGTTCTTCTTAACCTCTGAGGATAGGACAAGAAACAATGGGCTTAAATTGCAGCAAGGGAGGTTTAGGCTGGACATTAGGAAAAACTTCCTAACTGTCAGGGTGGTTAAGCACTGGAATAAATTGCCTAGGGAGGTTGTGGAATCTCCAGCATTGGAGATTTTTAAGAGCAGGTTGGACAAACACCTGTCAGGGATGGTCTAGATAATACTTAGTCCTGCCATGAGGCAGGGGACTGGACTAGATGAGCTCTCAAGGTCCCTTCCAGTCCTGTGATTCTATGATTCCATGATTATGGGTATAAAAGGGACCATGACTTGCCTGACTGCAGGTTTTCCTCACAGATGTTGCCATAAGCAATCGGGTCCTGGAAAGATGCCCTTAATGTGTAGCTCTAGCCATGGCATAGTGAGGTTCCATGATCTATTCGGTTAGGGAGCTAACCTTCACCAACAGATGGCAAATTGAAGATGGCGGGGAGAGAATATATTTTTCATTTATAAAGAGAAGAGATTTGATCTGGAATCTTTGATACTGGATAACTTTTCCATACCTATTTACATTGGTCATTTAAAATAGATTAAATCTCATCACACATACGTTATGCTATACGTTTGAATATTGACATATTGGTTGTATATGTTACTGAGTTTAAAACTTATTTCCATTAGCCTGGAATATAGGATGTTTATCTCAACCTGGACTAAAAGCTAAATTTAACAAACCAACAAAAAGTTGTTTTTGCTAAACAGGACCCACAGATTTTGGATATTGCAGCTGACCAAGCCAAAGTAAAACAAACTCTAACAGACTTGCAAACCATTCTAGATGAGCTACAGAAACGGGCATTCCAGTATAAATCCTACCAGAAGAATTTTAAGGTAATTTTTTTCCCAGCTCTTTGCTGGACTTTTATGAAACCTGAATTGAACTGTATTTTTTGCAGTGTTAAACAAACAAATGTTTCTGAATAGCAGAACTTTGTAAAGCCAATGCCCTGGCTAGTGTCTTTTTGGAAATAGGTATTTCTTGCCCAAACCTGCTCATGCACAAGTGAAGGCTGGATTGAGGCTCCTTTGAAAAATTGTGTGTGATGTCCTAATTAAACCAATGGATTTTGTAATCTTTGTAAGCATTTTAAAGAGAATTTATGAAAATCACAATCTCCATCAGCTACTGGGGGAGTGGGAGTTCAAGGCACTAACAAAGACCCAGCTAGAAGTCTGGGGATTGTTTGTGGCTCACTTCCAATAAGGCTCAGCTAGACCCATGTCCTATTTCACGTTTACTGGTATATTGTTTCCTAATCAAACAGGCTCATGAGGGAGTCCACATGTCCACACACTGTACCTTCTTTGATGTGTCTGCATTGAAGGAGCTAATCCACTGAGGAAGTACCTTGATTGATTCGAATTTTCAGATAATACCATGGAACAGCCTATGGCAGCCACCTGGACTCCCCCATTGGCCTGTTCAGCTTGGAAAAAATGCACAAGAAATGTGCAGTAGGGAGCAATCCTCCATTGGCAGGGAGTTGGGCTACGTCTTTTAATAGATCTTTTTCCTCTTTAGACTCTGTGAATCCGTTGGGCTTTGGGATTCCTTATAGGCTTGGAAACCAGAGTTCTTCTGGAGCATAACCCTTGTAAGAGCTACATTAAAGAAACAAAAGTGACAAACAATGACTTCATTTGTACTATCTATGAACCATCTGTTTTATGAGAGCCTCATGAGCGTTAGGTGAGAGCTTTGCCACCAAGCCTGGATGTTTGTGTGGCTATAAATGTAATGCTGATGAGGACTGCTGATGACAGGTAGTTTGTAAGCTTTGTAAGCATTCACCTTACAACTTATTTGCTGCTCAGAAGGTACCTACATTGCTGGAATGGCCACTAGAGCTTGTAACTTCGGTCGGTACAATATCTGACAATACAACAGCTGAGACTTCTTTCAAAGGTTCCACTTCTAGTATTTGAAAGCACTGTGGGTTACACAACTGTATGTCATAACTCCTGAGAACTATATTGAAGGAGGCTTTAATTTCCATGGGGTTGGAAATGTGCTTTAAGTGGATACATATGTACAGCTGAATCAGTAGGTTTAGAGGGGTAAGTAGCACTAGCGTGCTGTTGGAAAGAACAGACTTTTTTGGAAGACGTCCATTTGCTAGTTACTAACCTAATGCCATCTTTGGGTAGCACCTGGATCCTCATAATATTTAGGTGGCCACAATACCATCTGAAAACATGGGCAGTTGAGTTATCATAAATTTGCTTTGCTTATGGGTGATAAATAGAATTATTGCAATCTGTTATAGTGAGAGAGCTCTTCTACCTGTAATTAAAGGGAATGTCACTGATCCTTCTCAGGACTGGGTATACTATGGACATCAAACAGAGCTTTTCCAGCTGCCTAAAGCATATCTTTGTTTAGTGTTGAATATTCCGCACAGATGGAGAGAGCTGTTTTAATGCAATGTATGTGCCTTGGCAGTTTTTCACAGAACTGACTAAAAATTATTCAATAGACTGCAATGTTTACTGACTGCAGTAGATAAAAGGAGTCAAGACAACTGCATGGAGTTCACAATAATTTCATATCTTTTGCACAAAAGTATTTAAGAAGAAATGTGGTTTAGAACAGATTATTTGCTCCTAAAGCAATATGATAAATTGGTATCCCCACTCCCTCCCCAATGTTAAATGTAGAATTTGGCAAATGTGAAGTGGGTATTTTTAAAAATATACAGTAGATTGTTTTATAAGAAGTTTTTAAAATGATTTTTTAAATTTCTCTTTTAAGGTGGAAATTTCAAAATTTGATGCTTTGGAGGAAGTTAGTGCAGAACTGAAACTCAAACAGCTGCTTTGGGATTCTTGTTCTGAATGGGAAATACTCCAAACAGAATGGATGGAGGTAAATTAAATGCTCTGATTCCTAAATGACCAAGTATAAGAATGATGTATAATAGTTTATAATATAAAATTCCAGTTTATAATATGTAGAAAAAATACTGTTTCTTTTATTTTTCCAAAATAGCATTATAGATTTTTGCATCACAGAGCTTTAAAAGATTACTATGTAGCTAATATTTTTGTAAGTTATTCCAGGGGTTATGCTTCTTGAATTGCTCTATATATTATCTTGTGAGTATTGTGAAGCAAATTGTAAAGTTTGAATAACATGGCAGGAATTTTGTAGATAAGTAAGTTTTATTCTAACCATTTAACAAACATTTGGGTTTTGAAGGCTACTTAATCTTTCAGTGTCACTATGGATATCTGCAGTTACTAAGGCTACTAAAGTAGAAAAAGAAAAACAAAACAAAACAGGATAAAAATAGTCTGCCCTTAGATAAAGTTTCACTTTCCTTCATTTGGCTTTCTTAAGGCTTCTCTTCAAAATATACATGAGTTACTCCCAGGGGAATTCTTTGCCACTGCACGTGCGCAGAATTAATGTCCCTCGCAGATTTCTTTGCTTCCCCACAGAAAAATGACTTTCTCATGCGTCCCTCCCCAGCAGTATGTTTCAGGTGTCCAGGGCAGCCAGCAGAGAGGTAAATGATTGTGGGGCAGGAGACCGGACTGGGGAAAAACTGGCTGGTGTCTCCTACCCTGCACCAGGCTCAGCTGCTAGTCCCGGTTGGGCTGGGGAGGATGGGACTTCCTCTTCCCCTGCATGGCATCCGGGGCTGTGTCAGACACACCCCCAGATTTCTCCCCCAGCTGTAGGATGCGCCGCAACCCTCCCCCCCGCCACACATACACTTCCTGCACCCATCGCTCCTCAGCTGCAGGGGGAGGGATCCCTGTACAGGGAGCTGCTCCCCCATCCACCCAACCCCCGGGCCTCCATATCCCTCATACCCAGACCCTCCCACCAAGCCTCAGGCCCCTGCACCCAGAACCCCCCCCCGCCAATGAGCCTCACTCCCCCTGTACCTGGACCACCCCAACGAGCCACCTCCACCTGGATCCCCACCCCACTGAGCCCCACTCCCCCAGCAACTGCCTCCTCCACTGAGCCCCCCACCCCCACACCCCTTCCGAGTGCTATCCCCCCACACCCCCATGCTGCTCCCCAAACACCTTCACCTGGACCCCCCCTGCAGAGTCCCATTACCATTGCACCCAGAACCCTCCAACAAGCCCACGTGCATCCAGATCCCCCCTGCACCTGGGTCCCCCACTGAGCTGCCCGCACCTAGATTGCTCCACACAGAACCCTCTCAACCCACACCTGGATCTCCCCATGCTAAGCCCCTCCACACTTGGATCCTACCTTGCTGAGCCTGTCTGCCCACACCTGGCGCATCTGGCAAGGAGAGGCAGGCCCAGTCCTTGCGCTGTGTCAGGGTTGGGTGCAGCCTCTCCGCTGAGTCCGTGTCCCGGGGCGAGGGGGGGGAGCTGCACAGTGATCTCCCACCTCTGTGCAGCCAGTGGCCTGTGCTCCCCAATGCCATGCTGGAGCCTCCACATTTATTTGACAAATACAATTTGCAGAACTTGACAGAATTTTAAAATATAGTACGCAGAATTTTTAATTTTTTGATGCAGAATGCCCCCAGGAGTAATGAGTTGGACCTTGCAGTGGTCAGATGACACCGCAAAGTATGAGTTTTGGTTACTCGTGTCTTGGCCAACAAAACAGCTAATATTCTTCTGGGTTGTAAAATTCTTTCACCTCCTCTTCACATCCAGCTATAGTTTTGGACATTCTGACTGCCTGCAGTAGTAATTTCCACAGGATGACTTCATGATTTGAGAAGAAATTTTTGTTTTATATTTACCTGCCAGTAATTTAAACATCTCACTGATACCTTCTGTGTTCTAACCACCGATTGTCTCTATAATAATATCCATAGATTGGAAATTGTTTATGGCCAGGGCCATCTTTTCATTAGATGATGTACAGAGCCTGGCACACTGGGGTCCTGCACAATGGCTCTAGGTGCTCCTGCAGTACAGATAAATCAATAAATAATATTATTATGAGACAGCATATAAAGCCTCAGTCATTATAGTAATGCCCCATTCTTGTGTGTGGGTTCCTAGTGCTGTACTGGTGGGAACTGCCATGACTTCAGAGGTTTAGGGCGGCCAGCACCTCCCCTCCAACAGATGGGATGTTCTCTTCCTGTTGAGGAGATGAACTAGCCCTTAGGGCCTCTAGCTGTCAGTTCCTGTTTCACTGCTGACTGGAAGAGGGGCTCCCTATCGCTGCTGCTGCAGCTGCATTAGTCAGAAAAATCAACATTTTATCTGCTTTGCGCTGATTTTTATGAGTGTTTCCTCAAGGTCTATAGTAATGTATGCAGCTATCTTAGATTCTGTTAGTGAAAACTAACAAAATAAATGGAGAAGAAAGGTTGATTTTTGTGCTGTGCGAGGTGTCTCATACTTCTCAATACTAGTGTTTTGTAATTTCTACCTCCCCCACTACTTTTAGTCTTTTCTGCTCGTTTAGATCAAATTTGGCTCCATTTGTGCCCTCCTATAAAATATTGAGGTGTGTTTCCTATTGTATATCAGGCTGCCATACACCCTAAGTGGGAGCCTTCTTCCACCAGAGCATAGAGGGATTCCGCATCTGAAAGGTATATGGTACATCTCACCCTACCTCTTGTCATGGTATGGTAGTTGGTGTCATGGTGTATTTACTTGCTGTATATTAATTACCTACTAGATGTCTGTGTGTGCTGTATAGAGCTTTAGACAAGGCTTGGTCCCTGGTGAAAACAAGGCAGACAATGCTGGGACTTGAGTTGTGTGGAAACCTGTTTGTGTTTGTACTTTGTTGTTGTGCAGTTGTTTAAGAAAGACTGTGGTCATTCCATATATTGCGGCTAGGATGACCAGATAGCAAGTGTGAAAAATCAGGACAGGAGGTGGGAAGTAATAGGTACCTATATAAGAAAAAGCCCCAAAATTCGGGACTGTCCCTATCTGGTCACCCTAATTGTGGCAGTGGAAGACTGCAGGCATCAAAAGTGCCAGCTTTGCCTATTATAAACCACAGTAGAGCCTTTTCTTTTTAATTTTGCAAAATTCACTGAGTCTCCCTATCATTAGTGTTCTATTGTAGTACCTTTCTTTTACCTGTGTTTAATGGATTACGTGTATATAATAGTGCTTTGCTTTAGAATATACTGCCTTTTGAAGCCTTTGAGTGCCCAAGGATTGCAGGATCTGACCATATACTGTAACTGTTGGATGCACTGTGTGTCAGATTTTGCTATCCTTACTTATGTTGAGTAGTGCCTTACTGTATGAGTAGTGCCATTGATTGCAGTGATTTCTTTGTGGAGTAAGGTACTATTCAAAGTGAATGTGACCATTAATTAATATATTTTCTCTGTTTGGTTTTCACAGTGTAAATTTGATAGCTTGGATCCAGAATACCTGAATTCTCAGGTTTCCAAGTACGCCAAATTTGTGAATCAATTGGAAAAGGGTTTGCCACCCAATAATATAGTGCCCCGGCTCAAGGGGAATGTGGAGAAGATGAGAGAAAAGGTAAAATAGCAACCTGAAATTCCCTTTCCAAAAAGCTTTTTAGAAAAACATGAAGTTAAACTATACTATTTATTTTTCAATAAACTTCAAAGATTCCCTCATTTTATATAACTCGTCCAGAGGCAAAATGGAAAGGGAGTGAAAAAACAAAAAACTGAAAACTTCAGTTTTTGAAAACTAAACGATTTTGTTTTTTGCCAAAAATTTCAAACAAAAAGAAACTGGGGGGAAAAGGATCATTTGTTTCTAAAAATAACTAAATAAAAATTTTGATCAAAAGTCTTTTACGAGTTCTACTTACAAGCTCTATGTAAAAGATGGTGCTTTGAGAGAGCGCTAGGGTTGTAAAATACATGAATGAAAAATAAATATATTGTTTGTTTTACTTTTCCAGCTTCCAGTTATCACAGACCTAAGAAACCCCTTTTTGAAACCCAGGCACTGGGCAGTTTTGGAGCAAATAGTTAATGCACCACTGGTGGATGTGGAATACCCATTATCTTTGGCTCGACTGGTTGAGCTCAGTGCTTTTGAATTTTCTCAAGAAATTCAGGATGTTTCTGGACAAGCTTCTGGAGAAGCTTCCTTAGAGACCATTCTCAAAAAGGTAACTTTTACAAACAAACATTTGTCTTTGTTTTTGACAATATGCTGAAAACCTTGACCTTTTTATGGACGACTAAGAAAGAATGTGTGTCTCAATATATATGTATATAAGTACTTATATAAGTATATACACAGTATATAAGTACCACATTAATGGTAAGTAGAATTTTTATATTTGAGCGAAATATAAAGCAGAAATACAGTTTCTGTCATAATAGACCTCTGCCCTTCCAAGGAGCATGTTCAAGGGGGCTTACAAAGGCAGAGACTGATGCAGCAGGTGCACTAACAGAACTGTCCTTGGCAGAGAATGTTGGGCCCACAGAATGTTCTGTGCCTTCTCGGCTGCCTCTCCAGTAGCACATACCCCCTGATGTCAGCAAGTCTGTGCTGAAGTCATGTTTTGGCTTGAAGAGTCTCTATGCAAGTTGACATTATTGTAAACAGACAAAAACCATGCTTTGTTTATTATAGTTTTATGCAAAATAAGAAAAAGGTTGATGCTTGTTAAATGGAAAAGGACAAAGTCAGCAGAGATTTTTTCCCCTTTTTCTTCTGCAAAGAGAGAACAAACACCACAAAGTAAAACAATCATTTGACAGTGTCTGTTTAGTCCCATGCATCTGAAGAATTGGGTTTTTTACCCATGAAAGCTTATGCCCAAATAAATCTGTTAGTCTTTAAGGTGCCACTGGACTCCTCATTGTTGTTGGGTTTTTTTTAGGTGAAAGGGCAGTTTTTTCATTAGTTGGAATTAGACTTTCTACACTTTATTTACTTTGTAAAACCTAAATGTTTTAGTATTGTAAGTAGATTTACAAGGTTTATAATTTTCTCAATCAGGTGGAGGATTCTTGGAAAACAACTGAATTCATTGTTCTTCCTCATCGTGATTCTAAAGATGTTTTTATCCTTGGTGGTACAGACGACATTCAGGTAAGTCACTGCTTGTACTTAATAGACAGCTGAGAAAAGTTCAAATGAAACTAGCAAAAATTCAGATGAAACTAGCAGTGGCAGGTTACATTTATAAAATTCGGGCAATGACCTGGTGATGGTCTATGTTGATGGAACATTTTATATTATTTTAAACAGTGTATAAACAAAATATAAATTCACATTCTTTTTGCTTATCCATTTAATAACAAAATCTTTTCTCAAGAGAGTTTGTAATTTTTCATAAACATTCAGTTCTTCGAGTGCTTGCTCATATCGATTCCAATTAGGTGTGCGCGCGCCGCGTGCACGATCGTCGGAGAATTTTCTACGCTAGCAACACCCTGTGGGTTGGCTGGGGAGCCCCCTGGAGTGTCGCCTTCATGGCGCTGGATATATACCCCAGCCGACCCAGCGCCCCCTCAGTTCCTTCTTATCGCCCGTGACGGTCGTTGGAACTGTGGAGCGCCATAGCTGTCCTCCACTCTCCCTAGCTTTCCTTGTTAGTTATTGTTGTAGTTAGTTGTATAGTTATAGATTTAGTATAGTTTAGTAGTTTAATAGCTGTTACAGAGTAGTTATAAGTAGTTAGCGGGGGTAAGGGGGTTTTCATCTCCCTCTTTCCCCCCGGCGTGCAGCTGGGCTCATGCCCAAGGCTCCTGGCTTTAAACCGTGCGTGACCTGTGCTAAGCCTATGCCAACGGAAGACCCCCACGACTCTTGTCTAAAGTGTTTAGGGGAGTCTCACCAGACTGATAAGTGCAGGATCTGCAAGGCTTTTTGGCCCAGAACCAAAAAGGAGCGGAACTTTCATCTTAAAAAGCTCCTTGTGGAGGCGGCACTTAGCCCAGACCCTCCTTCGGCACGCCAAGCTCCGGCATCGAACGCCTCGGTGCGCAGCGCCCTGGCGGCGGCCTTGGGTACTGCACCACGAGGAGACGCGGATAAGACCCCACGGCACCGTCCTCCATCGGCACCGCGTTCACCACAAGCCCCTCGGCGCCGTTCCCTGTCTCCGGGTCACAAGAGACCCCGTAAAACACAGGAGACTGCCACGCAACAGCAGGCACTGGCGCCCCCTGCACTGGCTGTGGAGTCGCGTCTGGCATCGGAACGTCTGAGGTTACAGGCGCCGTCATCGACACCGTTGACTCTGGCACCGGTAGTAGGGCCGCTGAGTCCGGTGCGGACTGGCTCCCCGCCCCGTTCCGTGGTTGAGCCGTGTCTCCCGTCTACGCCGGAGACGTTTGCGATGGCTAGAGACCTCATTGCCCTCACGGAACCGGCACCGTCTCAGACCGCGGCACCGCATCCGCTCCGCACGGTGCAATCCAGGGGCAAGCCTGCCCTGCTACACCCTCTATCTCCGAGCGTGGATTCTCGGCACCGCTCCCAGTCTCGGAGCAGGTCCCGACGCCGCTCGCAGTCCCGGCACCAGTCTTCATCACGGCGCTGGTCGTACTCGCGGCCCAGCTCTTCCTCCCAGCACTGGTCCACCTCTCGGCACCGACCCGAGCATCGATACCGCTCAGAGTCCCGACGCAGTTCCCGGCACCGGTATGAGCGCCGATCCCGTTCGAGAGGCCGCTCCCGGCACCGATTCTACAGACGGTCTTCTTCGCGATCCAGATCTGGATCCCGGTACCGGCATGGCCATCAGCACCGTTCTCGCTCCCGGTTCCGCTCCCCGGCACCGCGCAGAGACCACTCTCCCGTGGACCGGCACCGCTCGGCACCGTTCCAGGAGGAGCCAGCACAATCACGCTCGGCACTGCCCTGGCCCTCAAGATCTGCGTCTCGCTCTTCTGAAGGTGCCTCCCGCTCAGCCTATCCTGCTCAGGGTCAGGCAGCGGACGACCTTTGCCATTGGCAGGATGGGGCAGAGGACCCTAGACAGGACCCTGCACATTGGTCTTTCTGGACCCCATGGGCATATCACCAGGCACAAGGGGCTCCACCAGCGGCCTCTCGCTCGGCACACTCAGAGCCCAGGGTACCGGAGGCCACCATTACCCGTCCTCCCCCAGGGGGTATTGAGGCTCCTGTGCCAACGCCCATGCAGGCCCCAGACCCCGGTACACGGGATCCTGGACATCAGGGACCCTCGGATCCAGACCCACCTCTGGATCCTTTACCTCCTGAGGCATCTTCCTCATCTTTCCCAGATGAGGTGGTGGCGGGCACGACAACCTTGGGCCCACCCCCGATAGACCTCCGTGTCCACCAAGACCTGTTACGTAGGGTGGCACGGAACATGGATCTACAGGCAGAGGAGATAGTGGAAGTGGAGGACCCGGTGGTGAGCATATTCTCAGCTGAGGATGCATGTCCCAGGACCCCAGCGCAGGCCCTTTAGGCCCCAGCCCCAGAGGTTCTACCCTCCTCCTCCTCGTCCAAGACAGGACTTCCCCAGAAGGCGTGGACGAAGTGGTAGAAGGAGGTCGACCGGCCCCCAACCCGGTCAGAACCAAGGCCCTCCTAGATCACCTTCAGGGCCTAGACAAAATTTTTGAAGGTGCGCTCGAGGACAGCGTACTAGCCACCACTCAGGATCCATTCCCTTTATTTCGGGATCGCCTCTCCCATTTCCACCGTGCTTGGTCCCTTATAACCTCAGACCGTTGGGTTCTTCACACGGTGGAAGGGGGATACGCTCTTCAGTTTTCTTCTTCCCCCCCCTTCTACCCTCCCGCCCCGTCCCTCTTCAGGGACCCTTCTCACAAGCAACTCCTTACACAGGAGGTTTTTACGCTCCTTTCTATGGGGGTGATAGAGGAGGTTCCATCAGAGTTAAGGGGCAGGGGGTTTTACTCCCGCTACTTCCTGATCCCCAAGACAAAAGGGGGTCTTCGACCCATTTTAGATTTATGCGGACTCAACAAATTCATGGTAAAGTTGAAGTTCCGCATGGTCTCGCTGGGGACCATTATCCCTTCCCTGGATCCTGGAGACTGGTACGCCGCCCTCGACATGAAGGACGCATATTTTCATATAGCAATCTACCCTCCGCACAGGCGCTACCTTCGATTTGTAGTAAACAACGTACACTACCAATTTGCCGTCCTTCCCTTCGGCTTGTCCACGGCTCCGAGAGTGTTCACCAAATGTATGGCCATCGTGGCAGCCTACCTTCGTCGACAAAGGATACAGGTGTTCCCGTATCTAGACAAGTGGCTGGTGCGCGGCCACACCAGGGAGCAGCTTCAATCCCACGTCCAAATCACACTACAAACATTCCACAAGTTGGGCATCTTACTCAACAAAGAAAAGTCTACTCTGGAGCCAACCCAGAGAATAGAGTTTATCGGGGCAGTCTTAGACTCCAGACTCGCCCGCGCTCTTCTGCCAGACACTCGGTTTCAGACCATCGCAAACATCATCCGCAGCCTCCAGGGCTTCCCGACTTCCACGATAAGGAAGTGCCTCAGCCTGTTCGGACACATGGCTTCTTGCACTTACGTAACCAGGCATGCCAGACTTCGGCTCCGCCCGCTTCAGGCCTGGGTGTCATCAGTGTACCGTCCTTGTCGGGACAGCCTGAACATGGTGGTCACGGTTCCGAATTCGGTCTTGATCTCTCTCAACTGGTGGCTGAACCACAAGTCGGTGTGCGAAGGAGTGCTGTTTCACATCCCACAACCCTCCCTGTACCTGGTCACGGACGCATCATCTCTCGGCTGGGGCGCTCACCTCGGGGAGCACCAAACGCAGGGCCTGTGGACCACATCCGAACTAGCTCTGCACATCGATGTTCAAGAGCTGATGGCAGTGCGCCTAGCCTGTCAGCCGTTTCACGGTCTCCTACATGGCCGTTGCGTGGCAGTCCTCACAGACAACACCATGGCCATGTTCTACATCAACAAGCAAGGGGGAGCCCGATCGTCCCTCCTATACCAGGAGGCCATTCGCCTGTGGGAATTTTGCATTGCCCACTCGATACATCTCATGGCATCGTTCCTCCCTGGAGTCCAGAACACTTTAGCGGACCGTCTAGCAGATCCTTCCAGACGCACGAGTGGTCGATTCACCCAGATTATATCCACTCCATCTTCCAGAGGTGGGGATTTCCCCAGCTCGACCTATTCGCCTCACGCGCCAACAGGAAGTGCCACGTGTTCTGCTCCCTCCAGGGGCGATCTCCAGGCTCCCTGTCGGACGCTTTCCTGCTACCGTGGAAGGACCAGCTGTTCTATGCTTTCCCTCCATTTCTGCTCGTCCACAAGATCCTGCTCAAGCTACGTAGAGACAAGACACGTATGATTCTAGTCGCTCCAGCTTGGCCAAGACAGCACTGGTACACCACGCTCCTGGAGCTGTCGGTACAGACTCCGATCACGCTTCCACTGCACCTGGACTTGATCTCTCAGGACCACAGCCGACTCTGTCACCCCGACCTGCAATCGCTGCACCTTACAGCGTGGATGCTGCATGGCTGACTCGGACAGAGCTACGATGCTCACATTCCGTGCAGCAGGTTCTGTTGGGCAGCAGGAAACCCTCTACATGGGCCACTTACTTGGCCAAATGGAAGCGCTTCTCCTGTTGGTGCGAGCAGCGGGCCACGCCCCCCTTGCAGGCGTCAATCCCACTTGTACTTGAATATCTCCTATCCCTAAAACAGCAGGGCCTGGCGATATCTTCGGTCAGGGTGCACCTGGCTGCTATATCGGCGTTCCACCAAGGAGAACACACTTCCTCGGTCTTCTCTAACCCGATGGTCGTCAGATTCCTCAAGGGCTTAGACCGCCTATACCCACAGCTGCGTCAACCGGTTCCGGTGTGGGATCTTAACCTGGTTCTCTCCAAGCTCACGGGGCCCCCGTTCGAGCCATTGGCTACCTGGTCACTCCTTTACCTATCTTGGAAGACAGCCTTCCTTGTAGCCATCACTTCAGCAAGGCGTGTTTCTGAAATCAGAGCGCTCATGTCCGAACCTCCATATACAGTCTTCCATAAAGACAAGGTGCAGCTTCGCCCCCACCCTGCCTTTCTTCCCAAGGCGGTATCAGCTTTTCATGTGAACCAGGATATATTTCTCCCGGTCTTCCATCCTAAGCCGCACGCTACGCGACAAGACCAGCGTATGCACTCCTTGGATGTACGCAGGGCCCTTGCTTTCTATATCAAGCGTACGAAGCCGTTTAGGAAGACGACTCAACTCTTCGTTGCAGTGGCTGACCGGATGAAAGGCCTACTGGTCTCCTCGCTACATATCTCCTCTTGGATCATGTCCTGTATTCATGCTTGCTATGACCTGGCCGGTGCCCCGACGCCGCACCTCACCGCCCACTCCACGAGGGCCCAAGCCTCCTCGACTGCCTTCCTGGCTCACCTCTCGATCCATGACATTTGTAGAGCGGCGGTTTTGTCATCGGTTCACACCTTTGCCGCTCACTATGCGCTTGTACAGCAGTCTAGAGATGATGGTGCATTTGGATCAGTGGTTCTGCACTCAGCGATGTCTCACTCCGACCCCACCGCCTAGGTAAGCCTTGGTAGTCACCTAATTGGAATCGATATGAGTAAGCACTCGAAGAAGAAAAAACGGTTACTCACCTTTGTAACTGTTGTTCTTTGAGATGTGTTGCTCATATCCATTCCAAAACCACCCCCTTTCCCCACTGTCGGAGTAGCCGGCAAGAAGGAACTGAGGGGGCGCTGGGTCGGCTGGGGTATATATCCAGCGCCATGAAGGCGCCACTCCAGGGGGCTCCCCAGCCGACCCACCGGGTGTTGCAAGGGTAGAAAATTCTCCGACGATTGTGCACGCGGCACGCGCGCACCTAATTGGAATGGATATGAGCAACACATCTCGAAGAACAACAGTTACAAAGGTGAGTAACTGTTTTTTCTCCAAAGTTAACAATTGCAGTATCTATTACATATGTAATTATCTTAATAAATTATAGATACTTTGGTTAATATCAAACATTAGAACTAGAAGAACTAATATCAGCTGGATGACTGCATAAAACCTATCTAGAACTCCTCTCCTGCAACGGTGTACCCTTTTTGCAGGTGCTTGGGTCTGTTGGGGGTTGGACTAGATGACCTCCTGAGGTCCCTTCCAACCCTGATATTCTATGATCCTATGATCTGTGCAGAGCCATTTGCAGGATCAGGGCCTAATTTCTGTGATTTGGAAAATATGTTATGAAATCATAGCATACACTTCAGCCAAAGTTTGATTCAACTAAAACTTTAGGCAACAAACCATTTGTATTGAAATAACATACCTTCATCCATTTTATTTTGATCATTGCTAGTGGAGAATCAGGTCCCCAGACGGTAACTGACAGACTGTGTACTTCTTATTTAAGGTTCTTCTTGATGACAGCACTATTAATGTAGCAACTATAGCCTCCTCACGATATGTGGGCCCTCTGAAAGCACGTGTTGATGAATGGCAAAAGCAGCTCTCCTTATTTAGTCAAACATTGGTGAGTAGCAAACAACAAAACAGCTTCTTAGGACTTAGCTTGAGTCTCAAATAAAGGACAAAGTGGCGGAGTTCTAGTTTATTTTAAAATACTGAATATGTTGAAATTGCTTGAAAGGAGATCTTTTTTTTTTTAAACCTAATTTTACAAGGTGATGTCACAAAGTCCCCATTGAACTTATATTTGTTAGGAAAACCATCATTCAGAATGTGTCAGTGACTTACACAGTCCAAATAATGAGCTTATACTGTATTTGTTTAACTTTCACCCTGGGAATGCTATCTAACTGGCAAGTGAATGGCTTCTGCAAATTGGAAGTGCGTGTTGGCCGCAAGCAGAGAGAAGCTAGGGTGCATAGTAAGAGCGTTCAGTAGTAGTGGTATCAGATCTCTCCTGGTCTTGGTGTGGGTGGTGGGTGGGTCCAGCAGCCTATGGGAGGCAAGGTCCAAGCCCCTTGCAAAGTGGGGTAGCTGGTGCCTTGCTGCTGGAGTGGGGATGACAAGGTCAGCTTTGAGTTCTTGACATGAGGCACTTCTTGCCAGAAAGTGTGATAGCTGGGAGCGATTCTGGGTTGGGTACATGTAATTGAGCGAAAATAGTGGCCAGTTCATCAGCTGTGGGGTGGACAGGGCTAATATCATGGGTAGAGGAAGCGTTCTGCACTGAAATACTGCAGATGGTCAATTGAGGATCAATATACAAGGCCCCATTGGCCTAAATAATACTTGAAGCATATGGACCTAAATTGAAATGCCCGTAGTATAAACGAATGGAAAATTATTCAAAATATTGAAACTAAAGGAAAATGTGAATGTGTGATTTTAAAATTAGCAACAGTAAAACATTAATATTAGAAAGAGAAGCAACACTGGCCAGCTCTCTTCCTCTGCAGATGTAGCACTGGGAGGGGCTCACACAGCACTGGTCAGAGCTGGGGGAGTTTTTTTGCAACAGGAGAAAACAAGAGGTCCTAAGCATGCTCAGGTACGGGTGAGGTAGCAGAGTTCCAGAGCTTGGGCTGCAGCCTGAGCCTGAATGTCTACACTGCAATTCAACAGCCCCTTAGCCCGGGCCCTGCGATCCCAAGTCAGCTTGCACGGGCCAGCCACGGGGTCTAATTGCAGCGCAGATATATCCCCAGGGACCAGTATCACCTGGAAGCGGGATTGTGCCTATCCTGTGTCCCCTTTGTGCCGGCCTAGCTGGTGCAGAGAGGCTGTAGGGTAACAATGAACAGAGCCTGAGGCTTATTTCTCTATAATTTCTCACTGTTGCTACCACCATTGCAACTCCACTGATCGCACCAATAGCTGCCGGTGCTGTGTAGACCTACTCTGGGCAGGGTTAGGGGACATGGTGCTGAAAATGCTGGCAGCCTGGAGCTCTGCTTACACCAACGCTTCTAATGTTGCGACCTCCAGTGGAGCTGCCAGAGTAGTAGCCACAGTAGGAAGTTTGGGGCAAAAAAGCCTTGTGGAGATACCACCTCATAGTATGACATCTTTGTGCTGCTGGAGAACCTGATTGGCCTGCAATATCCAGCACCATCCTGTTAATCTTCATGCAAGGGAAGAAGGCAGCAGACCTGCAGTTAACCCTTTGTTTGCTGGTGGCCAAGTCAGTCTCTTGCAGCCTGTCACATGTCATAAAATAAAGGTTCTTCTCAAGCAGCATATATTATATCCTTTGTTTTCCCCCCTTTTAAAAAAATAAATAAATCACAATTTAAGAGAGAATCTGACAAATGTCCAAGAAGATTTGCCAGATTTTTCAAAGCAGCCTACCTAGCATGTTATCAAATAGAGTTTACTTGGTGAGTGTATTGGAAATGTACGTTCTTCGTGACCATACAATTTGCCATATAGAAAATTATCTTAGGAGATCTTTGGAGGGTGGGGGGCAAAGTGCACACTGTCTCATCAAATGTCTGATAGTTGAGCCAAAGGGCTAAAATTGTGTCATGAATATTGAAGTTTTGACAGTCTGAGGGTAGGTCTATACTTACCTCCAGGTCCAGCGGTAAGCAATCGATCTTCTGGGATTGATTTATCGTGTCTTGTCTAGACACAATCAATCGATCTTCTGGGATCGATCCCGGAAGTGCTCGCCGTCGACGCCGGTACTTATGCTCGTCGAGAGGAGTACGCGGTGTCGACGGGGGAGCCTGCCTGCCGCATCTGGACCCGTGGTAAGTTCGAACTAAGGTACTTCAACTTCAGCTACATTATTCACGTAGCTGAAGTTGCGTATCTTAGTTCGAAGTGGGGGGTTAGTGTGGACCAGGCCTAAGGGTGGATATCTGAAATCTTATGGAGGATTCATGTTTAATATTTGTGGATTTTCTTCTGCTTCCTAATTTGAAAATTCAGACTGTATTTCAATAATTTTCCTTTGTAAGGATGGGGACTAATTGCTCAAGTTTTCCTTTTTTTTCTAGGAAGAGTGGTTGACATGTCAGAGAAACTGGCTTTACTTAGAAAGTATTTTTAGTGCTCCTGATATACAGAGGCAGCTACCTGGAGAGGCAAAGATGTTCTTACAGGTGGATAAGTCCTGGAAGGAAATAATGAGAAAAGTTAATCGTCTGCCAAATGCTCTTCGTGCTGCTACTCAGCCTGGTATAAAATAATGGTGTATTATCCCAATCAATGTATAAGCCATTGTAGGTGATGTTAATCCTTATTCCGCACTTGCTAGCCTAACACTTATGTCTGTTAGTAGGATGAAAAATACCTGTACTGCTCCACCCCAAGGCCACTCCCCCTGCAGCGTAAAGGAATAAGACTATTGTGTCCTGTTTACTATGTACTGCATTTAATTGCAATATGTTGTCAATCAACTTTGTTTAATATATATTCAAAATGTAACTTGCTATAGCTCATTTGCTCTCTTTATGCATTCTCTCCCTACTTTCACTCTGCTTTCTCTTCTCTTCCCACTCATAATATATATCTTCCATTATTGTTTTCAGTATCCTGTCTCCTTTTTACTTTCTCTCCTTGCAACCGTTCTCTATATTATGTTCTCTACCTATTCCCCTATATTTTGTGTCTTTCTATCAATCAGTTTCCCTCACTGTCATCAAGTGACCTTTCCACCTCCCAACCACACCCTGATGGCTTCAAGAAAGCTCTGTACACAGCCCATTGCCTCAGTTTCCCCTTTCAGAGGGCTCCTTAAATAAACTCCATACAGGCTTTTTTGTCCAATAATGCTCCTGCATCCAAGGGCATGGCTACACTTGCAGATGTAGAGCACTTTGAGTTAAACCAGCCTTCAGAGAGCGAAAATTGTCCATGCATGCAGACCTAACCCTCCTCGCCCCAAGAGCCTGCACCGAATAACTTCCTTCCCAAAATAAAAGCCGCTTAGTGGGCACATCCTCTGGTGTTTGTCCTTCCCCAAGCACCGGCCACCGCAACTGGCTACCTTCCTCCTGGCTTGAGAACAGCTCCTGGCTGCATGCATCTAGAGATGCTGGGGTGTCTCCCTCCTCCTCAGCACTCTCACTCCCGCTTTCCTCCTCCTCCTCCTGGGCTTGTTGAACTGGGCTCTGAAGTGTCCATGGTGGTACTCGGAGTGGAGGTGGGGTCACCCCCCAGTATTGCGTCCAGCTCTTTGTAGAAACGGCAGGTCGTGGGGGCAGCACTGGAGTGCCTGTTTGCCTCGCAGGCTTTGCGGTAGGCATTCCGCAGCTCCTTCACTTTAACCCTGCACTGCAGTGCACCCCTTTCCATCATGTCCCTTGATATCTGCCTGAAGGTATCGTAATTCCTACGGCTGGAGCGCAGCTGGGACTGGACAGCTTCCTCGCCCCAAACACTGATGAGGTCCAGCACCTCGCCATTGCTCCATTCTGGGGATCACCAGGCGCGTGGAGGAATGGTCACCTGGAAAGATGCCCTGAGAGCACTCCACGCCTGGCTGAGCAAACAGGAAGGGGATTTTCAAAATTCCCAGAGAATTTAAAGGGCAGATCTGACAGTTGGTCACCAGAGGGCAGGGCAGTAGAGTTCAAAGTGATGACCAGAGTGGCTAGAACAGGCATTGTGGGACACTTCTGGCAGCCGATCAGAGCGCATTAATAGACCAGGGCGTTCACACTGGTGCCACGGTGCTCCAGCGGGGGCGCATCAAACGTTATGCTTCTCGCCGAGGTGGATTACCAGGAACGCTGTAGCCGCGGAGTCAGAGCGCTCTACGTGCCTTGCCAGTGTGGACGTGTCGTGAGTTAGAGCGCACAGGGCTGCTTTAATGCGCTCTAACTTGCAAGTGTAGCCATGCCCCATGTCTAGTTTATTGATATAAAGCAGAAAGCAAAAAATCAGTCTGGAGGCTTCTCTCGTCCCCCAAGTCTTTTCTTTGCAGCTCTTCTCTGCTTTGGCAAGCCACTTTCAATCGTACCTGGCTGGAGTCTTTTCTTACTCTTGTAGAGTCTCTCTTTCCATCCAGTACTACCCTCCTTGTTTTATCCACAAAACAGTTCAATTCCATGCATTTAACCAATTATCAGGGTCCTCCCAGGCCTTTCGTGCCTGTAGTCTCAGGCATGATCAACACTAGACAATTAAATTGGCTTAACTACGTTGCTCAGGGGTGTGAAAAATCCACACCCATCAGCGGTGTAGTTAAGCCGACCTAACCCCCGGTGTAGATAGCACTGTCCTCTGTCAATCTAGCTACTACTTCTCGGGGAGGTGGATTGCCTACACCCATTGGCATAGGTAGTGTCTACACTGAAGCATTACAGCAGCGCAGCTGCAGCGGTCCAGCTGTGCCACTGTAGCATTTTAAGTGTAAACACACTGTGAGTCTCAAGTCTTTCTGTTGGAGCCCAGTGACTCCCAGCAGCCTCTGATCTCCCTGAGCATCCTCCACTCAGCTTCCTGTTGCGCTTTATAGCGGAACCAGGCGATCCTTGTCGCAAGCCACCCCGTTACATTCATCTTTCCATCTCTCCCCTACTTCACTAACCTGACTTGTAAAGTCTTCCTTAAGGGCTTGATCCTGCAAATGCACACAGGAGTGAAGTGCACAGTGGGAGAAATCATTACCATTCTGATTATGAACTATTTAAAACTCACTTTGAATGGTGTCAATGACTTCAGAAGGTGCAGGGCAATGGAAAATCAGACTCAAGGTTTTCCATGTTAAGCATTAAGATCCAGGTACTAAGTGGCACCGGACACTAACTCTTTCATTTGCCAGGGTAGGAGAGTTCATTTTGGATTACAGTAAAATTTGCAGCAGCCAAAACATTCCGCTTTCTGCTGCTGCATTCCTGCAGAATCCACTTTTGTGTGTAGAATGTTAGGACCTTTTTACTGGTTTTTAGACTTCTTTGGTTGTTTGAATCACTTTCTGTCCATTGACATTTTTCATAGTCTACAGAATGTACAATATTTTAAGAAACAAAATGGACACCTGCTGGATTTTATGAAATATTTTCCTGCACAAGGCATCCAAGCCACAGGCAGGGGATCTCTCGTATTCACCACTGAGTACTGCTCGATCTTGACTTTTTCCAGGGTGGCACAGAAGGATAGGGGGGGCAAGGCGCACTGGAGCCATAAAATGGCGCACGTCCCTGTGCCTGGGCAGCTCATAGCCACTATTACAGCCCAGTGGTTGGAGTAGCGGCCAAGGAGCAGCTGGGGGCTGTCAAGTGCCCTGACTGTGTTGTGAAGGATGAGTTCTTTCACCTATAACCCTGGGGCGGGATCCTCTGTTTGTTTACTCAGGCTTCAGGTGAGGGATAGGAGTTTTGCCCATGTAGCAGTAAATTGAAATGAGTTCAGTGGGTGAAGCAGTAATTGAATATGTGCCCCGGTTTCATAGGTGAATTCTTTGCAAGCCCTAAAATGTGCATTGAAATTATTAACACGTAACAACATTTAGTTTTATCTGGTGACAGGGTTTCAGACATAGCTTATAAAAAGCAGAGTTTTTCCTTGCACTTTTAATCACAATATTTCTCTTTTGTTTTTTTATTCTCACTACAATGTTTTCTCAAGTAATCTTTTTTCTCTTCATAGGCCTCTTAGAGACTTTTCAGAATAACAATGGGCTACTTGATCAAATTCAAAAATGCCTAGAGGCTTATTTGGAGTCCAAGCGAGTTATCTTTCCCAGGTTAGTAAAAGTCATTGCAAACAATCCGTGCAATCTGATGATTGACATCAATAGAAGGCATATATTTGATTTAATGTTATATTGTCTGCTACTAATACAAATGGCAAGAATCTTTAGTTATACTATAAAATTCTTCCAAATTGTACTATTTTTAGCTAAGAATGATTTTTTTTTTTTTTTTTAATTTTTGTGTCAAATATTTTGCATCTAAAGTTCTTTTGTTTATCAAACAGGTTTTACTTTTTATCAAACGATGAACTCCTGGAAATCTTGGCCCAGACTCGCAATCCTCAAGCAGTTCAGCCTCATTTAAGAAAATGCTTTGATTCAATTTCTAAACTAGAGTTTGCCATGATGGCTCCATCTGAAGGAGAAGAAAAGGTTTTTACTAATGATATTTTAGCAATGTTGTCACCCGAGGGAGAGAGGGTAAGTAAATATTTTGATTACTCTTTTAATCTGTTTCCAGTAAATATATATTTTCCATATATACAGTACGTGAAAAGAAAAAGTTAGAAACACAACTGTTATATATGAATAAAATACAGAATAGGCCAGATCCATCACTGCATTACTCCAGGTTTATAAGGCTAGAGCTCCTTAGATTTCAGTGGCATTACACTGGCATAAAAATGATAGAATCACAGGACTGGAAGGGACCTCGAGAGCTCATCTAGTCCCGTCTCCTGCACTCATGGCAGGACTAAGTATTATCTAGACCATCCCTGACAGGGGTTTGTCTAACCTGCTCCTAAAAATCTCCAGTGATGGAGATTTCACAACCTCCCTAGGCAACTCATTCCAGTGCTTAACCATCCTGACAGTTAGGAAGTTTTTCCTAATGTCCAACCTAAACCTCCCTTGCTGCAATTTAAGCCCATTGCTTCTTGTCCTATGGAGTAGTACACTGGTGAATCAGGCTTAGTATTTTTTTGCTGTGCCATCAATGATCCTAGAAAACACCTACAGTATCAAGGTATGAGCATATAAACTCAGAGGAAATAGTACCTCCATGGTTAACACAGCTTTTGATTGTAGGTTGGCTTAGGGAAAGGACTTAAGGCCAGAGGAAATGTAGAAGACTGGCTTAGTAAAGTAGAAGAAGCCATGTTCTCTTCTCTTAGACGCCTGACTAAAGCTGCTATTGCTGATTATCAAACCAGAGTGAGAATGGAATGGGTTGTTGCTGGACACCCATCTCAGGTAAGCCACACTAATTTTTGTGTGATCTTTCTTGCCTACTGTGATAGAATACACCCCTGTGTTCACACTTGAAGACATATAACTTGCTGATCAGTAATAGCATGGTAAAATGTGTCTGGCAGCTTTATGCCTAAAGTTATAAGTTTCCCTGTATGACATTAAAAACCCATGTTCAGAGTCACGTAGCACCAAACTCGTCAAACATACCTGTCTTGAAAAAGGAGAATATGCTTGTCTTAATTTGGGTTTAAGCAATAAACAGAGTCATCAAGGGAGAAAATAAGGAAAGCGCGCACAGGTGAAAAAGCCATGCAGGGAACATCCTTCCTCTAGCAGACTGCCTGTCCCTTGGTTCTCACTGGAAATGATTTTCAAAGAGGGACTAAAAAACTATAAAAAGGAGGGGCAAACACCCCCAAGACACCCTTTTCTGTCTCCCTGCCCATCTCATTCTCTGCACCTGAGAAGACAAAGAAAACAGCCATTGGACTCTGTGGGAGGGGTCCTGACTCCATGAGTTTTGTCAGTATTGCTACTAGAAGCATGTGGTGAGATTGTCTGAATCTAATATAGTTCGTTAAATTAGGCACTAGAAAGTGTTTTATCTTTATTTTCTTGTAACCATTTTTTATTTTTATGCCTCTTTATTTCTACTTACTTAAAATCTCTTTGTAGTTAATAAACTTGTTTTATTATTTTGTCTAATCCAGTGTGTTTAAGTTAAAGTGTCTGCGCAACTCTAAAGTAATAAGCAGCTGTGTATTTCTTCCCTTAAAGGAATAATGGACTTAATATATTTGGAGTGTCCTTGGGGAAAATCCAGGACTGGGAGCATGTTGGGGTCACCCTGCAGTATAAAAGCCAGAGCATAACCCTAGTTGCACACAGACACTCAGGGTGTGGCTTACATGCTGGACGGTTGTTTGTGGGAGCTACTTCAGCAAGGCATTGTAAGGCACCCAAGGTTACAGGGCAGGGATGGCACAGCCCTCCATTGGTCTGCATAGCACCCTGGTATGTCATACCTATCCACTTACTTTGGCCTTGATCCTGGAAACATCTAAACATATGCTTAGTTTTAAGCCCATGAGTTGTCCAATTTAAGCCCATGCATGCTTGCAGGATCACGGCCTTGCTTATTTATGTGACCCCATCATTATTGTATCTGAGTTCCTACTCTGCCAACTTCTCTAAGACGTATCGATGGTATTTTTATGTTTCCTTTCTACAGGTTGTCCTGACTGTTTCCCAGCTCATGTGGTGCCGTGATCTGACTCAGTGCTTAGAAGGAGAAGATCATGATCACTTACAAGCTTTAAGTGACTTTGAAAAAATAAATGTTGATGTGAGTTTGTACGTGGGATTTTGGCATCAAATGAATTTAACGTTTTGTTTGCCATGCTTGAAAATTTGTTTTGAATTAATTTTTAAAAAGAAAGTAAAATTCTGCTAAGTGGCTAAGCCTGTGTATCCAGTCCCGTTGTGAACCAGCTGATGTTCACGTGCCTGAGCCACCTTAGGGCATACTCCATCAGGGGAATAGTCGTCTTAAGGACAAGTATAGAGATTGTGGCTTCAGCTGAAATCGGTAGGGCTTGCTGCATGGAATTTTGTTCATATGTTCACAAGTCACTGTTTGCTCAACATGACATCAAGAGCAGATGCTGGTTTTAGAAATGCTGTGCTGCAGTCACTGTTAAACTTGCCAGGTTCCTCAGGCCACTATCGCGGGGAGGTCAGTACTAACTAGCATCCTGCAATAGAGCTTCACAGAAGCAAGATCATGAAGGAAAATCTTGCAAACAGTAACTTGTTCTCCAACTGCATTGCCTCCATCAAGCCTCACTGACCCTTCATCCTTAACTCTGCTTTGGAGCCCATCTCCAAACAAGGCTTCTGGAGGCAGAAGAACTGAGGGATGGCTTGAGGGGCTGGGTATTTATACCCTGCTTCTATGGAATGATGGCTTTGAGGGAATTGTGAGTGCTCATCTCTGCCAACGTTGCTCAAAGTGGTCTTTTGGCCGTGTGACTGCGGCTCAGAATCTGATTCTGGTGAGCTATGCATAGGGCTTTTTCTGTGAGGGTTAGCCAGAGTGGGTAGAGGTTTCAGTGTGTAGTGGTCAAATGCTAAGTGCCAATACTTTCAAGTTGGTGTTTGATAATATTTGGCTCCCCAATGGAGCTGATATTTGGGAAATACAGTAGTCAGCTTCCATGTCACCAGGCTGTTTGATTTTCTGTAATCTCTTAAATGATTTTATATACTTCAGTTGGTTTAGAGCTGCTAAGTTTATATATATATATTTTCTTATCTGTGTTGAGAACCGTTTGAAAGCAGTCAAAAATGGGAAGAAATGAATGCAAGCTTTATTTTAATGACCCTCAGATGTAAAACAACTATATTCTAAATAACCACAATATCTCCAGAAATGTGCAATTTTATTTCTTAAACTTTCACAGCTTAGTTAGAGATGTATCCTGGAGCTGTGCTAATTTGTACCTGCTGAAGACCTGACCACCTATTTTAAAGTTCTGATATTTTCAGTGCAGTGAGAAAATACTTTAACACTTTATTTATTCATTTATAGAGGTTAAATGCACTGGCTGGATTAGTCCGTGGTATTCTTCCAAAATTACACAGAAATATTATAACAGCGTTGATAACTATTGATGTACATGCAAGAGATATCGTCAGTGAACTTGTGGCAGAAAAGGTAAAGCAACTGTTTATGTCAAAATAACGGATATTTTTGTACAAAATGCTAACTGCTTTGAATCACATTATTCAAAAATGCATTGTGTATTATCTCTGTAGGTGGACACTGTTGACAATTTTGAATGGCAAAGACAACTACGTTATTACTGGGATCTTGATCTGGATAACTGTGTTGCTAGGATGGCTTTATCCCAGTATACTTATGGCTATGAATACCTAGGAGCATGTCCAAGATTGGTGATAACCCCACTGACTGTATGTATTTACTTATACTCTTTATCATTATTTAGATAGAGGTTTGTTGCGTTAGAAGTATTAGTAGTGAATAACCCGTAGATAGGTACTTGGTATTTAGAAATCTTTTAGTATGGGATTGACGTGTAGCACTGTACAAAACAGGGGCTTATACTCCTTCATAGTGTTACCTTTTTGCAGCAAAATAAAACTAAAGTGCCCTGGAAGATAACAGCCTGTTACTATTACCAGTTACACCTTTGGTGAAAGGACTCAAGATGTTCATCTATACCTATGCAGAGATGTCTAATTCAGCCAATATTCAACACATCTGGGCATTTTCTATTACATGGAAAATTCAGGAATATTTGTGGACAGGCTTTGTACTGAGTTTTTGGCTGCAGTGAACCATCCAAATTGGCATATTGGAAAATCAGGCTCGTGTGCAATAAGGAATGTAATAACATTGGGCAATGGGGGGTTTACCAGAATGAGGACTTCAGAATTTAGCCCACTGTATGCTAATATACTGAGCTACACTTTTTAATGGTGTATTTTGGACAGTTTGTGCTGATTTAAATACATTAGAGCAGAGCTTCAGCTGGTGCAAATTGTCACAGCTCCATGGGGAGCTCCAAGTAAGGATCTGCTCCATACTATTTGCTATCACCTTATACGTAGAGTATTTGTAAATATGTCAGCAGGCTTATGAAGTGTTTAAAACAAATCAGAAAAAGTGAAAAGTAGCATAAGCTTTGGCAAATACCTACTCTTCCATATGTAACAATACCGTATGAATCTCATCAGGATCGCTGCTACCTTTGCCTTATGGGAGCTTTGCAGCTTGACCTAGGTGGAGCTCCTGCTGGACCTGCTGGAACTGGTAAAACAGAGACTACTAAAGACCTTGCCAAAGCACTTGCCATCCAGTGTGTTGTGTTTAACTGCTCTGATGGTTTGGATTACAAGGTATGAGAAGTAAATGTATTAATATGAGCAATCTCAATGCAGTCAGTGGGATTGCACAGACAAAACTCAATGCTCCATTTGTCCCTGTGAAGTTACTTGTCTACAGTCACATGGAAATGAACGGTAGAGCTGAGAGTAGAATCCAGGGCTCTTGGGTTTGTAGTCATGTATCTTAACCACAAAGCCAATCTTCCTTTTGTTTAGCTCTACTACAGTATAAATAGGATGAATGTGCCCAGCCTTTATAGAATCTCTCCATAGAAATGGCGCTGTAATTTTGCCCTACCACAGAATTAGCTCTTTGCACTATGACAAAGGAGAGGGGAGGGTGATGAAAAGAAAAAAAAAAGAAATTGCAGACATGTTAAAATTAACAAAAAAATCTTAATTATCATTAGGAAAGAGTGAGGCAGTCCGGGAAGTTTTTAAGAAATTAGAGCTATATAGATAAATATAAAATAGGTTCCCCTTCTCCATCAGGAAGAAAAGCATTGGCCGCAAGCATTTTGGATGTTTAAAAAGGCAGGTTTGGGGAAGATGTGTCCATAATAACAAGTTTCCCTATCCTTTTGAACTGCATTTAAAAATCTTATCTTGGGCTAGATTCTCTGTTTTGCCAAGATGCGTTCAGTTTGTAGGGGCTGGTGGTATCAAACTGCCCCAGCCCTGGTCCTGACATAAACCTGTTCTAACATGACAGCTGCCTATGGTTCCCTAAGGGACCATTCACTAGCTGACACTTGCCATAGGGTGTCCACTCCATCCCCTCCCGACCCGTTTGCCTTATCACACCCACTGCCTCCCTTCACCAGCCCCCTGTGCCAGGTTGACTAGGCTGGTGTAGGAGCTGGCTCCACCAGCTTGACACCACTGTGGAATGCCTTTTTGCCTGGGAAATGCTCAGCAGTGGCCAGATCATGTTCCCTTGTACCAACTGAGCAGTGTAAAGGGAAATCTGGGCACTTTTACTGAGAATTTTGTATGTCAGCATTTAACTTCTCAATTCTGAGCTGATTGGATCGTACTAATTTTATAAGAAAACAGTGTAGAATAGAGTTCAGGGAAGGTTTTGGATTTCACAAATCATGTGACATCTTTTTAGAGAACATGGACTTTTTTCATACTATTAATTGTAATAAAGATATTTTTCTAAGAAAGCGTTTTAATATACAGCATGTGGCAATAAAATAAATTTTAAGAGATTCTATTTTTTCCCCCATGGGTGTATAATTCTCCTGTGGTCAGATCTGGTGCAGATACTCTCTGATGTCAGTTTCCCCTTGACATTTATTTCTACTTCCAAGGCCCATTTTTCTTTTTCTTTTCTATTTAAAGGATTGAGAACCTCTGTTTTAGGGCCTCTTTTCTCTCTCTTTCTCTCTCTCTCTGCTCCTTAATTGTCTTTATTTTTTTTTAGTTTGAAATTAGCCCACAAGATGAAAGTATCTTGAAGTGCTTTACAGCATAAAGCTGATAGAAGCAAGTATGCATAAAAATATGGCTTACAAGTTGATTGGAATCATTCTGGGGTTTTTACTATAAACATTCTATTCTGCGCCTTGTGCGTATGCAGCTTTAATTACAGAATAACATGCTGTTTATTCCCAGGACCCCTGCCTCATTCAGTGGTCTGGATGCATGTTCCAGTCTGGATGGGGGGGCCCTACAGTGCTGTATAAATAAGCCAGTTTTTCTTTCTTCCACAAAGTGACATTTCTTCTTCCTCTCCATTTCTCTCAAACTGGACTAACTAGCTTCATAGCTTTTGAAGAACTTGAGACATGTCAGTGCAGTGTTAAGCTATGACTGTGCTATGATTTCAGATGATGGGACGATTCTTCAGTGGTTTGGCCCAGTCTGGAGCATGGTGCTGCTTTGATGAATTTAACCGAATTGATATTGAAGTTCTGTCTGTGATTGCTCAGCAGCTGATTACTATTAGGAATGCTAAAGCTGCAAAGGTAATATCTTTTTTTATTAGATATTAAAACACACGTAGTGTTTGATGTACATTTTTAATGAATGTCATGCTTGTGAAGAGATCTAGACTGACAACACTGAGATCTTAGATCCAGGGCCGGCTCCAGGCACCAAGCACCCAAGCTGGTGCTTGGGGCGGCACCTGGAGGGGGGCGGCGCGGCGCTCTGGCCGCCGGGGGGAGAGCCGAGCCGAGCCCCAGCCGGGGCTCGCCGCCCTCTCGCCGCCCTGCCCCCGGCGCTCTGGCCGCCGGGGGGGAGACCGGAGGCGCCGCCGGGGCTCGCCGCCCTCCCCCAGGGGCTCCAGCCGCCCCCCCCGGCAAAAAAGCCAGAGCCGGCCCTGCTTAGATCCTTTATTTAAGCACAGTAGAGGTACAGCACGGACTGCAGCAATCCAAGCTTCTCCAAAAATGTGCCATAACCCTGACCTAGTGAGGTCACTTGTAAGGGCTCGAGGGTAGTTGAGTCTCTATTCTCCACATCCATTCAGTCCTTATCCTTTATTATGAGATTTCCAGCAAGGGTGCTAAACAATGACAACTATGGATGGGCCTGATCCAGCAAAGACTTGCTACTGTGCATGTGACGGGTTGGATCACAGAAACCCCCTTTGGGACTACCTCTGAGTCTGTTTTCTCTGCCAGGTTAGGACTTCAGTGCCCTGCCTAGATTGAGCCAGACACACTTGCCTGCTACAAACCCAGACCCAGGTCTGAACCACGTCCCCCAACAGCTGCAGGCTTAACTGAAAACAGCTTAAGAAGTGTTCCTGTCTCCAACACCCAGATGCCCAGCTCCCAATGGGGTCCAAACCTCAAATAAATCCGTTTTACCCTGTATAAAGCTTATACAGGGTAAACTCATAAATTGTTCACCCTCTATAACACTGATAGAGAGCTATGCACAGCTGTTTGCCCCCCCAGGTATTAATGCATACTCTGGGTTAATTAATAAGTAAAAAGTGTTTTTATTAAATACAAAAAGTAGGATTTAAGTGGTTCCAAGTAATAACAGACAGAACAAAGTGAATTACCAAGCAAAATAAAATAAAACATGCAAGTCTAAACCTAATAGAGTAAGAAAACATAATACAGATAAAATCTCACCCTCAGATGTTTCAATAAGCTTCTATCAAAGTCTGGACGCCTTCCTAGTCTGGGCACAATCCTTTCCCCTGGTACAGCCCTTGTTCCAGCACAGGTGGTAGCCACGGGATTTCTCATGATTGCAGCCCCTTTTGTTCTGTTCCACCCCCTTATATAGCTTTGCACAAGGCGGGAATCCTTTTTCCCTCTCTGGGTTCCCACCCCTCCTTCTAAATGAAAAAGCACCAGGTTAAAGATGGATTCCAGTTCAGGTGACATGATCACATGTCACTGTAAGACTTCATTACACACTTGCCAGCACAAAGGTATACAGGAAGACTTACAAGTAAAACAGAGCCATCTACAGTCAATTGTCCTGGTTGATGGGAGCCATCAAGATTCCAAACGACCATTAATGGCCCACACTTTGCATAATTACAATAGGCCCTCAGAGTTATAGTTCATATTTCTAGTTTCAGATACAAAAATGATACATACATACAAATAGGATGACCATACTCAGTAGATTATAAGCTTTGTAATGATACCTTACAAGAGACCTTTTGCATGAAGCATATTCCAGTTACATTATATTCGCACTCATTAACATATTTTCATACAATCATATAGAGTGCAACGTCACAGTGCATATCTTTATTCTTGAACGTAGTCCCATTGAAGTCAGTGGGATTACATGCTGGAGAAAAGGTACTCAATAGTCACTGTTTGTAGAATTGGGTCGGTGATGACATGTTTCATGATGTTGAATTAAAATCACCAACTCATATGACAAGAGGAGTGGTCCTCCATTATTAATTTGAACATTTTATTTAATGTTCAGATATTAAACTTTTAGATTCTTCAGATTCTTATTTTTCAGGAAAATGTAGTTAAATCTTTATTTTTTAGTGTTTAATAAAGTGGATTATTGTTCAAAAGCTTTTCCCAGCACAACTCTGTGGATGTTAATTAATTCTGACCTGTAACACTTATGCTATTTTCACTTAATTTCAGTGCCCACTAGAGACCATCAAATTAATTTCAGTTGAATTCTGTAAAACAAATCCATCTAATTTCTTGCCTAATTTAGCATTTGTCAGTACTTTTCTTTCATGCACACTTTCTTAGTCACAGAATATTAAACATCCTTGCCTTCTGCCATTTTTAAGCTCCTCTCTAAAGAGTCTGATAAATTATTACTTACTTTTAATTCCATTCCTGAACATTCCAGTCTGTGGTCCCTCTGTGTGTCATCATACCAAATGTACACAGCAACTCAGATAATGCCCGGCTCCATTCTGAATTATGTAAAAGTATTAGGGGAGTTGGATTTATTCACAGTAGAAAAGAGTAGATCTTGAGGTGACCTTCCGTAAATGGAGATTTCGAAATTCCAGAAGAAATTAATAAAATTGGGAGAGAGAAATTGTTCACACTGGTGATGGATTCCAAAACTAGGAGTCTGCCTACACATTTGGAAACTTAGTCACAACTGTTGTTGAAAGATATAATTGCCAGTAACATATCTTACGTATCTACAGGGCTAAATCTTCTGGCTCAAACGAGAGCTGTGCACCCAGCATGATTTTATGTGTGGGGTGGGGCAGAGCATAGAGACCACAGCTTCACAGTGGCCCCCACAGCAGGCCTGCAGAGGAGAGAGAGTATGGGGAAGAGGCATGGGGAGGGCTGTGGGTTTTCATCTACCTGAATCCATTGTTGTGACCCACTGTGTAGGGGCTGCATAGCAGACCATGGATGGTATTGCAACCCTGAAGCTGAAATCATGGATGTGAGGGGTCTTTGTGGCTGTCCTCACTGTTTAACTTCCCTACCTAGAGTTAAGGCAAAGGCCAGGTAAATGGGCTGTAGGTTTGGCCCATCGGGCTTTTCATTTAGGGAGATCACAAAGCACTTTCCTGTACATCTCCATAGATCCTGTCCTACACAGGAAACATCCAATGGCATTATAACTCCACTTTCCAGGAAGCAGGAACATAAAAATGATCCACCTCTGCCTCATCTCAAATCTCCTTTTTGAGGGATGGCTTTTGTCTTTTATTCTTATTCAGCCTTCCTCCACAGAGTGCAGATCTTCAGTTCCTAGGGTCAGGTTCGCTATGCACTGAAGACTTTCAGAACCTGATTTCGCAACAGGTGGTCCTGATTCAGATGGACAATCAGGTCCCCATATTCTAAAGCAACAAGCAGTGAGGCATCGTGCCCCCTATGTCTTGGAATTCTTAGTGGAGAAGGAGGGGGGCTCCATCTCACAAGATGTTCCTGCTCACCACTTACCTAGCAGCAGAGGACCAGGAATCTCACCAGACTGATCCAACCTCTTAAAAAACTCAGTGCCTCTGTCAGCGTTTTCAGTTGGTTAGATTAGTGTTAGAAATTTTAACTTTGTTTATTTTATGTATGGAAGCTGTTTCTTTTATTCATTTGTATTAGTTCCAACACCTCAGTGTGGGCTCATGGATCCTACGATGGATCCAGAGGGGAAGAGGTGAGGATTTAAGAGATGTGCCTCTTGCTCTGCTGAATTCCCCACTTCAGATGCCCATAGGAGGTGTCTGGCTTAGCTGGGGGAAGAACATGCTCCTTCATGGTACATGATCAGCAGCAACTTCACCCCAGGAGCTCTCAAGGAGCATCAGAGCCAGCTTCAAGCTTTTCTAGTTCAGGCGGCTCTGGGGCCAAACCCTCTGGTTCCATAACTGCTGGTTTGGTGAGAACTGAGTGGCCTGCATTGGTCATTAGCCCCTCAGGAAATAAAAAGCAGCCTCAGATCCCACTGAAGGTACCGTCCTTTGCGTCTGAACGGAAAACAAAACCTCCAATACTGAAGGATCCTAAACCAGCAAATCCTAATTCTAGACATGGTGGAACCTCAGAGGTGTCTTCCTCTGCTAGCAGAGCCAACTGTTATGGAAAAGCCCTGCTTTATAACCAGAAATGCCACAAAGCTGTCTGCTGTGCTCATCAGGATTTCATATTTATTTCTGTTTGTTTCACATTTAAAACCAGGTGTGAAGCCAGTAGTTTCATTTGGTTTTTCAAAAGCTCAGAAAGAAAAATGCATTAGCCAAGTGTATTCATACTCAGATATAAATGCAAACCACAATTCACTGTCTGTAATCTGTCTTTTAAAAAAAGCCCTAATTTTAAAAAAAGAATGTAATGTGTGATTTTATTTTTTGTAGAAATTTAGTATAAAGTATATTGACATTTCACTTTCTTTTAAACAGCTCTCTCGATTTATGTTTGAGGGACGTGAAATAAAGTTGGTTATGACCTGTGTGGCATTCATCACAATGAATCCTGGCTATGCTGGACGAACAGAGCTACCTGACAATCTAAAAGCTCTCTTCAGACCCTTTGCAATGATGGTTCCAAATTATGCCTTGATTGCTGAGGTACCTGTAAATATAGGGAATGTCATATGGCCTGTGTGATTATCTAGTCTGACATTCTGCAAACCAATGATCCCTTTTGTCCTTAATCTATTAATCTATAATATATACAATAAACATGTTGCAAGTGTTTATTTGAGGGCAATATTACCGTTTAATAGTAATGAACCACAATATTATCATGAGTGTCTATTCTCTATCTCCCTGGAGTCTTCTCAAATATGCCATTAATGAAGTTATGCTTGTGCATAGATCTCTTTGTAAACCATTTCCTGGAAAATTGGAGTTTCTTCATAAATACACTTAGTTAATCCCGCACAGCATTACTCTGTTTGGACATGAAATATATTATGTCTGATGTCACTCAGAAATACACCTCTACCCCGATATAACGCTGTCCTCGGGAGCCAAAAAATCTTACCGCGTTATAGGTGAAACCACGTTATATCGAACTTGCTTTGATCCGCCGGAGTGCGCAGCCCCACCCCCCTGGAGTGCCGCTTTACCACGTTACATCCGAATTCGTATTATATTGGGTCGCGTTATATCGGGATAGAGGTGTATAAGTCCATAATTTAAAATATTTGCTATACTTTATTACATACTTTTGATCCTTTAGGGCTAGACTGTGCAACCCTTCCCCGCACTGGTGAGTATTTACTCACACAAGTATTCCCATTAAAGTAAATGGATCTATTAGTAAATTCTCACCAATGCAAGGCTTGTAGATCTAGCCCTTAATATTTTCCCAAAGTAAATTGATTTAATGCTTTATTTCCTGTAGACAGAAGAAGATTGCATACCTGAGAGTGTTTGTAAAAAACTATAGTTAAAATAAATTAACGCAAAATATATTATCTCTGATACATATATTAATATGCATACATACAGTGCCAGTTGAAGACAATGTGAGAGCAGCACTGAGTCCCTAGAAATAAAAATTTCCAGTATTTAATAAAAACTGTAGCCATCTCTTGTTTACGTTAGGTGATTCTGTATTCTGAAGGATTTGAATCTAGTAAAATTCTTGCAAGGAAGATGACTCAAATGTACAAACTTTGTAGCGAGCAGCTTTCTCAACAAGATCATTATGACTTTGGAATGAGAGCAGTCAAATCTGTATTAGTCATGGCTGGGTAAGTATCCTCGTACTGTATGAGCTATAACATTAGTATGAATATAATTTTATATACTTAGAAATATTAACAGTTTTATGTTTTAAATCATGTTTGTGTTAAGAAATATTCCTTCTGTAATTACAACTATTGTAAATGAAATGTGGATGATCACTGCATGATTTTTACATAATACATTTATACAACTGAAGAATTGGGTTTGTTTAGTTTGGAAAAGAGAAGACTGAGAGGGGACATGATAGCAGTTTTCAGGTATTTAAAAGGGTGTCATAAGGAGGAGGGAGAAAACTTGTTCACCTTAGCCTCTAAGGATAGAACAAGAAGCAATGGGTTTAAACTGCAGCAAGGGAGGTCTAGGTTGGACATTAGGAAAAAGTTCCTAACTGTCAGGGTGGTTAAACACTGGAATAAATTGCCTAGGGAGGTTGTGGAATCTCCATCTCTGGAGATATTTAAGAGTAGGTTAGATAAATGTCTATCAGGGATGGTCTAGACAGTATTTGGTCCTGCCATGTGGGCAGGGGATTGGACTCGATGACCTCTCGAGGTCCCTTCCAGTCCTAGAATCTATGAATCTATGAGTAGTGTAATACGTGAAAATAGAAAAATTACCTGGTTATAGGGACAATGTAGCCTGGGAGCATAAGACAGTATATGTATTATTGCATACATTCTGACTATCTTCATCAGAAATATCTGAAAATGGCTTATTAAACATATGAATTTCAAAAGCTCTACACTTTTTCTACATTCTAAAAGGAAGACACATTTAGAGGTCCAAAAAAAACCCAAACCCCCAAACCAAACCCTATTAGTTACCTCCTGAAGATAAGTAACGAGCTTGCATGGAACTCGCTGTAGTCTTTCTGGATACACTTATTTCTGTTGGTGATGTGATTGGCTAACATTGTTTCCAGACTCCAGTATTACTGAATTCTGAGGAATAAATAATAGAAACATGGTGAGTAGTCAAAAGTTGGAGTTCAGATATAATAAGTGGATTTTTGAGTTAACACAAAATTTTATCTTGACAGTGTAAGTGAAATGTACTAGAATTCTTAGGGAGTCATTTTATGAGAGGTTATTTACACAAGTTCACCTACAGTACCCTTGAATAACAGTTGGTATAAAAAGAGATTGAGTGAAACTGAGACATCTTGTTTGCTTTTTATTAAAATTCAGGTCACTAAAAAGAGAGAACCCAGATCTGAATGAGGAAGTGGTATTAATAAGGGCTTTACGAGATTCTAACCTACCGAAATTTCTTGCAGATGATGCTCTTCTGTTCAGGTAATTTTCTATAATACTAGTTTGTTTTCTTCATCTAGTCATATCACATTTATGTTGCCATAGTGAAGGAGAAGACCCAACTTTCTAAGTGTAGTTTAATTTGTATTTTAGGTGGAGAGACTGTTGCACTTAATGTCTAACACAGTGGTTCTCAAGCTAGTTACTATTGTGTTATGTGGGCCACATCCACACAAGATACATCTACATCTACCAAAAAAAAAGGGCTTATTATTTGTTATAGGACAGCAATATGATTCAAATCAATACAGTACTTTTCATTTCAACACTGGCAAACGTCTACCAAGAGCATTTTTAATTAGCAAAATAAGTCAAAACATTAACTGTTAAAATGAATTAATTGATTGTAGGGGTGGCATGGGATGGTGTATTGCCACCCTGACTTCCACAATGCTGCTGGCAGCATGGCTGAGCACCTGGAGAGCACAGCTACAGAGCCTGCCTGCAAAGATGGGGAGCCCTGCCCGGTGCAGGGCACCCCTCCCAGCCAGGGACTGCCTGCCATACAGCCAGTCCCCAGCCAGGGACTGTTCCCCATGCACACAGCCCCCCCACTCCCTAGGGACTGCCCCCCAGCCCCTCCCAGAATGCCCCCCATCACTGAACCCCTGTGGGACTGTCCACCCCAGCATCCAGACCCCTGCCCCCCAACACTGGGCTGGCACATGTGCCTGCCCTGCAGAGACAAAGTGCCCTGTCCAGGACAGAATGCCCTCCCCCCAGGGATTTCCCCCTTCAACATCCAGTCCCTCTCCATGTACCCAGCTCTCCCAAGGACTGCCCCACAACATCAACCTCCCCATCCAGGGACTGTGCCCCAGGATCTAGCCCCACATCCAGGGAATGCCCACAGCTACCAGTCCCCTCACTTAAAATCTGTCCCCCATGCACTGGATGCACCTCCTTCCCTAGCCCCCTGCACGCCTCCCCATGCCCCCTGCAGCCTAGGCCCCTGCACCCCCTTCCCCGTGCCTGCTGGTCTCCTACTTCAGCTGCACGGAGCTCAGGTGTGCAGTCCACCTGCCCGCCTGCCACTGCAGTCCTAGTGCTGGCAGCCTACTCCAGGTGCGGTCACTGGACCCATGATCCTGCAAGGTGAGGGTGGGGGCTGATGCTGGACCCGATCCTGTGCTACCCCATTTTTTCACACAGACACGCCCGCTGGGTGTTTAAAGTTAGGCACCTAAATCCATATATTGGCACCTCAATAAAGCCCCAATTCAGGAAAGCACTTAAGCATGTGCCTAAGTGCTTTGCGTAAGAAAGGCCTGGTTTGTTTGTTTTTTTTACATGTGCTGAGTACCTGGAGCTTCCATTGATACCAGTGGGGGCTGCAGGTTCTCAGCAACTCTGAAAATTAGGTCACTAGTTCAGGTACCTAAATATGGGTTTAAGTTCTTAACTGTAGGCAGCCACATTTGCAAATGTTGGTTTAGGCCCTGGAGCAGTCATTCTAGCACATTAGGTGATAGCTATATACAAGAGCTGTCCAAGTGAAAACAACAACAAACTAGAATGGATATGGAGTGCTTCAGTATGAAATGGATGTTTTTAAATATATAATCCATGTAATTTTTAATTAGTTTAATGTAATTAACAAAACGAAACAGTTGTTTTTTTTTCTTTTTGTCTCCGACAGTGGGATTATTTCTGATCTTTTCCCAGGAGTCATAATCCCAGAACATGACTATGGGATACTACAATCAACAATTATAGATGTCATGCTTTCAAAAGGATTGCAGCCTGAAGCAAGCATGGTTCATAAAGTCATACAGCTCTATGAAACCATGTTAGTAAGGCATGGTGTTATGCTTGTTGGGCCAACAGGAGGTGGAAAAACTACAGTTTACCAAATTCTGGCACAGACTTTAGGAGTTTTACATGAGGCTGGTGAGGAAAATCCTTTTTACCAGCCTGTCAAAACCTATATTCTGAACCCCAAATCAATTACAATGGGTGAATTGTATGGTGAAGTTAATAATTTAACTCTCGAGTGGAAAGATGGCTTGATGGGTCTTAGTGTTCGAGCAGCTGTTAATGACACCACTGAAGATCACAAGTGGATCATCAGTGACGGGCCAGTGGATGCACTGTGGATTGAAAACTTGAACACTGTTTTGGATGATAACAAGATGCTTTGCTTGGCAAACAGTGAAAGAATCAAACTCACACCCTCCATCCATATGGTGTTTGAGGTACTGTAATATCTTGGATTTTAATATTCATTATGATATTTCTGGTTTGCTTCGCTTAATTTACTATATTGTTATATTGATAAGATATATGATCTTCAGATGAATTTATCATAGACAGACGATTAGGTTGGAAGAGACCTCAGGAGGTCATCTAGTCCAACCCCCTGCTTAAAGCAGGACCAACCCTAACTAAATCATCCCAGCCAGGGCTTTGTCAAACCAGGCCTTAAAAACCTCTAAGGAAGGAGATTGCACCACCTCCCTAGGTAACCCATTCCAGTGCTTCACCACCCTCCTAGTGAAATAGTTTTTCCTAATATCCAACCTAGACCTTCCCCACTGCAACTTGAAACCATTGCTCCTTGTTCTGTCATCTGCCAACATTGAGAACAGCCTAGCTCTGTCCTCTTTGGAACCCTCCTTCAGGTAGCTGAAGGCTGCTATCAAATCCCACCCTCACTCTTCTCTTCTGCAGACTAAACAAGCCCGGTTCCCTCAACCTCTACTCGTAAGTCATGTGCCCCAGCCCCCTGATAATTTTCGTTGCCCTCCGCTGGACTGTCTCCAATTTGTCCACATCCTTTCTATAGTGGGGGCGGCCAAAATTGGATGCAATACTCCAGATGTGGCCTCACCAGTGCTGAATAGAGGGGAATAATCACTTCCCTTGATCTGCTGGCAATGCTCCTACTAATGCAGCCCAATATGCCATTAGCTTTCTTGGCAACAAGGGCATGCTGTTGACTCATATCCAGCTTCTCATTCACTGTAATCTCCAGGTCCTTTTCTGCAGAACTGCCGCTTAGCCAGTAGCAGTGCATGGGATTCTTCCATCCTAAGTGCAGGACTCTGCACTTGTCCTTGTTGAACCTCATCAGATTTCTTTTGGCCCAGTCCTCTGATTTGTCTAGGTCACTCTGGACCCTATCCCTACCCTCCAGTGTATCTACCGCTCCCACCAGCTTAGTGTCATCTGCGAACTTGCTGAGGGTGTAATCCAGCCCATCCTCCATTAATGAAGATGTTGAACAAAACCAGCCCCAGGACCGACCCTGGGGCACTCTGCTTGATACCGGCTGCCAACTAGACATTGAGCCATTGATCACTATCCATTGAGTCTGACAATCTAGCCATATCTGTCTGTTTGTAATTTTTGTCCTGGCCAGTCTCTATTTTTCTCTCTATGGAAGATGAGCATGGGGATTTCTCCGGAATGACTTCCCTTTCACATGTTAGCAATTCAGGGTCAAAGCCGAGCAGTCTTTGACATCAAGTAGTTACCTAGAAGCTAATATTAGATCTGAGTAACTCCTGTTATCTCATTTTATCTCTCCTGGTCACCTGCTCACACAATCTTATTTTTACCCAGAAACTAAGTTGCCTTTCTGAGAGAATAATATCATTCATAGATCATAAAAAGAGAGCTAGAAAGATTCCTAGCAGATTTCACTGTTTGGGAATTTTTTTTCTGATACCCTGTCAGGATTAAGTTTCACCTCATTACCTGATTACCCTCAACATTGTGCCACTCTAAGCAATTCTTTCCCCTCCTTTATGTTTAAACTGTCTGGTTCTTACATCCCACTTAGGTATCATTTAGCCAGTCTAGATATTTTAGGCCAGATTCATTCCTACTGTACTCCATTGGAATCAGTATTTAGTTGGATGATACATATGCTGCTGCAGCTATTCAGACAGCCATGAAAACGACTAACCAAAGTTAATCAAAGTGGAAAAGCCTCATTACTGTTGAAAATGCATGCATTTTGGTGGTTGAATATGATCACTGACATGGTGATCTGGCTGATGTAACTGGGAAAATACTACAGATTATTAATGATGAGTGTTGCACTGGGAGCCTAGCCATACTCAAAGTGTTCAAGGACTCTTATAGCTATGATTAAATAGAAATAACATCCGCTAAAGTTCTGGAAACAGTGAATTCTCCAAGCCAAGAGTGACCTCTAAGTATTCAAGAAATTGTGCATTAGCTTTCTCTCCAGTGTGGCCAAGGATTTGTGAGGTGTTCACGTTTCTAACTGTTCTAGAAAAGCTCTCTTGTGTAAAGAATAAATTAAAATGCAGTTATGAGTGCTCTCATGATTTATCATGTCAAAAACTTGATTCGGTTGCTATTTTAAATTGTTGACACAGTTTTTCCATGGTTTCTAAAACACTTCACTAGCAGACCTATTTATTGATGCTTAACTAATTTGTTTTTTGGTGTCACTGGTAAGTAAAGGTGTTCCCTGTGTGAATATGATAATAATTTACACACTGGTGGATAGTGATGAATCAGCATGCCAAAAAAAAAAAAAAGAGAAATTCCTTTACCAGTTATGTATTTTTGTCTTCTGATCGGAAGGAGGAAATTGCAGACGGAGGGTGGAGATCAAGAAGCTAATGGGGAATAAAAATGACCACAGAATAAGGTGGTAGATTACAGTTCATACTTGAATGCCTGTCCACAAGTTAACTCAGGGTGAAGGGAATTGGAAATATACCTTCTCTGTTATGTGCATTTGAAATATACGGTATAATGTTTTACATGCAATATCCATACACTTCAGGTACAAGATCTGAAGGTTGCCTCACCTGCAACAGTTAGCCGATGTGGAATGGTATACATTGACCCCGATGAACTGAAGTGGGTCCCATATGTACAGACTTGGATGGCAGGTCTTCCAAATAAAGTAGGTGTCAGAAAAATTAGTTTTATGTACTGATGTCACACTTTCAAATCTCCCCCTGAAAGAACTTGTTAGCAACAGATATTTAATAAATATTAAGGATTTACATTTTTATTTATTTATTTTAATTAATTAAACAAAATTATTATTAATAGTAACATTTCAATAAACCAGTAATTATAATTAACTGTAATAAAGTAGGAATCTAAATGTACAATATATATAAAAATATGCAGAACATGCATCTAAGTGTTTTTCCACTTCATGAAACAGTCCAGATTATTATTTGTCTTCAGTGGAATAAATCATGCGAATAAGGATTACTCACATGAGTCAGGATTGCAGGAACAGGCCTGTCAGCATAATCCTTCATTTGTATATCTATAATATATAAAAATGTGTTGAATGTGCATGTGCACAAAATTTATCAGTATATTCTGGATGTCAAGGATGCTGTACAGTTTGTTGTTATGATGTGTGCTTTGTTCAAAACAATTTTTAAAAAATTTATTCATAAAAATATTGTTTTCATTTTAGTTAAGTGAGGAAGCAAAACAGCATTTGTTTGATCTGTTTTGTCGCTATGTTGATGATGGTCTAAAGTTTGTCAATAAAAAGTGCTCACAAGCTATTCCACAAGTGGACATCAGTAAAGTTACTACGCTTTGTTGTTTACTGGAGTCTTTGCTGTTTGGAAAAGGAGGCCCTGATCTTAAAATGGTATAAGTATTTAACATACTAATATATAATACACTCAAGATATGTAGGAAACACTTACTTACAATTCTTATATAAAATTTAAATGTGGAATAATCACATTTTATGTTAAATAACTTTTTTGTTTTGTAGCTTGTGTTGTTTGATTTGAAATCATGAAATCTATTAATGATCTGAACTGACTGATATTCAGAAATGATAGTTTCTTTGTTTAGAAGAGCACTGGTACCTTTCTGTTCAGTGGGATGTTAGCTTTTAGGCCATCTGCAGCCCGCAAACCTTCCCAATGTGGCCCGCAGGTCGTCAGCAGTTTTGGGGCCTGGTCTCTCCCTTGGCCCCACATGCCGCCTCCGGGCGCTCCCCACCCCCAGGCGACTTACAATGGCTCGGGGCCCCGGCAGCGCAGCAGAGCTGAGCAGTGTCTGCCTGTTCGCTCCACGTGTCTGCTGGCCCCTCCCTGCGGCCCCAGGGCGGAGCAGGGCTGTGCCTCCGCGTGCTGCCCCCACCCCGAGTGCCCCTGCGGCCAATAGGAAGCTATGGGGGCAGTACCTGGGGGCAGCAGCGCACGGAGGCCCCGCAGCCCACCCCGCCTTGGAGCCCCAGGTAAGCACCGCACTCCCTGACCCCCTCCCAGAGCCTGCACCCCCACCCCCTTCCCACACCCCCGTCCTGCCCCTAAACTCCCTCCCGGAGCCTGCACCCCCTCCCCACACACACACCCCGCCCCCAAACTCCCTCCCAGAGCCTGCACCCCCTCCCCCTTCCCACACACCCACACCCCAGTCCCCAAACTCCCTCCCAGAGCCTGCCCCCCATCCCCCTTCCCACACACCCCTTCCCGCACCCAAACTCCCTCCCAGAGCTGGCACCCCTCCCCACTCCTCCCACTCAGAGCCTGCACCCAGCACCCAAACTCCATCCCAGAGCCTGCACCCCAATCTCCTATCCCAGATCTCCTCCCCCACCCAAACTCCCTCCCAGAGCCTTAGGCAGGTGGGGGGCGGAGTTTTGGGGGGTGCGTTCCGGGTGGCATGAGTAACATTATTGGCCCACTGGGAGCATTTGAGGACTGGCACTGGCCTAAGGTAAATTGAGTTTGAGACCCCTGTTTTAGACCATGTTGAAAAGTAGTTTTAACTTGAGTAAATTGGAATTTGCATTTAAAAATACATTTTAAAATAAAATACTATCAAAATACCTCTCTCCCTGTGGCCCTAGTCCCCTGTACCTCCTCCTTGTGCCCCCTGCGGCCCTAGGCCCCAGCACCCCTTCCCCGTGCCTGCTGGTCTCCTACCTCAGCTGCACAGAGCTCAGTTTGTAGACTTGTGAAGTGTGTTATTCAGAATGACCAGGCGGGCTCATAAATTGAACATTTTAAAACTCTATTGGCCCTTGGATTGAGAACATGCAGAGCTTACTCTCCACGAGTATTGTTGTTATTGAATACTAATTCAGCTTTCATGACAGCAGGACTTTTTTTAAGACACTGATGTAATGAAAAGTAATGTACAAAATATATGGATTAACTATCTTTCTTCTTTATAGGACCAATCAAAATTAAACACCATAGTCTGCCAGACTTTTGTTTTCTGCTATTTATGGTCACTGGGTGGAAATTTAACGGAAAACTACTGGGATATTTTTGATACGTTTGTGAGACAACAGTTCGAGGACAATCCTGAAGCCAAGGTAAAGAAACAAGTTGACTCACGGCATTTACAGTAGCTTCTATACATAAGGAGGCAGGGGGATAATGTAACAAGCGAAGGTAGCAGAAAGGATCTTTCCTTCTTAAACCTAAGGGTACGTCTATACTTATCTCCGGGTTCGGCGGCAAGCAATCGATCTTCTGGGATCGATTTATCGCGTCTTGTCTAGACGCGATAAATCGATCCCGGAAGTGCTCGCCGTCGACACCGGTACTCCTGCTCCGCGAGAGGAGTACGCGGAGTCGATGGGGGAGCCTGCCTGCCGCGTGTGGACCCGCGGTAAGTACCTTGTAGTTCGAACTAAGGTACTTTGACTTCAGCTACGTGAATAACGTAGCTGAAGTTGCGTATCTTAGTTCGAACTGGGGGGTTAGTGTGGACCAGCCCTAAGTCCTAACCATTTGTGGTCATTAAAGATGCTGTGGTACTTTTTTTAAAGACCCAGGGCCTGGTTCTTCATTGCTTTGTACTTTGTGTAGTCATTTACACTGATGCAAAGTGAGGACAAAGGTAGCATTTCACACCTGCTTTGCACTCACACTATACAGGTGTAAATCGTGACAGGAGGGCTAGATTGGCAAAGAAACGTTGGCGTGGTGATGTTGGGTGTCACCCTGGTAACTGGGATTCACAAAGCCTGAGTTCGGCACCTAGGCTCCCTATGCAATGAATGGGAAGAGAGAGGCGCCTCTCCGTGGGATTCACTAAAGCCAGCGAGCTAGGCGGCTCCTTGCCTAAACCAGCCAGGGGAAGAGGCCAAGCTGAGAGGTGTGTGCTAAGCCCTGCCACTTTCTGTGCGATAGATGCCTATGTCCATGCTGCAGGGAGGTGCCTCCCTTTGTTGGGGCTTCTCGGCTGACAACCCTCTCTTGGCGTTAGGGGCCTACGTGGTTTTGGCAAGAGGCCGGTGGTGGGGGAGAAAAGGGGGGGGGGAGGATTCTTCCATTGGTTTTCACAGTGGGGCAGCTTGAACAAAAGAGACTGAGGGAGCCTCACCTCAGAATACCCCCTAGCTCAGTGGCTAGGGCACTCACCTGAGAGTTGGCAGAGCCCCGTTCAAATCCCTTCTCCCTTCAGGCAGAATGGGGGTCTCCCACATCCCAGGTGAGTACCCTAACCACTGGACTAAAGGTTATGTGGGAGGTCATCCTCCTCCCCACTCCCACCCCTCCTGCCTTGTGTATGCTTCCTGATAGGAGCCCGATCTGGTAGGCAAGGTCTGAGCACACTTACTGGATTGGGCCAAACAGGCAAATTAGATGGAGGAACACCTATCTTCCCCTGTTTCTTGCTCTGGGGACTTAGGTGTCTGGACACCTGGCATGGGGCTGCAGTGCGTATGCTCATAAGAACATAAGAACGGCCATACTGGGTCAGACCAATGGTTCATCTAGCCCAGTATCATGTCTTCCAACTGTGGCTAATGCCAGGTACCCCAGAGGGAATGAACAGAACAGGTGATCATCAAGTGATCCACCCCCTGTCGCCCATTCCCAGTTTCTGGCAAACAGAGGCTAGGGACACCATCCTTGCCCATCCTGGCTAATAGGTCCATCAATGGCTATCTTCCCTGAACTTATCTAGTTATTTTTTGAACCCTCTTATAGTCTTTGCCTTCACAACATACTCTGGCAGAGAGTTCCACAGGTTGACTGTGCGTTGAGTGAAAAAATACTTCGTTTTGTTTGTTTTAAACCTGATGCCTATTAATTTCATTTGGTGACCCCTAGTTCTTGTGTTATGAGAAGGAGTAAATAACACTCCTTATTTACTTTCTCCACACCAGTCATGATTTTATAGACCTCTATCATATCCCCCCTTAGTCGTCTATTTTCCAAGCTGAAAAGTCCCAATCTTATTAATATCTCCTCATACAGAAGCTGTTCCATACCCCTAATCATTTTTGTTGCCCTTTTCTGAACCTTTTCCAATTCATAGATTCATAGATTCATAGATTCTAGGACTGGAAGGGACCTCGAGAGGTCATCGAGTCCAGTCCCCTGCCCGCATGGCAGGACCAAATACTGTCTAGACCATCCCTGATAGACATTTATCTAACCTACTCTTAAATATCTCCAGAGATGGAGATTCCACAACCTCCCTAGGCAATTTATTCCAGTGTTTAACCACCCTGACAGTTAGGAACTTTTTCCTAATGTCCAATATATCTTTTTTGAGATGGGGCGACCACAGAAACATAGGTGCCTAGGGAACTTTTACTTCAAAAATTTAGGTTCTGGAGGGTTCAGGGGCAGCTGAGCAGGGGCTTTGTGAATCCCACTGGGGCCTGATCCTGGCAGGTAGGCACTTAAGGTGGCACCTAAGTGCCTAAGTTCTTTTGTGAATGGAGCCCAAGGTGCATGGCAATGGAGAATCATTAATCATAATGTCCTAAATTCCTCCGGCAGCTTCATTTTTCTTGTTTCTGTTTTGTTAGACAGCTGCCCCTTCCACTCTAGAAGTGGTGACATCCATGAGATACATGGTATTTTTCTGGATCCTGATCTCTCCCCTAGTCCAAGACACTTGGGGTTCTACCTCTTCTCCAGGATATGCAGGAAGCAATTTAGGGCTTGTCTGTCTGGGGATATTAAGGAAAGTTAAGGCGAATCAACTAAAGATGTGAAGTGAATGTTCATAAATTCAAGTGTGTTAACCTCCACGTGGAGGCTCTTGTTCAGGAGTAAAGTTGTTTAGTTCACTCTAACTTAATTCTCCCAACTAAGGCCATTTTGCTTCTGAATGAGAGCAACCATACAGGGAGAGGGGTTAACATGCTTTAACTTATATGCATTGACTCCACAGCTTTAGTTGATTTGCCTTAACTTTTCTGAATGTCCCTATGTTGACATGCCCTTAGACTTCTCCATGAAGTCTCCAGGGTTTGGTCATCCCCCAAGCAATCCCTTTCCAAATGATTTCAGAGCCACTTTGGGGTCATTGTTGAGCAGTTCCCTTCTCATTCCGTCATTGGAGGAGATTTGAAAACAAACAAAACACAGGATTTTTCTGGGAATGGGCCCACTGGGCTAGCTCCTTGCCTACATTTCAACACTACCCAAAATGGTGGAGCTGGGGAAGCAGATGGTGAGATGGTGCTTCAGCTGTAAGGAGATCTTCTCAGGAGCCACAGAAGAGGAGCTCTGCCAGATTGATGCCAGTTCATGGAACTTTGCTCTGCTGAAGGAAGGGGTTCAGAGTGTGGGTGGTTTGTTGGCCTCTCTGCAGCACCCCCATCAGCTGACACTCCTCCACAGATATCTTCACAAAGGTGGGGCAGTCCTCAATGCCAGTGATCCAGCAAGCAAGGCTGCCTTTAATACTTAGAGTCATTCAATCAATCAAATACTCTTCAGTTTGGTGCCATTTTTGTATGGAACCAGATGGGCATGGTGCCTGCATGCTATTCATTATAAAGAATTACTAAAATATTTAAATATAAGATTCTGCATTCAGTTTGGGCAATAGCCGAATAGAGAACAGCATGGAAAAGATGGAAATTCATTTACCGGTTTACTACATGTCACTGCAGAATGCAGAGATGTAAAGACATTTGAATTTTAAGATATAATCTTTTTATTAGTAGTATTATGAAGTACTGTTTAGGATTATTTTGTCCTTCTAGCTTCCAACCTCTGGAGATCTGTGGAGTGTTTACATGGATTTTGATATTAGGCGACTGGATCTCTGGGAGAGGATTATACCTACATTCAAGTACAGCAGAGAAGTGCCATTTTTTGAAATGCTTGTTCCAACTACGGACACTGTGCGTTATGGCTACCTGATGGAAAAATTGTTAGCCGTCAGACATTCTGTATTGCTCACAGGAATTACTGGGGTCGGCAAGGTAAGAATCCTTTGGATAGCAGTAGGGTCACTTGATTAACACTGGAGAGTCACACACTTGGTTGCTTATGAGCTGTAGAATCATAGAATATCAGGGTTGGAAGGGACCTCAGGAGGTCATCTAGTCCAACCCCCTGCTCAAAGCAGGACCTAATCCCAACTAAATCATCCCAGCCAGGGCTTTGTCAAGCCTGACCTTAAAAACCTCTAAGGAAGGAGATTCCACCACCTCCCTAGGTAACCCATTCCAGTGCTTCACCACCCTCCTAGTGAAAAAGTTTTTCCTAATATCCAACCTAAAATCCAACCTGTACACCCTGCCAGACCCCCACCCCCACTCCAGCAGGATCCCTCAACTCTCTCCCTTCACCCCCAACCCTGGTCAGAGGGTTTCACCCACCGAGTTGGGTGAAAATTGGAAAATTCTGGTGTCCACTAAAATCAAACTTTTCCAGTTTTCAGATTGTCAGGTTATCCCCCAAATCAGTAGGGGTCTGACCAGAGTGGGGGTGGGGTGCAAGAGGCCCAGTTGGAGAGAGCCTGACAGGAGCAGGAGCAAGAGGTCCGGCTGGGTGGTCAGGGTGGGATGACCAGAATGGGGAGAGGAATCTGCCCTCACTCTCACCCTAACCTTGAGGTGGCTGCCTTACCCCTGTATCCACTGCTCCTTTCCCACAGGCCTCTGTAAGATCAGTATCTGCACCCCTGTATCCAGGCCTCTCTGAGGTCACTGCCTGATGGGCCAAATGGTGATTTTAGTGGAAATCAGGCATTTCACCAAAATCAGTAGGGCCCTGCCTGTTGATGCCTAGAATCTTCCCTGAAGTTCTAGAATTGATCTGAAGTGGTTTTCAAAAGTTGTGGCATTACAGACAGACAGAGAAAGGGCACCGAGTTGAGTGTAGGGCCTACCTTCCCTCAGCCAATCAAAGGAATTACATTTAGTATTAATTAAGACAGAGCTGTTAGGGGATTGCATTTGGGGATGTGGGCAGGGGCACATCTGAGGGAAAGGGACAACTGGGATACGGGTTTGGGGATTCCTGAGGTTAGGGGGAGAGGTGGTTGGGCAGCTGATTGGTGGGTGGATTCCTAAGATGCAGAAGCTAAGTGATTGCTTTACTATCAGTCTTCACCACAGAAGATGTTGGGGAGATACCGATCCCAGAACTACTCTTTTCTGGTAACACTGATAATGCACTATTAAAGATTCAGAAATCTAAAGAAAAGGGGCTGGAACAAACAGATACATTAAAAAGCAAAAAGTCACCTGGTCCAGGTGGTTTTTACACAAGAGTTCTGAAGAAATTTAAGAAAAAACTGGCTGAGCAGCTAGCTAAAATATGAAATGTCCCATTAAAATCTGCTGCCGTGCTGGATGATTGGAGGGTAGCAACTGTTGTATCTATATTTTTTAAAAGGTGCTTGGGATGATCCAGGGAACCGCAGACCACTAACCTTTACTTTTGTATCTGGTACATTGTTTAAAACAGTAATTACAAACAGAATTATGACATATTTAGGAAATCATAATATGATAGTGTCTAATCAGCAAGGTTTCTGCAAAGGAAAATTGAGTCTCACTGATCTGCTAGAATTCTCCGAAAGTGCCAAAAAACAGTGGATAAAGGAGAACTAGTTGGCATAATTTATTTGGTCTTTGACTAAGTCCCACAGAAGTTGCTAAAGAAAATAAGCAGTCAGGGTTTGAGAGTCGGGGTATTGTCATGGATCAGAAACTTGCTACGAGACAGAGACCAAAGAGTGGAAATAAATGGGCAATTTTTGTCATAGCAAAGGGTTAACATCAGGGTGCTTCAAGGTTCCATATTAGGTCCTGTGTTGTTTAATACCTGGTGAAAAGTTAGGTGTCCAGCTTTGCAGGTGATGCAGAATTATTTAGATTAGTCAGAACTAGAGAAGACTAAGGAACTTCATGGGACCTGACCCAGCTCAGTGAATAGGCGACATGATGGCAGATGAAATTCAGTGTTGACAAATGCAAAATAATGCTCAGTGGAGGGAATAATTTGAACTACCTCTACACCTTGCTGGCTTCTAAATTAACAAACAGTTTAGGTTGGGGCCTTGGCATCATTGCATACAGCTCAATGAAGAGCTCTGCTCAGTGTGCAGTAGCAGTCAGAAAAGCAAACACGATGTTAGGATCCACAAGAAGGGAAAATGGAAACTAATAAAAATAAAAGCTAAACTCTAACTATTGAGAGTTAGAGGGAAACTTTACCTGCAGGCAAGTTATCATATAACTGCATACTGCAGCACATACTTTCCCTGAAGCAGCTAGTACTGACCACCGTCAGAGATGGAATACTAAAGTAGAGGGATGATGGAGCCTGGTCCAATCTAGTATGGTGATTCCTTTGTGCCTAAGCAACAGCCAGGCAGGGGGGAGGGATAGCTCAGTGGTTTGAGCATTGGCCTGCTAAACCCAAGGTTGTGAGTTCAATCCTTGAGGGGGATCACTTAGGGATCTGGGGCAAAATCAGTACTCAGTCCTGCTAGTGAAGGCAGGGGGCTGGACTCAATGACCTTTCAGGCTCTCTTCCAGTTCTATGAGATAGGTGTGTGTGTGTGTGTGTGTGTGTGTGTGTGTGTGTATATATATAAACAGTGTAGGACAGAGCAATGGCTCCTGTACTCCCATAGCTCAAGGACAGATTTCAGGAGTGCTCACTATGGAGCTAAAGGGGAGGCTGAGAGTGGACATAGGATCTGGCCCACTGTTCTACTCATTTGATTAATTTCATTATATTATTTGTTGTAGGACTGTGCAATTTACCAAAGTGATTGCATAATAGAACCATAAAGAGTGTGTGTGTATGCAACTTTGTGTATAATGAAGTTACTATTACTTATTTTTTGTAATTAAAGTCTGTAGTTGCAAGGGGATTGCTAAACCGAATACAAGAAGAAGCAGGCTATGTTCCTGTTTACCTAAACTTCTCGGCTCAGACGTCATCTGCTAGAACACAAGAGATTATCGAGTCCAAATTAGAAAAGAAAAGAAAAAATATTTTAGGTAATGATTTTTAATTATCTATTTGCTTATCTTAATTGCAGTAATGTAAAAATGTGTGTATGGTATTTTAGTTCAAAGTATGATGTTTCTGAGGGCTAACTTCAAGGAAAACTTATTGTTATATTGGAATACAAGTAAAGCTTCAGTTCTATCATTAAACGATGTAGTTCTTGCAGTCTTACACTCGAGGGCAGTATTGGAGTACAAAAGCTTTAAAATCTGTTAACAGCTATTATAATATTAAGTAGTGTGAAAAGTTGTCATATATAATGATTTATGAGGGGATTCTTGAATGATCATAGAATATCAGGGTTGGAAGGGACCTCAGGAGGTCATCTAGTCCAACCCCCTGCTCAGAGCAGGACCAATTCCCAACTAAATCATCCCAGCCAGGGCTTTGTCAAGCCTGACCTTAAAAACCTCTAAGGAAGGAGATTCTACCACCTCCCTAGGTAACCCATTCCAGTGCTTCACCACCCTCCTAGTGAAAAAGTTTTTCCTAATATCCAACCTAAACCTCCCCATATTTACATTTTCCACACTAAAAACATCCTTTATCAGAGTTAAGTTTGCTCAAGTGTATTTCAACAACATCCACACCAACCTCAGTTCACACCTTTTCCGACCTCACAATTATAAACTCTTTCACTAAACACAATTATAGACTCTTTCACTCTGCAGCAAATTTCCTTTCAGTTTTAAGATGTAACCACCCACAGTGCAAACATCCCCTTCTTTGTAATTATACTCACATGCAAAATCTGAACTTCGGATAGATTAAGATACAATGTTTACTGCCAAATCTACAATGTATTATTTGTACATGAACATGAAAAAGTATGCCGTCAGAGATCGGGTTATGTGTTTGAGTGTGATTATGGGGAATATGATGTGTACATTGTGGATTCTTAAATGTAAATAAAATACATGAATATTAAAATTATTTCACTGTAGAATAGAGTTAGAGGAGTAGGGGGAGGAAGGAGACCATGGAAGTAGGGAGCTGCGCATGCATTGAGAGCCATGGAACTGGTCTAGATAGAGAAGTTGGGATGAGTGTGCAGAAGAGGCTAGGGAGTGCCCAGGCCTGATCCTGAACCCCCTTGCCCCACACACCAATGTCCCTGCAATATGATAATTAAGGCTACAATTATGATAATTAAGGCTACAATTTTGGCACGGTTATTTTTAGTAAAGTCATGGACAGGTCACGGGCAATAAACAAAATAAACAAAAATTCATGGAGCCCATGATCTGTCCATGACTTTACTAAAATAACCAGGGGACAGGGCTAGGTAGAGGGGAGGAAAGGAGTCCCATGGGGTGGATGGGGGACGGACTGACAGGCCAATCCCCCTGCCATGGCAGGGGGTAGAGCCATGGGGGGCACACATCCCCCGCTCTGGAGATGACCACAGCTGCAGGACAGGGGTGTGCGGCCCCAGCAGCAGGGGGGAGGAGGGTGTACGGCCCTGGGAAGCTGCGAGGGGGGCACACAGCCTCTGCTGCAGCCCCCGGTGGAAGCTGCGGGACTCGGGCTTGAAGTGGGGGCCACAGCCATGGCTCTGGAGCTGGCCACAGCCGATGGGGGGGGGGGGGGGGGGGGGGGGGGGGGGGGGGGGGGAGAGGACTGTGCACGGCCCTGGGACGGCACAAGGGGGGTGCATGGCCCCTGTTGCAGCCCAGGCCATGAGGCAGGGCCGCAGGGCCTGGCTACAACCCCTGCCGCAGGGCAGGGGCTGCAGGGTCCTGGTTCCAGCCCCAGTTGCAGGGCAGGGGTGCACAGTGCCGCCTCCAGCCCTGGCTTCAGCCCCTGACAGCCGAAGAAGTCAGGGAGGTCCGGTAAAGTCACAGAATCCGTGACTGCTATGACCTCCGTGACTAAATTGTCATGATAATCCTTGGCTGTTGGAATATCAGTCTGATAGATTCCCCCCGGCAAACTGCAAAAGGTTTTTCAGAGAGATGAGCTGGCTCCCTAGTGGAGCTGCAGGTTCTACTTCTCAAGCAACTTTCTCGGCAGCTCTCTCCCTTTCCCTACCCCCATCATGTCCATGATGTGTAATATGGGTTAAGACATGGTGGCAGTAGACAGGGAGGATGGGAGTCATGTAGCCAATGCTGCCTCAGAAGCAGAGCTTGTAGCTCCACTACAAGGACAGATTCTCTATCTGGCCCGTATCCTGTGGATCACCAGACTGCAGACCCGGTCTAATGGATCTGGTTTGGTATGTCAGCCTGGGACTTCCAGTGTGGAATGTTTTCATGTTCAAGACAGTCTGCGGGGCAAGGACAGCACAGTGGCATCTAGGGTGAGGAGCTACCAAGGGATGAAGCCTTGGAACTGGGGGAAACATGGCAGTGAGCTGTGGAGGCAATGTGTGGGGAAATAAATCCTCCATGAAGTTGCAATGCTTCATTGGTCTTCATGGCAAAATATTAAACAGGTTTGTGATGAAGAAGCCCAATAACTGTATTTTGAGTTTTCCCAATAAATTACCCTGTGTTGGGCATTTTTTTAGGCAGAAGTCCTGTTTGAAATTTGGTATTTTTGATATTGCTACATTCTAGGGACCCCAAAAAACCGTTAAGGTCTCTGGAAAAATTTCCAACAGGAGTGATTTAATGTCTTGCAAAGTTCTACAAAGAAGGCTCTAAAGAGTGTGACAAGTACCTAGAAAAATGAAAGTGTGTTCTCCTTCTTGAAATAGACCATGTTTAAGAATGATTTCTATGAGCAGTTTAGGAATTCACAAAACAATTTAAGTGGGAAACTCAATGCAGCCTTAACTGTGGAGCTGCTAAGGCACGTCCATAATGTCTTCTCAGCATTTTGGAGCAAGTCTCCCAGCCCGGGTCAATAGACTTGGGCTGGTGGGGCTCACGCTAGTGCTCTAAAAGTGGCTGTAGAGTCGGCACTTTGAAGTTGTGCCTGGTACAGCTGTGCTGCTGTCGCACTTACTGAAGACGCTACCTATGCCAATGGGAGAGCTTCTCTCGTTGGCGTAGGTATTCCACCTCCCTGCGAGGCAGTAGCTGTGTCGAGGGGAGAAGCCCTCCTGGCAACATAGCGCTGTCTACACCACGCATCGCTCAGTATAACTAAGTCAGGGGTGTGAGCGACACAGTTATACTGCCGCAAATTTGTAGTGTAGACCGCGGCTCAGTGTAAATAGCCTAAGGCTTTATTTTTGTACCTGGAATTTTTATTTCATAAGTGGAAATGACCAGCACTGATTTGTCTGCCTTTTATATTTTTATTTCTTAGGCGCACCAGGAAACAAAAGAGTTGTTATTTTTGTGGATGATCTAAACATGCCTAAATTGGATCGGTATGGTTCTCAGCCTCCGATTGAGCTACTTCGGCAGTACCAAGATTTTGGAGGATTCTATGACAGAGAGAAACTATTTTGGAAAGAAATACAGGTCATCCCAGCTTTTAGATTATCTAACTATGCTGTGAATTTGATAAAGTTAATTGTATTCTTTGTGTACGGTTAATATGCTCTAACTCTGCCTTGCTTCTAAACATCACTTAGATTTTTTAAAGTACCTTTGTATTCAGACTCCAAAGTTTTGAGCTGTGTGTGTGTGTGTGTGTGTGTGTGTAATACTCCAGAACACTTCCATTTTCATCCCTCTGCATTGCCTACCATTTAGCCCCGTTTAGCATTAACACCACGTCTGTCCAAGGAGGACACATTTCCCTCTGAAGCCTGTTATCACTGCTCCTTGAGGCAATAACATGAGAACAGTGTGAAGTACGTGCTGCCCCTGTAGCTTTCAAGCTTCTATCAGTCCAGGGAATGAGGGTCTGAGATTTTCTTCTAACAACCCTTGAAGGTGTTTGCATAGGTGTCAGATTCTGGATTTAGCCCCTCTATCTGAATAATGACTCTGATATTAGCCAGTAAGGCCTGGGCTACACTAGCGGGGGGGAGAGGTGGGTTCGAACTAAGATACGCAACTTCAGCTATGTTATTCGCGTAGCTGAAGTCGAAGTATCTTAGTTTGACTTACCCGGCCGTCCTCACGGCGGCGAGTTGACTGGCGCAGCTCCCCCGTCGACTCCGCTTACTCCTCCTGACGAGGTGGAGTAAGAGCGTCGATTAGCGGATCGATTTATCGCGTCCAGACAAGATGCGATAAATCGATCCCCGATACATCGAACACTACCCGCAGATCCGGCGGGTAGTATAGACGTACCCTAAGTCTTTCTTCTTTCCTTCCTCGGAATATAGTGTACATTCCTCTGCCTTCAGCCACAAGCCAAGAATTTGATGAGAGAGAATTCCATTCCTCAGCAGCCAGAAGTTGATGGTTGGACCTAGGGTTGTTTTTGCAATTGTCTTTTGATATGCCTAAACTCCAAATAGACTGAAGAAGGGACTGTCAAAAAGAAGTGTTAAAACAGATGTTATTTTAACTTTTTGTGTCAAACATTGTTTTCAAAAGATGAAGAGGCAGATTGCTGAGCTGAGAAGCTACAAAGGTGTCTGCAGCGTCCTGATTCTGGGGCCTTGTCTACAATGGCCCTAGTTCCGGTGTAGAGTGGAGTAGTCTCAGGGCTGCTGTACTCTATTCTGATTGGCTTTTGCCTCAAGAGACTGTCCACCATAGAAGTGCTCTATGGCCATACCCCCCTACACCTGGCATGTCCCTACATGGTGTGGTCTAGAATTGGCTAGACTGGCTCTACACCTCCTCGGCTGTCAGGGCAGGTATTTAGCACCTTACTGAGGCTTCAGCAGTGCAAAGGGTCCATATCACAGGCTCTAGTAACATGTTATAAGTAGAGCTGTGCAAAGCGCAACTGCTTTGATTTGCACAGTGTTTGGCAAATCTTATCAGCAAATGTAGTTTGCAAGGATTTTCTTCCGATGTTGTATGCTGCCCTGTGTTAAGTTGCATGAGCGACCTTACCTATGGCTTTTCTGCCTCTTGAGTGCTTTCACTTTGCAAGTTTAATGATGTTTTATTTTTCTGTTTGGAATACAATATACTATACTCTTCTGCAGAGTATTTTATTCAAAGATGGCTCCATGTCTAGTTGGCAGCCGGTTTCAAGCAGAGTGCCCCAAGGGTTGGTCCTGGGGCTGGTTTTGTTTAATATCTTTATTAATGATCTGGAGGATGGTGTGGACTGCACTCTCAGCAAGTTTGCAGATGACACTAAACTAGGAGGCGTGGTAGATACACTAGAGGGTAGGGATCGGATACAGAGGGACCTAGACAAATTAGAGGATTGGGCCAAAAAAAACCTGATGAGGTTCAACAAGGATAAGTGCAGAGTCCTGCACTTAGGACGGAAGAATCCCATGCACTGCTACAGACTAGGGACCGAATGGCTAGGTAGCAGTTCTGCAGAAAAGGACCTAGGGGTCACAGTGGACGAGAAGCTGGATATGAGTCAACAGTGTGCTCTTGTTGCCAAGAAGGCTAACGGCATTTTGGGCTGTATAAGTAGGGGCATTGCCAGCAGATCGAGGAACGTGATCGTTCCCCTTTATTCAACATTGGTGAGGCCTCATCTGGAATAGTGTGTCCAGTTTTGGGCCCCACACTACAAGAAGGATGTGGAAAAATTGGAAAGAGTCCAGCGGAGGGCAACAAAAATGATTAGGGGTCTGGAGCACATGACTTATGAGGAGAGGCTGAGGGAACTGGGATTGTTTAGTCTCCAGAAGAGAAGAATGAGGGGGGATTTGATAGCAGCCTTCAAGTACCTGAAGGGGGGTTCCAAAGAGGATGGAGCTCGGCTGTTCTCAGTGGTGGCAGATGACAGAACAAGGAGCAATGGTCTCAAGTTGCAGTGGGGGAGGTCCAGGTTGGATATTAAGAAACACTATTTCACTAGGAGGGTGGTGAAGCACTGGAATGCGTTACCTAGGGAGGTGGTGGAGTCTCCTTCCTTGGAGGTTTTTAAGGCCCGGCTTGACAAAGCCCTGGCTGGGATGATTTAGTTGGGAATTGGTCCTGCTTTGAGCAGGGAGTTGGACTAGATGACCTCTTGAGGTCCCTTCCAACCCTGATATTCTATGATTCTATGATTCTATGATCTCGTAGCATTTTACAAGTGAAATGAATTAATTAATCCTCACAATACGTCTGTTGATAAATATTGTTATTGCCACTTTAGATAAGGGAAAACAGAGGAACTCAAAGGTTAAGTGATTTCCCTCTTGCTCCACAGTGAGTTAAGGGCAAGGCTGGAACTAGAATGTAGAAGTCCTGATTTCCAGCTTTTCCCCTTAAGCATAAATTTATGTTCCATGTCTAATGAAGGAGTGAAGTTTGAAATTCATTTTGAGATATAAAGAGAACCTTATAATTCTTCAAGTGGCTAATCAGGTATCTCTGTTGTTCTCCCCTCCCCATCTCTTGCTTTTCGTAAAATATACTATTCAGTTTGTCTCTGCCTGTGCAGCTACCCACTTCTAGAGTTCATAGAATCATAGAATATTAGGGTTGGAAGAGACCTCAGGAGATCATCTAGTCCAACCCCTGCTCAAAGCAGGACCAACACCAACTAAATCATCCCAGTCAGGGGTTTGTCAAGCCGGGCCTTAAAACCTCTAAGGAAGGAGATTCCACCACCTCCCTAGGTAACCCATTCCAGTGCTTCACCACCCTACTAGTGAAATAGTTTTTCCTAATATCCAACCTAGACCTCCCGCACTGCAACTTGAGACCATTGCTTCTTATTCTGTCATCTGCCACCACTGACAACAGCTGAGCTCCATCCTCTTTGGAACCCCCCTTCAGGTAGTTGAAGGCTGCTATCAAATCCCCCCTCACTCTTCTCTTCTGCAGACTAAATAACCCCAGTTCCCTCAGCCTCTCCTCATAAGTCATGTGCCCCAGCCCCCTAATCATTTTCCTTGCCCTCCGTTGGACTCTCTCCAATTTATCCACATCCCTTCTGTGGTGGGGGTAACAAAACTGGACGCAATACTCCAGGTGTGGCCTAATCAGTGCCGAATACAGGGGAATAATCACTTCCCTCGATCTACTGGCAATGCTCCTACTAATACAGCCCAGAATGCCATTGGCCTTCTTGGCAACAAGGGCACACTGCTAACTCATATCCAGCTTCTCATCCACTGTAACCCCCAGGTCCTTTTCTGCAGAAGTTCTACTCTTGGTTTAGTAACTGAGTCATCATTTGAAACCCAGTGTTTGTGCAGATTATCAAAGCATTTCAGAGCAGATTGGACTGTTAAGAAAAATCAGCTAAGACTTTTATGCCATTTTTGACCAGTATATAGACTGAAGTCAAGTGTACAGTTTGATGATTGACTGAATTCCTTCTGATGTCACAGTCCCACCACCCAACATATGTACTGTTCATAGGATAGCAGCAGAAGGTTAGATTGCACAAAGTGATTTTGAAACTGGGCAACCTTTTACTGTCATTCAGAAAGAAATTTCCTTTCTTCTCACAATGTATAGCTTCTGCCACAGGATTTCAAGTTTAAGCTGTAGTAATGTGGTAGACCTACATACTATATAGGGGGAAAGTATGGAATTTAGCCACGACCCCCCTCCCCATGTTGAGTAGGGTTCTTAGGTGTCCGGTTTTCAACCAGAACGCCAGGTCAAAAAGGGACCCTGGTGACTCCAGTCAGCACTGCTGACCGGGCCGTTAAAAGTCCAGTCGGTGGTGCAACAGGGCTAAGGCAGGCTCCCTGCGGCTCTTGGAAGCAGTGACATGTCCCCCCCTCCAGCTCCCAGCCATAGGGGCAGCCAGGGGTCTCCGTGTGCTACCCAAGCGCCAGCGCCGCAGCTCCCATTGGTCGGGAACCGTGGCCAATGGGAGCTGTGGGGGCGGCGCCTGCGCACGGGGCAGCGCACAGAGCCACCTGGCTGTGCCTCCACGTAGGACCCGGAGGGGGGACATGCTGCTGCTTCCGGGAGCTGCCTGAGGTAGGCACTGCCAGGAGCCTGCACCTCTGACCCCCTCCCGCGCCCCATCCACCTGCCCTAGCCCTGATACCCCCTCGGTCCCAGCCCGGAGCCCCCTCCCACATCCCAAACCCCTTATCCCCAACCCCACCCCAGAGCCCGCACCTCCAGCTGGAGCCCTCACCCCCCCCATGCCCCAACCCCTTTTCCCAGCCCTGATCCCCTTCCCGCCTTCCAAACCCCTCGGTCCCAGCCCAGAGCCCGCTCCTGCACTCCAAATCCATCATCCCCAGCCCCACACCAGAGCCTGCACCCCAGCCAGAGCCCTCAACCCCCTGCCCCAGCCCGGAGCCCCCCTCCTGCACCCTGAACCCCTCATTTCTGGCTCTACTCTGGAACCCACATCCCCAGCCCACAGCCCGTATCCCCTCCCACATCCCAACCCCCTGCCTCAGCCTGGAACCCCCTCCCAGACTCCAAACCCCTCGGCTCCAACTCCCAGCCTGGAGCCCCCTCCTGCACTGCAAACCCCTCATCCCCGCCTCAACCCAGAGCCCGCACCCCCAGCCGGAGCCCTCACCCCCTCCCGCATCTCAACCCACTGCCTCAGCCCGGAGCCCCTTCCCACACCCGTGGCCGGAGCCCTCACCCCGCCCAACTCTCTGAGCCAGCCTGGTGCAAATGAGCAAGTGAGTGAGGGTGGGAGAGCGAGCGACAGAGGGAGAGGGGGATTGAGTGAGTGTGGGGTGGGGCCTTGGGAAGGGGCAGGACCTTGGAGGAGGGACGGAACAGGGGGTGGGGCAAGGGTGTTTGGTTTTGTGCGAGTAGGAAGTTGACAACCCTAGTTGACTGAGTGTGGATCTGTGACACCCTGAGGGAGCATCAGGAAATAGCCTGCCACAGAATGCCTCCCAGAGCTCCCTGTGTATGCTGTGGGGAGCATGGTCTACTCTAGCCTTTAAGTGGCTACAGCATCCCTCACTTTGCTGCCAGCCATGGCTCTGCCTCCTCTCCAGCCTTCTCCACCCCTTTTTCGGTCCATCGCTCCCAGGAGAGAGCAACACAGTAGCAACCCCGTGCTCTCCTGAGTGCAGGAGCTGCAATTTTGCATGGGCCTCATATGGGCCATGCTATAGGAAGGGAGGTTCCTTATTTTCCCCTGCCCTGCGACTGTGTGGTCAGTTGGGGGCAATCAAAATTTAGCCCACAGTGAGACCGCTATAGGATGGGGGACTCAACTACTCTAGTTAATTTCACTCTTATGTGTGACTGTGTGAGACAAAATATGGGCACTGGGGAGAGTAGGGAAAGAGGAGTAATGAGCTGGTCAGCACTGACCATGTCTATTCTGGGACGTGCTATTGTGCTTGAAGGACTTTCATAAATGAATTATTTTGAATACCAGTTTAAAAAAAAAAAGTGGGGATGGGGGGAAAATCACATTTGCTTTGCCAGTAGCTTGCTAAAGATATGGGCACGAAATGTATAAGCAACAGTGTCTGCATGATTAAACAAATTACTGAGTATTCTGTTTGACGCAAATTGTGCCTGAATTTCTCCTCTGTAGGATGTAACGATTGCATCAGCTTGTGCACCCCCAGGCGGTGGTCGCAATCCAGTAACTCCGCGTTTCATAAGACACTTTGCCATGCTGTGCCTTCCAACACCCTCGGAGCACAGCCTTAAACAAATTTTTCAGGTCAGTAGCAACTTCTGCTTGGCCCTAAGGGATCGAAAACATATTCATCTGTGTATTCGGTCATACCGCAATGTGGTCCTATCGTTAGACAAGAATATGTGTCACGTTGGAACTTTGGCAAATTCTTAAGGTGAATTGAAATTTGTTTTTGTAGACTGAGGCCAGATGCACAAAGAGCTTGATCCAAAGCCCTTTGAAGTCAAGAGGCGTCTTTCCACTGACCTCAGTGGACTTTGGATCAAGCCCATAGAGCCAGGCAGAAGCATATATTTAAAATTGTTAGTCATTAACCTTTTAAGGTGTTTTTATTTCAGTTGTGTTCAGTGTCTTTTTCTTTATTTAAATATAACCTTAAATATTTCCTTCTTCTCTTCAGTTTCTGTAAACATATTACTTGAACTGGCTAAAAATTGTCTAACGTGTGTGCATTATTCAATAGCTGCCATGCATAATTAAACAAACATAAAGATGGATAAATATTGATATTTATTATAGTGCTCTGCTTCTAGGTTATTGGGAACACTCTCATAACTAAATATTTTTTCTAGGAGTTTTCCTTTTTATGGGTCTGATCCTGCCACCTTTCTGCCCAAGGACAGTGAGTCTCTATGTAGTCACTGGTTTCCAGTAACTCAGTCAACACCTTGTTGACAAACAAGTATCACTACTCTGTTTATTTTGATAGATCAGATGTTGTTCTTTATATGTTTTTTCATGTACTTGACGGTTTTGTGTGGTTTTTTTTTTTTTTTTTGATTCACCAAAATATTTTCTTAAAAGTCACATTTGTTTGGGGTGGTTGATTTAGTTTTTCCCCAGTGGACTTCTTTTTTATCCTCCACACTCATTTTAACCCATCACTCAATACCCTAGTTTGCATCTCTACCCTCTGGCCAAGGAGATCCTTGGGCAAGCTTCTAAGCTGTGCCTCATAAGAGGACTCTGCAAGTGCGGTAAGGGTAGCTTTCAGCTGCCCTTGCTTCTCCCTAATTCTGGCCTATTCTTGGGTTTGGCATGGACATCAGCATAAATTAGCATTGTCCCTGGGACTGCTCCAACTTACCGCACCCTTATGTGGCTCCCAGTATGCTACCCTGCAGCCCGGAAGAGCCATAGTGCAAAGCACTCTAGCTTCTCCCCTTCCCACCCCAGCTAAGCCCACAATACTTGATTGAGGGCTGCTGGGTGCTCTGCACTTTGGAAAATCCAGCCACTTATTGGGGTATCTAAACATGGATTTAGGAGTCTAACTCTAGGGTACCCATTGTTTAAAGTCTTGGTCAAATTAATATAGTATCTTTACCTCTTTTGTGTGTGCAGCTCTGGCTACATTTTTCTTTATGATAAACTTTTCAAATTAAATTCCTTGAAATTATTAGATTGGAATCACAGCTCATTTGAATAAAAACCAAACTTTTCAGCATTTTATGACTGCAAAGAAAATGAAAACGTCCCTTATGTTTTGTTCTAAAGTATCTCTTATTTTTTATGTTGTTGTTCTGGGTATAGGCAATCTTAAAGGGCTTTTTGGCTGAATTCTCTCCAGCAGTAAAGCAGACTGCAACGAGCATAGTGGATGCTGCTGTTGAAATATATCAAAGAATGAGCATTGATCTTCTCCCAACGCCTGCAAAATCCCATTATGTATTTAATTTACGTGATTTGTCAAAGTGTGTGCAAGGTAAAACGTGTTTGGTTTTGACATGGTATTTTTTCTAGTTCCTCTAGTGTATTTTCAGGTGTCTGTGGTGTTTCTGTCCAGCGAGGACTCTCTAAACAGTTCACATTCTCTATTTCAGTATTATATCATCTAAAATTTGTTATGTACTAGAGCAAAGGATATAACTTGCAATGAATAATTTCTTTGTTCAGCCATTTTTTCTGCTTGCAGTATATCTAAGAGCAGATCATGATTTCCTCCAATTTCCACATTATACAGAAAGAGGCAAACCTTGCCCTGTTCAAAAGGTAGGAGAAATTAGTCAGGAGCTGTGTAATTGCTCACAAAGCCTAATTGATTGATTCTAAGGAAGGTGGCTGAATGGGTGTATGGACATGGTTACTTTTTACAGATCCAGACTAACACGGCTACCCCTCTGATGTATGAACTGTGTAAGTTCAGAGTGCATATTTTGCATCCAATAGCCCTAAGCAAAATATGCTCATCTGCTGTTGCTGAAAGTGGGAGAAATGGTCCCTGAGTCATTGTAAGTTAGAGTAGTTCCTCCTCATGCCCTAAGATACATAACAGCCAATGGAAAGTCCAATGTATTAGATAAAAACTCCTGCTGTTGGTGCTACAATGGTATGGTGGGAAACAGAGTGGGAGGGGTGGTGCTGGATACAGGAGAGATCATCATAAGACGCCTGACTGCAGTGATGAAGGCACAGACATCCACTTTACCTTATTTTCCTTTGAGAGAGGAGACTGTTTGGGGAACTCAGTCTCGGTTCTGTCTCCCCCCAGGAAGGCTACCATAGTACAGTGATTAGTTCTATTGAGCAATGTGCCTCGGCATTGGTCAGTGCTTGTGGAAGTGGCTGGCTGACTGAGGACGACCTCTGTATAACTCAAAGGCGTGTCTCTTTCACCAACGGAAGTTGGTCCAATGAAATATGTTACCTCATCTACCTTGTCTGTCTGAAACCCCTAGTGTCTTTGATGGTCTTCTGAAATTTCCTTGTGGCTGGGTATTCCAGAGCCAGGTTGACTTTGATTACTACGAACAGGACATAGCACCACCGGATCTGGCTCTTCTCCCCTCTTCAGTCTTCTTACAGAGATGGTGGAGCATGTGTGTATTCATTCTGTTCCTCTGGATCACCTGGTTCTCTGCCATGTAGTCTGCAGACCTTGTTCTTAGGGTATGAGCATCTCTCTCTCTCTCTCTCTCTCTTTCATTGGCTTCCTCTGGCTTAGTGCAGACAGGTGCAGTAGTTTTGCTAGTATCTCTGCCTGCTATCTTTCTTCTCCTCTTCTGCCTTCCAAACTACGTTTCTCTCTCTCTCTCAAACACAAATGCTGTGCATGTGATTCCTAACTCACCTGCTACCTCTTTTGCATGGCAGTGTTTTAACCAGACAGTCTACACGGAAATGACAATAAGCCTCATGATACCTCTTGCTATCAGGCTTAAGCTGCATATGCCTAATGACATCTGCACAACTTTAAAATTAAATGACGCGTGCTTGTCTTCTGAGCCATGCCCCCAACCTGCCTCAGTTGAGCATGCTCCGTCCGGCTTTAGGCATGCACATGCTTTGTTTGTCCCTAAACACGTTTCTCACGTTATGTGCACCACCGCATCCTGTTTGTTCACCTTCTTGTTTACATGCCCATCTCTACTTGCACTTCTCAAGTCTTCAAACATTTACCCCTTCATGTGCAGACTTTGGATGATGGTGTGTGCCTCTGGTAGCTGCTTAGAGAGGATAAATGGTGTTCTAGTTTCCCTATTTGTTTCTGCCCTCCCTTTGCTTTTTCATGTAGTTGTGTTTCTGTGTTTTGTTTCCCCCATAATTGATTGTGCTGTTTCTAAAGATAAACAGAAGAAAGCGAAACAGCTCAGAGAAAGGCACCAACGACTGTAAGAAGTATGATTGGATTTACGCACTGCACAAGAGATTGTGAGGACTAGGGTTATTCAGATTCTAAATGAGAAAAGTTAGAGGAAGTTTAATAGACTGTTCACAATTATGAAAGACATAATAAAAGAGGAGTTGTTCTTCCTTTATTACCTGCCCCATAATAAAAGAATGAGTGACATCTAAAGTCCCTAAGGAAATTGAAGGATAATAAAACTAGTAATACTTAATTCAGCATATGGACAACCTATGGAGTTCATAGTTGTAGGAATTCTTCACTTAAGGTAGACTGCTATGGCAGGACAGTTTTATTGTTTATTAGGTTATCTAAGGTAACCTAATATGATAATCAAATCTTATGCTTCAGGGCATAAAATGATTGATTGCTGGAGTCAAGAAGGAATTTTTTCCTTCAACGTATGATACTACGCAATGGGCTTGGTGTATTTTTTTGGAGGGGAAGTCTTAGTCTTCCTCTGAAGCATCTGACACTTGTCAATATTGGAGGCAAAATACTCGATTACATGTCTGATCCATAAAACCAATTTTATGTTCCTAGTATTTTAATCTCTGCTTCTGTTTCACCTCAGTGCTTGTGTGCAGTATATATTTTTATAAATATGATAAGAACATTATAAATAGTTGTATGGTGTTTTGTGTGAGATAGATGATGTTGATGGATGGTGTATACATACAATAATGTTAGAATTAATGACAATAATAATAAATTCAATATTCCCTCCACTTTTACTCTGCTGATCTCTCCTATATAGGCCATATCCTTTATTAACATCCCAGTGGTGATTTTTTTGGCCACCATCTCTGTAAAGCTAGTCAGCTCTTAGCTCTGTTTCTGTATACATAATAATAGGAGCTTGATTGCTTCATTCCTGTTCTTGTACTTTTGCTGTATTTACATAGAGACGTCTTGCAATTTCATTACCTCCTTCTACAACCACCTCATCTTGTGTAAACATTCTCTCCAGCTGTTCATGTGTACTTCAATTTTCAGTGTAATACGCCCCTTTTCTTCAATATGTTTCTTTCTAATTAGCATCTCATCCTGTTGAGGCACTCAGAACCTTCAGCTGCCGCTAAGGCCTTTGCAACTGATCCAGGAAATTCTCTTCACAATCGTAAATTATCTTTCCAGTGTTTTTAAAATGTTTATTTCAACATTGTTTAGAAAGTGATGGTCAGAATTTGTTATGTTAGTGAAAGTGTTATTTGTGTACTGTACACACAGGCATTCTCCAATGTGATCCTGGAGCAGTCAGAGACCAAACGCAGATCTTCAGACTCTTTTGCCATGAGTGTCAGAGAGTCTTCCATGACCGCCTCATCAACAGTGAAGATAAACAGTATTTTCATTCTATGTTATCTGAAATGGCCAGTAAGAAAATCAACTTACTCCATTTATATTACATTAGACATGTAAATATATGTCACACAAACCTATCTAATCTAGAATTTTAATTTGTAGGCAAACATTTTGCAGTCCCAGTTGACCCAGATTACTTTGTAAGAAAACCAATCATCTTTGGAGACTTCCTTAAAGTGAGTCTATCATAAGCCTAAGTTTTCATAGAATACTGTTTACTTTCCGTTTGCTTAGTTTGTTTAATGGAACTTCAGGGTTTGTAAAGTGTAGAGGCAAAATATAAACACTATAATTTCAGCATAAACGAATCCTAAATTCAATGGGCTTGATTCACTGACGCAATAAGCAGGAACATCTCCAGGGAAGTGAATAGCGTTGTGCCTGTTATACCAAAAGTGACTGTGGCCCTTTAGGTTATATTTAGAAGAGAAGTAGTCCTTCTGCATCTTGATAAAATGTCTGCATTAGCAAAAATGGGATTTCAACCACCTTTCAGGGAACTAGCGTACTATTGTGAAAAGACTAAGCTGCATACAGATAGTCCTAGAACTGGTCCCCCTATATTAGGAAGAAGTGAATAGCCTTCTGCCTAAAAGTCAGATATTGTAGCTAATGTACTTTCACTGGAGGAAGTTGTTAATGTTTTCACAGTCTCTGTTGCTAGTGACCAAAGAGAATCATTCAGACTGAGGAATGGCAAAATTTAAGTGATCCTAATTATAAAATAGTTGGCTGAAATAAGTCTGGTTCTCCTTCATAAAGTTGCTTCCCCCAAGATACCTGGGGACAAGAGGAAGTGATTTCACCAGGTGCTTTCCATTACAGAATGCACTAAGAAATGGCGATAAGGGATAGCAAATATTATTTTGAAGCAATATGGTATTCGAGGGGCAGAAGTAGATTCCAGGTAGATATTTGATCTTTGGATCCTGATGGGAATGGATAGGAAAGGAAGCCATCAGTGGTACAATTTATGACTCATGCCAAGGGCAAGCTAAATCTTTAAAGGATATTTTTAAAAAACTAGTGGCATTTAACAAAGATTATACTAGGAAAGGATTTAAGTTGCACCATAAGCACTCAACTAGATAGATCAGATAGCAAATTGGGGGCAGTTTAAGGGACAAGTGTGCATATTGGCAAACATATCCAGGATAGAGGTTTCAGGAACCTGTGGAGAGAAATTATTTCTCTCACAGAGTTTACATGTTCAATTTTCATTCTTTTTCTCTGTACACAAAGATAGCTTTTACATTACTTTGACTCACTTCTGCAAGCAGTAACTGCTGCCTTGTGAGGAAATCTTTTGCAATTAGCCCCAGCTGAGATCTCATGATGACGTTTACTGGGTAGGGAAGGATTCATATGGAATGCAGGTTACAACCGAGTAAAAGAGGCTAGTAAGTGAGAGAAAAACACAACAGCTGAATTCTTGGAACTAAATGCTAGGGGTGGTTTGGGAAAAAATGAGGTCTGGAATACAGCTAAAAGTGTGGTTAGAGGTCAGTTGCAAACTTTAGCCACAGGCATGAAAGAAGTGGAGAAGTGAGACTGCTCTTAACAGAGTGCAAAACTAAAATGAAAATGGATTTAATCCCGGAATTTTTTTTTTTTAATTTCCCCAATGAACACGTTGAAGTCAATGGGAACTGCTGGGCATTCAGCACTTAGGGTGCCATTCAAATGCCTAACTATGAATTTAGGAACCTACCTCTAGGACCCAAGTATTGAAAATCTTGACTAATAATTTGTGGAGATTTTAAGCACTATAATTTCTGTCCATTCATTTTGATCTCATTTCTCTTATTTTCCACAAATAATTTACTTTCAGATGGGCGCAGATAAAGCTGATCGAATATATGAGGATCTGACTGATACAGAGAAGATTATATCAGTTTTACAAGACTACCTGGATGACTACAATATAACAAACTCTAAGGAGACAAAGCTGGTGTTCTTCCAGGATGCCATCGAGCATGTTTCAAGGTACAGGACTGTTTAGTTAATACCTTGGCGGTATCATTGTTTTAAGGATCAGACCAGTGTAAACAAGTGAATTTAAGTCATTTTGAGAAGCATTTAAATTGTGTGACTAATCACAGGTTTATACACTGAAAGGATGCATTAAAATACATACAGAATTAACCATGGAGTCCCTAATAAGCAAACATATTAAATTCATCCCGCCCTCAAATATAAACTGGTGGTCAAGCTGAGATGGAAGGAGGAAATTGTCAATCCATGAAAATGGTATAATCCCATGCTGAACCCTGAATCAAGAGTGTGCCCAGCTGCATAAGTGGAGTGAACAACCATCTGCCATAGCCCTCTGATCATCATGATACCCAGGAAATCCTATGCCACGGGGTGGCCGACCTGTGGCTCTGGAGCCACATACGGCTCTTCAGAAGTTAATATGCGGCTCCTTGTACAGGCACCAACTCCGGGGCTGGAGCTACAGGTGCCAAATTTCCAATGTGCCGGGGGGGTGCTCACTGCTCAACCCCTGGCTCTGCTCCAGGCCCTGCCCCCACTCCACCCCTTCCCACCCCCTCCCCGAGCCTGCCATGCCCTCGCTCTGCCCTCTCCCCCCCCCCATCCTCCTGCACGCCACGAAACAGCTGATCGGGAGGTGCAGGGAGGGAGGGGGAGGTGCTGATCAGCGGGGCTGCCGGTGAGCGGGAGGCGCTGGGAGCGGAAGGAGCTGATGGGGGGCTGCTGACGTATTACTGTGGTTCTTTGGCAATGTACATTGGTAAATTCTGGCTCCTTCTCAGGCTCAGGTTGGCCACCCCTGCTATGCTGCTTCAGAAGACTTGTCATCAACATGGACATTGAAGTCACTAGGCACTGTCAGCCTCTGCAACTCCGTTGGCACCTAGATTTTTACATACCGATTTAGGAGTCTAATTTAAGGCACCCAGACACAGAAGTTTTGATCAAAACATGGTCTCCATTTGTGTGCATGAACTTGGCAGATGCAATCCGCGGCTAGACAGATACTACAATGATATGTGTTTCTGGAACAAATCTGTATACTTGTCACTTGTGCACACAAAATATAGAATTTACAGAAACCACTTATGCACTCAAACCAAACCAAATTAAGTACATCTTTTGGCATGTATAAATTCTGTCATTTTAAAAGTACACAAAAATTGTGTGTGCTCATAGTGTGAACATGCACAAATAGAGGCCAGATTGAAGAGGCTTCTTTGAAAATTTGGCCAACAATTAATTTGTAATGATGTGGCACAATTGGTAAAGGATTCAATCTGAAAGGGAGGTTTGATGTTCATGAGATAAAGCTTCTAGAAAGCTGAAGTCCTTCCAAAATCAGTCGAAAATGGAAATCAACAGTGGGGTCCATCAGTATTACACTTGGTTAAGTGGCATGTTCTTAAAGACAATGGAACGTACCTTGAAGTCCCTGTTCAGTCCAAACTCGACCTGTGCTGTTTATTTTCTCTACCCAAGTACACAATTATATATCTATGTATTAATATAATTTATAAATATTTAATAGATATATGGCACATATTTACAGTGATTCACTTGCACCCCTCTACAGTGTAGAGCAACTTGAAGTGAGAGTAAATATAATTTATGCCCATTTTCTGTCCCTTTTATGCTTCCAGAGCAGTTTAAAAAAGAGTATTTTCCCAGCTGCCTGCCCTGTAAGATCCTCCTGCAAAAAGCCAAATAGGATTCTCCACTAGTGTTTTCTTGGAAATTATCCATAATAACCAACTTGTTGAAATCAGAGTATGTCAAAAGCGATTTTGAGTTAAAGATTCCCTCTAGTCAATAGCCCGGCTGGGATGGGAGATCCAGGGTACACTGGGTGGGTTTTGACAGCAGTGTGGGGATCCCAAAAGGAGATTGAGTTTTGGTTGGGGTGAACTTATCCTAAATTAATGCAGCTAGGTCAGTGTCTGAAATGTCCCTCTGAGCTTGGCTTGTGTGCGTCTGCATGTGTTCCCTGCCTAAGCCACTGGGGCAGAGCAGGGAATGTTGTTTTCCATTGGGCCCCTGGCATTGTGCAAGAGAGGCTTCCATTGTTTGGATTGCAGAATTATAGGACTTTCACTATGGTATCACGCCTGTGTGATGCTCCTGTGATGCCATAATGAGACTCCAAGAAATAGTTGGAAAATTCTGTCATTTTTACTACCTTACATTCTATGCTTGATTTTCCAATAGAATTGCTCGGATGATCCGTCAGGAAAGAGGAAATGCCCTGCTTGTTGGAGTAGGAGGTACTGGCAAACAGTCTCTCACTCGACTTGCCTCTCATATATGTGGGTACAAATGCTTTCAGATAGAACTTAGCCGTGGTTATAATTACGACAGTTTTCATGACGATCTGAGGAAGCTGTATAAGATGGCAGGAGTAGAAGACAAAGATATGGTTTTCCTCTTCACAGACACACAGGTATGTTTAAATGGGTCGACCAGAAATGCAGTTGGCTTTATCATTAAAATGTTGTGGCTTACACAATAACAAGCTATTTATTTTTATATGGTGGTGTTTATATGAAGTAAGAAAATGCTTTAGAGTGAGGATCATAAGCTTAAATCAATCAATACAATCTTATAGTAATATATAAAAGGAGGAAGTGACTCAGAGGAAGGAAGAGGAGAGGTCTTGGTAACTGAGGTAGCATAAATGAAAGAGCTACCTCCAGCTTTGGAGAATTATGGGAAAGGGGCACAGGAAGAAGGAAGAACAGACTTGAGACTGCAGGTGAATATGGCGTCTGATAGGAAGAGTGGGCCAAGATCATGACAGGACCAAGGACAGAGTTTCAATCTTGTGCAGTGGAAAGGATGAACGGAAGGTATAAATCTTCCCCCAGAAGTGAAAAATGAGGTCAGTGGAACTGTTCTGATTTACACCAGTTGAGGATCTGCCCCATTGACTTCTTGTTCAAGGCTCTCAAGAAGTATAAAGTGATTGATATTAGTGAAAACCAACGATGTGATCAAGTAGGATGAAAAAAGGACAGGTCATGATCAGAAGCCAGAAGTAAATAATTAACTATGCAAAGGAAGGTATTCTCAGTACTGAAAAAAGATACAACATTAATAATGTACGTAGGTTGTTGTATCTGTTTACTTATCATAGAAAAGTGTTAGATTTTTCCTACTGGAAATAGATCAGGGCATCTAAAACATACATCTGAATCTTATGATTTATTCTCTGAGCTCAGACAATATCATTTCTATGAACAAGCTGTGATCTGGAAGAGCGGGCTAGGTAGTGACTCACAAAATAAGCATGGCAAATATCCCTACCTTCACAGTGTCTGTATCCTAGAATGTATCTGAATCCAGGTATCCCGGCTGTGTGTTCGTTAACTTCTGAGAATTGAATATGCTTTCCCAGATCACGGCTAATTTACAGGCATGCTTTTGTGGGAGCTCTGCTATGAAACAAGCAAAATGGCTCTCGTTCTTTTGGATATGCTAAGTTCTTCTGTGTATACTTTCAAAGCCATAAGTGCAAAAGGAGTTTCTCACCGTTTGCCTTCAGAAGATTATTTTGCTTGGCTCATATTTGTTAATAGGAATTGCTTCAACTTTGTGCTATAAAGCTTAGAAGTAGCATCCTCTGAAGTTGTGACGAGTTCAGCTATTGTACAGTAAACCGCTTTTGATCTTTCTTCGGGAGCTGACGGCCAGATTGTGAACCTTTCACTTCCAATGAGAAGCCAGTAATGATAAGTATTCCCAGTAATGGTAGTGGGACGCCGGGAGTGAGTAACTGCTCACCAATGAGAGCAAGGGGTTCTGGCCCTGAGAAACTGTTCTTTGATTAGTGCTGTAACAACCACAAATCAATGACTTAGGGCCAGGTTGGGGCTAGTCTCTGCACAAAGGAGAGGGAAGAGTTCAATCTACTGTTGTGCTCCCATTCAGTACCCACAAGGTGGGCTGAGCAGCACCGGCCCTGTTCCTAGCTAGCGTCTCCACAAGCTGTTGGAATGGGGTTGGGGAGAGGGCAGGGTTGTACCCAACTCGCACCTGCGACCAATGTTGGCTATGCGTAGCGTGGTACATATATTGTACCCTCTCCAACGGTGGCAGAGCCTACTGCTTTGGTGTGTGATTCCCAGGAACCCCCTGGAGGAGTTCTGCCTAACAGGGACACCAGCTGCAGCAGAGCTCGCTGAACATGCTCCGGGGTGCTTCTGCCTGCTGAAGGCAGAGCCTAGCCCTTATCTGAATGAACAATTCCCTGAACTACATCCGGCAGCTTATTTCTGGCTTGAAACTTTTCATTTCCTGTCTATTAAACCTTGCATTCAGAAGCTGCATAGAATTTATTTGACTGTATGATTTTCTTGAGTCTTAAGATGAATAATAGAAAGTAATTTTAATATATTCATTTACTTTTAAGGCTCACAGTTTTCACAAGTATATTAATATTAACATGTACGCTGCACGAAAGCTTGTTATATTTGTGTGAATGAAGTCTCTCACAAGTCCTTAGCATAATCAATAGCTCTGTTTGACAAGGGGAGAAAATAGGTTGCACATAAAGAAACGCAAAAGAAACTACCACAAAGTCAGACAGCATTTGAAGAAGTGGGTGGCGTACGATGAAATGAACTGCACAGGATTACTACTAGTGTAGGGAAAGCCAAACTAAATGAAGAACCAAGATTCTGTATTATTCTCAAAATGCAATAGAATTCAGTGAAAATGAAGGAATACAATGTGAAAACCTTGAATCTACTGCAAAGAGAGATTTTGTTTATGTGAAAAAAGACTTTGCAACCTCTGTTGCTCTTTACACATTTCACAGGAGTTTAGCTTCTGAACAGAGATTCTACTGGCATTATAACCTGTTGGCATTATTGATAGTTTATTGCTAAGTAATAGCAATAAAGTCTCAATGGCTGGATGAAAATTAGAAAAATAACAGAAAATTTTAGGGATATGTTGCAAACTGACTCATTCCACACTCTAGAGATATGAAATTTCATCTACCTGCTATTATGCAGTCTGCATGAGAGGTCAGAGTATACACAAAACCAGCTATCGTAGCAATCAGAGAGACCTGAACCTGTTAGGTTCCTGATATGTGCATCATATAAAAACTAGAAACCTGATTAAGAGGTAGAGTTTGCACAGGGTTGCTGGGTTTCTGGTAATTACCTGAACATTTTGCAATAATTATTAAAAATCTCTTTTGGTTAATCTGAAAAGTGGCAGTTTAACAACATCCCATTGCCATAACATGATACACTGACACAGCAATATTCAGCCTTTGTGCTGGTTACTCCAGTGTTTAATCACGCTCAGTGTTAAAAAATTGTACCTTATTTCCAATTTGAACTTTGTTAGCTTCTTCTTCTTCTAGACATTTAAAGTTATGATGTCATTGTCTGCTAGATTATAGAGCCCTGAACCATCAACTGTTTTCTTCCTGTGTCAGCACTCCTAGCCCATGATCAAGTTACCATTTAACCTTCTCTTCTCTAAGCTAAATAGACTGAGGTCCTTATGGGTACGTCAAGCACGGGCTTGAGACCAGGCTCAAGCCTAACGCACCTTGTGTCAATACACCAATTGTGCTAACCTAGGGCTTGGACCTAGGGTCCCAGGACCCTGCAGGCTGGAGGTTCTGAGCCCATGTTAAGCTGGGACCTAGGGTCCGAGCTCTATTGCTTTCCTGTGTGTATGTGGCCCCAGCTTGATTTGGTTCACAGAAGTCCTCTGGATGTATCCCAGAGTTCTTGCTCCCAGACAAGCAGCACTGCAGGCAACCAGCACAGCAGCCGGAAGCACCATTAATGCCTGGCCGAGCATGTTCCCCCTTCCTGGTCGTCCCACAGCTACTCCAGCTCCTCCTCCTCAGGGCTGTGTGGAGCTTGCCCAGAGCAGGGAGTAAATTTGCCAGATGGGAGGTGGCTGTTGGCCACCGGGATGCCAGGGGTCATTCCTCCCCCAGCTGCGCTGAGCCGGGAGCCCTGCCATTACTCCTCTCTGCAGGGCAGCTGCTTGTCCCCCACTCTGATCTCCGGCTCTTGCTCCCAGGCCCTACCCCCACCCTCCCTGGGGCTGCGAGTGCAGAAACACCCAGTCTGCATGCTGTTACTTCAGTTAATTCCTCCTGCGGCAGTGGCTCTGGCTCCGGCTGCTTCTCATTGCAGAGAAGTTTGGGGGCTGACTCCCACTCGCTGGCCTCACAGTGCACGGAGCCCGGATGCCCCTGCACATGCAGCCTGAGGGCAGGCAAGGGGGTCCTGGGAACGAGGGACAGAGAACGGAGTGGGGACCAAGCAGCTTCCACCTGTGTGTGGGCTGTCCCTTAGGAGGTGGGCCACGTCAGGAGAGCAGGTTGCGGGTGAGAAGAAAGATCATAGAAGTGGGAGCACTGATTATCTGCAAAACAGGAAGGGCCGTGTTGTGAGGTACAGAGGGAAAAAAAGGCTGTTCACCTGTTCAGAAGCAGCTTCTTCTGATGGTTGGTTGGCGGATAAAAGTATTGGCCCTCAGTTTGAAGAGTTAATGCAAAACTGACTAATATCAAAGTAGTAAAGTGACCATGAGCACAATAAACTTGAGCAAATGACAAGATCCTACAGATAATATCAGTAACTTTGAAAGACTGCAATCAGTGATCACACTGAACAGCGTGTGTGAATCAGATCAGAGGCCACACATTTGTTAAAACTTCTGGATATAGGGGAGAAAACGAATGGGGAAGACCTGTTTTGTTTTCGTAGGTAATATTTTGATGGTATCTGTTTCAAATATTTAACAGATAAGGATTTTCAAATACATTTTTCAGTTAAAAACAAAGATTTTTCTTACAATTTTTATAGCTTATGAATTCAGCACTGTTATTTTTATTTTCCTGATTGTTTTCTCCATATTTACACTTACAGAGGACACACACATTAATTCATTTGACATCTAATATTTATAAAATCTTATCTATAGATTGTTGTAGAGGAGTTCTTGGAAGACATAAACAATATTCTCAATTCTGGGGAAGTACCTAATTTATTTGAAAAAGATGAATTGGAACAGGTTCTGGCACCTACGAGACCCAAAGCTAAAGAGGCAGGAATACCAGAGGGGAGCAGAGATGAGGTAGGAGAAGTATTGCAAATATTAGTTTATTGTATCCAATAACATTGTAAATAGATGTTACTAAAATTCTTATTTTCAAAGAATTAAGTATAGACATTCTATCACATGCCTTTTATCTGTCTCTTATTTATCTAATGTATCTAATGTGAAAAGAGGAGAACATTACATTTTGTTTACACTCAGGAAGATCAACTTCCAGGACTTTTAATAAGTACTTCTGTTCTGTCATGTGTGGACAAAATATTCATATTCCACCCTTGGAGAGAAGAGTTCAGTTGTTCATAGACAATTTCTGAGACTAGCTATAGAGGTTAGAGATGGAAATGGCCTGTTAGATCATTCAGCCAAAGCAGGGTTGTTCCCTGCAGTACGTGACTGTACTAGATTTCCTTTGAGCAAACAACCTCATTGTCATCTCCTTTATTTTTCCTGCATGCTGTGTTCTTTTAAAACAGGTATTTCAATACTTCATTAACCGAGTTCGTCAGAAGCTGCATATCGTTCTCTGTATGAGTCCTGTAGGTGAAGCTTTCCGATCGCGATGTCGGATGTTTCCATCCCTTGTGAATTGCTGTACTATTGATTGGTTTGTGCAGGTTCGTACTAACTAAGATCCACAGAGTAATAACTTTGAGATGGCTCAGTAATAAACATTGCTATTATATATGCTATCTTATAAAAAATCAAGTAAAAATCTAGCCTCCTGAATGTCATCTGGGATTATGTGGCCTATGTGTTAATTTTCAATGACAGTTAACTCCAAGATTCTCATTAACTAGAATATCTCGAAAAACTGATTGTGGTTTCTACTCAGCTGATAACATATTGGATCCTGGCCTCTCCTTCAGTCTGAGACATTTGACAAAACCACAGGCAGCTCAGACTTGTCCACGGGGCTCCAAGGATTGACATCCTTTCATTCGTTGACCAGATTCTCTGCCTCCAGTGATGCAGACAAAGCAGTTCAGCAATCCTGCTTTATCCATTGCAGTCCTCGCTTTAAAAGCTGATATGGGAGCAGAAGCCAACAATCTCCCCCCCCCAACACACACACACACACACACACACACACACACACACACTTTACTGTTCTGTAGGGGACTCACATTTCCAGGGCTTTGCTCTCTAAACGAGACAAGATGCTGATCTTGGTTTAGTCCCCTGTCCTCAGTCCTGGTGAAGCAGGACAAACAGAGCAAGCTGAAGGTCTAGATGACCTTCTGAGGAGACACACAAGAAGATCACTGCCATGATTTCTGTCAGCTTGCAGACCTTTGCTTTGTCATGGGATGGGGTTCAACGTCTACATGGCTTGTAGGAACCACTAAATCCACCCCCAGCCGACCAAGTCTTATCCAGAAACATCTCATCAAAGGCTGGCCAGTTTCAATATCAGTGGGCTTGTGGAATTCATAGGGCCATTTGATAAAGTTTTTTTAATATAATGTTCTCTTTCTGCAATGGTCCAGAGAAAACATCTAGTTTGTATTGAGAATTTACCATATTTCACCACAAATGTTGACTTTGACCGTGATGAAGTGAATGACTGTTATTCAGATAATCTTTTCCTTTTTGCAGTGGCCCAGAGAAGCACTTCTTTCTGTATCAAGGACATTTTTCCTGAATGTTGATCTTGGAAGTGACGAGTTGAAAGAGAAAGTTTCAGTCATGTGTGTAGATATTCATATGAGTGTCACTGAAATGGCAGATCGATATTATGCTGAGCTGCGGCGACGATATTACACAACACCCACTTCGTATTTAGAATTAATCAATCTCTACTTGACCATGCTGGGGGAAAAAAGGAAGCAGTTGGTTTCAGTAGGTTTAATTTTATTAAGCAAAAATCTCTGCTTATTGCGTCTGAGAAATGTGTCTTACTTCCCCTCAGATTTTTGTATTACTTTTCCTTCATAGTGCAGCAGCTTCAGGGTTTACCATAAGTAAAATGGCTTGTAATTCTTTTGTGGTAAACCAGCCCAATTTTCCTTTTCCAAGTACTGAGTATTAAAGCAAGGAATTTTTAGTCTAATTTACTTTCTACTATTGGTGATTTTTGTTACCGTTTTGCACTTCATTCACATGGAAAATGAAAAAATATGAGTCATTTCACTTCCCCCATCTCTTGTCCTAGGACAAGACACTTGGGATACAAACGTTGCAGCACAATGATTAAATCAAAACCAAAGAAAAACAAACAAACATTTTTATTGATTTTTAAACATTGCATCAACAGATTGCAATAATATTCATGTTTTTAAAATGTTTTATTTAACAAAAATCAATGTTGAGCCTAAACGTCTAGCAGCTTTTGTTTGATAAGCATGATCATGTTTGCCAATTTAGATGGTTTTTCTTTTATATCTGTATAAATATTGTTACAGCCATACTAACATAACATTTTTATTACAGCCACCCTTAAAATAAATTTATTATACAAATTATTTATAACATAATTTACAACTGATATAAAACTTACATTACATGGTGTTAAAATATATTTGCGCATAAGTTTATATTTTTATCATGTTAGAACTTTTTGGAAGTACAGTGTTTGGGAAAAGTATTTAGATATATGAAATGTTTTTATTGGGCTGCAGGCTCGGGATCGAGTGAAGAATGGCTTATCCAAACTATTAGAGACGAACGTGCTTGTAGATAAAATGAAATTAGATCTCTCAGCTTTGGAGCCAGTCCTTGTAGAGAAATCAGTGGATGTTGAGGCTTTGATGGAAAAATTAGCAGTGGATCAAGAAAATGCTGATCAGGTACAAAGAATGATCTTGTAATATTTCTGAGATAGCACGTGTTACTGCTCAATAATTCATAGATACAGTAATGGGTTTAAAGATTAATAATTATGGGCTCTATGCTATCCTCTTTTATGTGACATACTGGCAGGGCCGGCTCTAGGTTTTTTGTCGCCCGAAGCAAAAAAAATTTTGGCTGCCACCCGTCACAGCCCAGGGCTCCTCTCCACACCCCCCTGCCGCCCCAGCCCTGGGCTTTCCCCCACTACCCTGCTGCCTCAGCCCTGGGGTCTCCCCCCCACACACACACACCCCCTGCCGCCCCAGCCCTGGGCTCTCCCCCCACACACACACCCCC